GAGCATCCGGCGATTTCTGGCAAGCACAATGGGACAAAATTTTAGACAAACTAGGAGATGATCCCGTTACCCTCTGGGTTTATGGTACAAAAACAGAAACTCGAAGAATATGTAAAATGTTCTTAAATAAGCGTTGTTTTAAAGTAACTTTTTTTTACTATCACTTTAAACGACAATTATTTTCGAACACTATGGTAGATCTGTCAGCTACTATGCCTCCTAAGGTGACTTTCAAAATTCCAATAACATTTATTAAAATGGAATTTTCTATTTTATTATACATCAGTTGAAGCGTTTTTTAATTCTCTACAAAAATGTATTAAAGCACCTCGATCGAAAATTGATTAGTTCAAGAGATATCTTAGGGAATGGCCATCATGCTCTTCCTGTCTAGTTATATGAGACACCCTGTGTATATAAAAATAAACTAAAGGCACAGTAACAGGTTGATCCGCAGTAACTGACATAATCTGCCCATATACATTTTATAAATTTCTTATTAACAATTAATAGCTTATACTGATCTCTCGTAGGGTCGTTGGGACTAACGTTTTTCGTGTACTGGTTGTTCGGCGGTATATACACGATCCTAGACCTAACTAATCGGCCAGCCGCTTTGCGAAGATACAAAATACAGCCTGGCACGAACGAACCCGTCAACACGAAGGACTTGTGTAAAGTAATCGCTCAAGTACTGTTCAATCAGATCATTGTTGGACTTCCTCTGGCATACGTCAGTTATCACTTTATGGAATGGCGCGGTTATCCCCCTGTACGCGAATTACCGACCTTCCACTGGGTGCTCGTTGAAATCGCCATTCACATATTGTGCGAGGAAATTGGATTTTATTACTCCCACAGGTATACATATTTGTAACCTTCTTCAATACACGTACACACAGGGTGGTCCGAGATTCATAGTACAAACGGGGTCAGGGTAATTTCATGGCTTGAAATAAGTCGAAAATAAAGAATAACGAAATTGCGTGGGATGCTTCGTTTTCAAGAAAGATGCATTTAAAAATCAGTTTCAGTACGCGTGTACTTAACCAATAACTAATTTTTTTTTTCTTAGAAAATCAATTGAGTTCAGTTATAAATAACTTCCACGTGGAGGTTATCGTTTACCTACAATACTGTAGGTGAAAGATAGTTACATTCTCTTGGAAAATTCCACCCTGCTCATTACGGCTGATCATTCTTGCATTTTAATAGATCGGTAAAGTTAAACGGCATATCTAATTCTCGGACGGCGGACTATGGAGGAAGCCCAAATTTTAATTTAACTTTGTATTTGATATTATTTTTATTTTCTAAATTTTATAACACCTCTAAAAATTATTCTTCCAATATATAAAATGTTTTCGTTTAAAAATTATATTAATCCACATTCCCCTGTCCAAGGGTTAAGATGGGATCTTAATTTTACAAAATCAGAAATTTATCACGATAAAAGGAACGTAATATGTACAATAATGATATAACAACGAACAGAGTATAGCAAATATATTTTGCGAAGTTCCGTTCAGGTAATCAATGAGCCTCAGAGGTCAACAGAGGACTGGTTACCCCTCAAGTTTTAACTATAGATTTACACCTGATAGGTATATCACACATATCATTAGAAACTTCCATGCTATCTTCTTACAATAGCCTGTTGAAATCAATGCTGAACAGTTAGGGTGCTTCCCTTGTCAGCAAAAAGAATAAAGCAAATCACACGTTAATCGCTACAAGTCTTCATTCATGATAATTTTGAATAGAACCTTCCTTAAAATATTACAATATATGTATATATATAATCACATTGCAGATTTCTACATAGCCGCTATTTGTATAAGTATATACATAAACAACACCACGAATGGACGGCCCCTATAGCTGTAACGTCACTGTATTGCCATCCCTTAGAACATATTGGCTCGAATCTATTACCACCGTTTTTGGGAGTATTCATCGTAGGTTCTCACGTGGCTACCGCTTGGCTTTGGTTCTCCCTTGCTATTCTTTCCACGTTGAACGCTCACTCTGGTTACCACTTACCATTCTTTCCATCTCCAGAAGCTCATGATTTCCATCATTTAAAGTAAGTAATTTCATAATACCTTTTTTAGAACCATTTTTAAAAAACTAAATCGATGTAACATAAGATTATTAAATATTTGGTTGTTTGAAATCAACCGCTTGATGTGCACGCAGTAGCGCAACTAGGGAGGAGGGGGGTTACAATTCTTCCTCCCTCCTCTCCATTACACAATTATGATTGCGTTATTGTTTGCATTCAATATGCAACAGCCTAATCTAATACATCATTTTTAATGTTACATTTTATGAGCCTGAAATTCCACAAACTTTGATTTATTAATGATTATGTTGTTTCAGATTCAATCAGTGCTTCGGAGTTTTGGGAGTGTTAGACCGTATTCATGGAACAGACACACAATTTCGTAATTCTAGAGCGTACCAGCGACACGTTATAATGCTTAGCTTAGTACCACCGAGAGAAGCTTTTCCGGATCAAGTGAAATATAAATTTAAATAAGCAGGACTTTTTTCAGTACTATCATTTAATATGAAAGTTCGTTGTGAAACTATATTTAGTATAAAAATGCAAGTATAAGATACTTCAGGGTTTTAAGTATTATCTTCGTTTGTATTACACTTCATCGAGAGCAGTTAATTAGCATAAATCAGTCAAGCTACATTTTTCATATGATTTTCTACTTTTCTTTTTGTATGAGAACTGTACATTTTGAATTAATTTTATTCTATTATGGAATCTTAATCCATGTAAACATGATTATGGTGTGCTCGTAAAATGTTATTGTTAAACACTGTCTGTTTTTTTGAACAGTGTTGATCACCATGGACTTCCCAAGGGAAACTGACAATGTAGGGGAGGTGATCACCAATTATAGAATCCGTGGCCCACTTAGTTGCGTGTAAACGTTTACGCGGAAAAATTTGAATTTGTATTTATATTATTCATATTTCTTATTTCTATACTAAATTTTATAATATTTAATAACTAAAAATTATATTTTTTCTAAATTACTCTTAATATTAAAAAAACTTAAAAATTAAGAATTTGTGAGTTTCTGCTTTGCCTACATTGTTATTTTCCCATGGGAAGCCTACTTTACTCGATACGGTACAATATCGTATTCAATGTAATGATATTAGATTATTTTTAATCAGCACTATCAGATACAAGAACAATCCTTCTAACCTTACAATATTGTATGGAATATTGTATCGCGTTCTATTTTCTTTTTTCATCCAAAACTATAATAAGATCCCTGGGATATTACAAAAATTTTACCATAACTCTAAAGGACGAACTTTAGATTATTAGAATATCTTTTTTACGACAAAATATACTGTTGGGAAATCTAGAATTATATCGTGTACTGTTATCAAGTCGAATTACTATTTTTATATTTAGTTCCATAATGAAAGCAATGACTTAATATAAATTTAATCTAACAATAAGATGAAATTATGATTATAATATTATAGTAAAGAGAAAAATAATCATTCTAGATTGTCATAAGCGGTCGGAGATTATGCATTTCAAAGTTTAAAATTTGCAAAACAAATCAAATCAAACTGTTTAAAACGATTAAGATTAAAGCCATTAACGTCAATAATCATATTTTTCTCTAATTCAAATTTATGCACATAATAAAAACACGCAGATCAAATCATGGAATTGACGCTTCATTATTCCTTATTTTTACATCTAAAAATGAAGGTTTTCTTATTTAACGCAAATCTATGAAATTCTAATGAGAAGTATTAAAGTAATTAAATGTATAAAGGCAATATAAATCTCAGTATTTGTCAGTTATTATATATAAAGTGGCTACATTCTATAACCATTTGTCAAGATATTATATATACTTTGTAATTTATATGCAATTTTAATGTCAATAATTTTATGTACCCACATAAAAAGCTTACTAATAAAATTTACAAAATCAAAATACTATATGATTTTTCTTTTACAATAATAAATCATATATTATCGCTTAACATAGAATATAGTACGACATCTTTAGTTACAAGTATTTATATTTTATAACAATACAAATGATTTTTTACATACATATATAAAAATAGTTATTGCTTCATTACATTTAGATAAAATATAAATTCTACGAATGATAAACAGAAATGGAAGTTCGTAGAATTCCATTTTAATTAATAACAATTGCAAAAATCTTATCCGATAAAATAATTGCACTAACCATTGCTTATATTTAGTTTAGTATAATTTTATAAATGAGTATTCCATACTCATTTCATTTCTTTATGGTAATCGTAATTGTATACATCTTTTTTTAATAACAAAAATGAAAATGTAAAACCATAAAATAATTAGTATAGTAGCTACAATTATTGTGTTACACAAATCAAATTTCTTTGGTGGGCTAGATATTATTTTACAATTTATAAATATACAGTGAATTTTTACTAAAATTGAGAAAAAAAATTTTTAATGAAAAGGAAATTGTATGGAAATATTATCGTTAATAAAATTTATTTGAAATAAACATTGTTTTTTAATTGCACCATGAAAAGTTATTTTAACCCGCGAAGAAAAAACTTAACATTGTTCTTAAATCTTTGCACGTTTACTTTTATGTTAGAAATATTCAATTTCAAATTTAATTAACGCAAATTATTAACAAATTATTTTTATACAAAATTTTGTAATTAAAAAAGATTTCAAAAATCGTTTTTATATTTACATATGTATAAAACTGTACATCTTAATAAGTTTGCAAAACTTGCTCGAATCAAAGCTCATTTTGAAATACTTTATTTATAGCATTCAATAAAGTATTTTGATTACCATGATTGTGTAAATGGAATTATTATTTCCATATTGTCTTTCTCACGTATCTTTCTGGCTTTCAAATTTGACAAATGAACGATAGTTTTTGCCTAAAAATGTCTACATTATATAATTCAAGTAATAAATCTCATACCACGGCAGTAATATAGTAAAAATATATACGGAGCAAGTTACGGCAGAACAAAAAGATTTATAATTCTTTGTGTAAATGCTTTGATATATATGATTGAAGCTTGATTACTTAGTGTACATTTTATACTGAGTATAGAAAAGCACTGTTGCGAGCTGACTTTATAAATGATTTGATAAATATTAATCATTGTACATTCCATCGATAAGAAAATCCATCCTCCGGTAATGTCTTTTGTCCCAACAATCCCTACCTTGTTTATATATCATGAAAATAATAGCACCTAATATCGGCAGAGCTATGAGAGTAACAATAACTGGAAAAACATAATTAATTTTCTTCGACATTCCTAAATGCAAACCTTTCGTATGCGATATAAATGCTCGTTTATCACTGTTAGGTCCTACTACTGTAGCCGTTGGTTTTGGTCGATGTTCTTGAACCGAAGACGCTGTTACAGTAGTACTTTTTGATAACATTTCTTGCGTTATGTTTGCAGCATTTAAAGTATTATTTAGAGTAGTAGTATTCAATTTTAAAGCGTTTGTATTAAGATCAATAGGTTTTTCATTATTATGAGGAATACTTGCTGCTGAAGAAGATTCAGATATTAGCTTTGTATCATTAAACGTTGTTACTTTAACGTCAGCAACATTTTCTTGTTTTGAATTTAGCATTTCGTTTGCTCCCTTTCTTGACACAATTTTGGTATTCTTTCTATTTTCTGTATTCTGAGTATTTTCTTCTTTAGAAACATTTGGTGAATGGAAAGAAGTCATGTCTTGTGTAGTAGAAGGTATTGAAATTGGACCACCTTCTCCAGCAACTGAAGGAGTAGCAACATTTTTCTGAAACTATATTTGTATATATTTTAACTTCGTATTTAATTGTCGCTATCATACTTGGCATACTTAAAATTAACTTAAGACAAATATATTATTATATACATTGCTTTTTTAAATAGTATAACATTTCTAATTTGAGAACTTAACAATTACTTGACAGTTCATTAAATTACCAATGAATTGTTTGTCAAACGAGGTAAATACCATCGATACGTACGTTCGATGTTTTTGTAGGAACAACGGATGCAGATGTTGAATTAACTGATGAGGGTAATGTCTGATATTCATTTTTTGGAAGTGTGTGGACAGAAGTTGCATTTAATGCAGATGTCAAAGGTGCAGTACCATCTGTTTTAACCACATCACTCTTAGATAAGGTTAGAATAGATACAATCCATATAAACAGAATTATTCCATGGAAATTTTGCATCACAAATAAACCCATTATTTTAATTACAAAATCGAATTTCAGAATACTGATAGTTGCAGATAAATCTGTTTAAAAGTTTTATAAAAATATAAAAAAATTTTTAAAGTGGTATCTACCACTATAAAACTGTCTGCTCCATCGCAAACACGCTCTAACTGTTGCGTAAATATACGTGCAAGCTAATACCACACAACTCTTTCAGTGGTTGTGTGATTTCACTTTCTTCCATCATTTTCGATTAAACTAATTAAATTTCTCAAGAATACTTGTAAATAAATATAACAAATTTAGTTTTACATTTACGTTTCTAATATTTTAAGTCTTAAATTATTAAATAAATATTTAAATGTACTTAATTACTTTACTAATAATTAATACAGATAATTAATATTAGATACGTAAAGTAATATTTAATGATTAGAAAAAGTGTTTTAAAAAAAATACTAAAGCTAATAATAATGGAATTGTTTATACTGTAAATTGTATACTACGTACTATAACTATACCGCAGTTCACCAGAGTCCATAACTGCGAAAAGTCCAGTTTTCGTTCTTCGCGCTTCTCCAGTACGCATCTTCGCCCTGATTGGCGATACTCCCAAACGAAGTGGAAAGCGATTAGCAGAGAGCTCGCTGCGTTCCCCCACCATCTTCCAACCTGCGCGTCGCAGTTATGGACTCTGGTGAACTGCGGTATATATATAAGAGAACCCTAAAATTCTTCACTGTTGAATAAACCGCTTTTAAAAAGAATTAGAAATAAAAAAGAAAGAATAGAGAAATACTGTTTTCATGTTATTTCATCATTATAAAAAAGTATTTTTCGGATTTGTGTTTTTTAAATGAAGAAATAAATATGATCTTCAAATTTGACGCCAATACCACATCATAGCCTGATTCGACTTTCGAGATCTCGAAACTCTTAAAATCTCGAATAATACGAATTTAAATGTTGCGCTAACATGTCGGAATATTTTCGTTCTATTTTGTAGCTCGATTTTTCAAGATTCTGAACAATCTATACACTCTTAATTAATTAGAACGATTGATTCTCATAAATTCACATAATGCACCTTACCTATTATCATATAATTATGAAAGTTAATCGGCTTTCAATTGGCTATAAATTGCAATATATTAAATTTGTAACAAACAAAATTTTGGTCAACATTTTTTTATAAGTGTGCAAATTTTGACAAAAAATGTTTGTAAAAATTCTAATTATTACTTTTCTACACACATAACTCCGCATCTTATACCAACAACAAATTAACACTTTTTTCAGCAACTTTTCAGATGTGCCTCCGTATTATCGCGAACCATAAAACATTATGCATTGTGTGTCAATTTTATTCGTATACGGTGTTTGAGAAGCTTTATTTAGTGCAAACCTTCCTTTTATGTTCTTAATGACAAAGTGCCAAATAAACTATTATTTTTATTTTGTTATTAAGAGTAAATGACTAATTGTGAATATTACTATATAATAAAATATCATTGATCCACTTAGAGTAAATAACAACTTGTGTGTATAATTTATTAGAGCCGTAACAACAAAATGAAGTTACGTAACTATAGTTACGTCTTCCACATAGTTAAAATACCATAAATGTAATTACCTATAATGCAACCTTTGAAAAAAGTATGTAGTTCCTGTACTAATTATATAAATTACATAATTGCTCGTAGAATGATTTTCAACAAAAATGTTATAATAACATATTATACTTATTTCAAAAACAACAAAAGAAACATTTAATTTAAAATCAAATTTTACAACTTACATTTAAATTAAACTTTCATCAAGAACATATGTTTTGTATATTATTATATAATATAAAAATGATATGATATTTGTTGTTATCAATACCTTATTCTTTTACCACCACATGTTTTGCAGTGGAAAGTAACATAATTATCTCTATGAGATATTTTCAAGGTATTAAAAAAAGAGGATACAATCAGTACACATAATTAACGTTTTATTGTCATAATTAATCTTAAGATAATTTTAATGTTCATCATTTATCATATTTATCATTAGTTATCAGCAGTATTTTAACAAAATTTTCACTTTCTTCAGTGTTTGCATCTAATTAATTAAAATTTGTTTCCTGGGCAAGAAATAAAAATGATTTATGTAAGAAGAAATAAATAATACTAAATAAAATTTTATGTAATTTATAATTACGAAAATAAGTTTTACCAATATATTACTGCTATATAATTCATTATAAATATTTTTTTATTATATTTTAAAAATGCTCCATTCTCTTCACTAGGTTTCAAATTATTAGAATTCAAAAATTTGTATTTCACTGCTGATAACAAACTAATTCTTTTTTAAATTAGTTAAATTAGTTTCTCCATAGTTATTATTTTCCTATAATAAAATCAATAATTGTAACAAGATTTCTATATTTCATTAATAGAACAAGCACACTTAATCCTTTTTATATTTTATCTAGTTTTTCGTGTTTTACCAATAGCAAAGGTAAGTACTTACATAATAAAAACAAAATCCAAGAACGCTTAGATTTATCTTCAAATTATTGATGTCGACAGAAATCGGAATTTACCTGTTATTTCTGTTTATCGTTCGAATCACTGATATTTGTACAAGATATGCCGATAAATGACTGAATTGAAATCCGTGTCAAAAATTCTATTATTCCTTTGGTTTCATCAATTTTATTAATTTTCTCGTTGAGATTGTAAGAAACATGTATTTTATAAAATCATGTTCAAAATTCTGAAATCCTTAATGATATTAATCATCTTAATAAAAAAAAGTTATCTTTAACGATTTATAAAATGTTTGGTACAAATGACTTTTTATAAATGATTTATTATCATAAAAATACAATCTATAATTGAAGGTATCTTTGGTCACGAGTATCTGAAATTTTGTCCCTGAGAAAAATATGGTCACATAGAAACGATTAACCCCTTTTTCACAAGTCATTCTAAAACTGATATCTCACGGTTAAAAGGATTTACGATACAATCGGTTTATTTCATCAGTGATGTGTCAGCTTATATTTTCTTGCAGATACGGGTATGAAATAAGACAATAAGTATTAGAAATGATATTTTAACACATATAAAGGAATATTGTATCGTCACGTGCCCATCGCATTGCCCAACCATCACCATTCAAAGATTAACATCTCGAATGGACGTGTGTAGCAAGACACGCTATAATTGCAATTATGTACTTACATACATCGTCCCATTTTTCAATTTAACCTTTCCCCTTGATACTTTGCCTAAGTAATATTAATGTGACTTAAAATTGTTCCCTCAATTATTCGATCATATTCAATGTATAGTGGGGGCCAGCAATACCCCCCACGGTATGGCATTCAACCCCTTAATAACTGTAATGCAAACTGTGTTAATACATACTTTTAACACGAATGCCATCATAAGATGACACCAATTTAACAACTAATTTATGATCTTGAGTAATACAAGACAAATTGGTGTCACTTCTGAATGCTTTAATTTACTGTCTTGTTATATCGCAAAAATTTGTCAGTCGGTTTTCTCTTGGTTCTCGGAGGTAGTATTGACGTTATCCTTCGGACTGAATGTGTTAAGAGGAAATGTACATACAAGACGGAGCCTTGCCTTTTACTACTTGCCCTACTAAACGAGTAAATAGAAGACTACATGTGTGTAGTATTTTGCCAAAAAGTAACGAATTTAGACGCGTACAGAACAATACTTCCAAAATTTTTGGAAATAAGGATATTAGTATTGCCCCTCACCCGCCTAATGGCACCACTGATAGCTCCTCAGGCCCCCACATATACAGACCCCATTTATTGGCAGAATTGCCGCTGGATCTATGTAACCCTTTTTAATACAACCGCAAATATATGACTCATAGCAATACAGGTGTAATCTCGCGGACAGTGATGTACTAATTATTTTCGGTACCCTGGCGTTCAGCTGTAACAGTGCTCTTCTATACGCTTCAATATTTGTTGCTAAAGGCGAGTGATGGAAGATGCAGAAGAAGACAAGACAGGATCTATCATATTCTAACGGTTTATTTAGATCCAATTACGTTTAACGAAAGATAACACCACTCTGCGTAGCCGTTCGATGAACAATTCGCTACCTTTGTATTCAATCATAACGTTTTGCATTTTATCATAATTGAAATCATCAATGTCACCCACGCTCAACGTGAGTATCTTTACCATGAAGCACAAATGTACGAATTCACGCTCGGCATCCTCGTGCATTTTCTCTTTGAATCCCTCCTTGGTGAAAACGTCAGTTTTACATCCCATTTTCTCTAACGTCTTTATGAACGCTACGTAATACTGATCCATTAGATTCTCTATTTCTTCGTCAGTTATCTCCAGTTCCACGCTCGAGAACAAGAAAAACAATAAATCGCGTAGAGGACTGCCGTATAGGTATATTTGAAAGTCGATGAATTTCACGTCATCGACAGCGCCCTTCTCGTTGCGACGAAACATCACGTTGTTCACCCAGAAGTCCGAATGAATGATGGTCGTCCATGGTTCACGAAGAATGTCGTTCCAGATATTATCTATCGTCACTTCCGTAAAGATTTTGTAACATTTATCGAAATACGGATTCATTTCCGGATCCTCCTTTATTTTGCTCAAGATCAATTTAAACATGCTTCCACCGATGCTCTCTCCCTGCAATGATTTTGCGTACATTTTGAACACCTCGAAAATACCAGGCTTCTTTATCTTGGTAGCTATTCCTAAAGCGTGGAATCTCGCTAATGCTTTCACTGTCAATTCCGCGTGTTCTAGGTCGTAACCTGCATAAAAATGTTCAAACAAAACGGCTTTCAATAAAATAACGAACAAATATATTTGAAGCGTTCGAAGAAATTATTTTAATGCTTTACTTCACCTTTAGATCTATCACCGGTGTAATAACCCTTGACCTTCAAATTATCCATCAGAATAACCGCGTTGTCGTCGAAATCGGTACCCGGCTGCGACGACAACCTGGATCCATAAAATTTCGCTGTAATGTCGAACAATTCGCTCTCCTTGAACCCGCACTCGAGTTCCAGTTTATTGTACGCCGGGATGATGGTGTCGTACATAAAGATCTCTTTCATAAATGTACGAGAGCTGTTGAATAAACGTCTCTGGAACTCGGTCGGTGGTACCATCTTCGCGATCAGCTGAAGTTCCTCCTTTTTTCCAGTTTTCTCATTCTTCAATTCGACATGGACACTGAAAATCGAGCTTCCATAATTCTCCCCGGGCGGTAACAACGATTTGGTCGTGTAATTCTCGATAGTAAGTTTATTGTCGATTTTCTGATGCAAAACCGGCTCCAGATCACGAAGCACAACCTCCTTCAATTCTGTGTCACTGTTACTCATGATTACGCGTTAAAGAATAACAGAGATCTGTATATCCACTGTGTTCAAAATTCGCTTCCCGTTCAGTCACTTCCCGACGAGCTATGACCGCGTGATCTTCAAACAATAACTTATATGTGCTTCTTTAAGTACTCATTGGATTTATAAAATCGAGCACTACTCAGATCCTAAGATTAATAGACCTTATCAATTAGTTCTCTTCGTGTACTATGTATTACGTAAGGCTGTCCAACACAAATGTCGATTTTTCGTTTTCAGAAACCGGCGCAACACCGACAACCGATTCACGTACGTACATGTTATACCGACGACCCGACGTTTCCATACGATTTATCATCAGTCGCTACGATGATAATGATCGTTTGTCCGCGGGATCTCTCCCACTTCATTACGCTTGATTCTCCTTTTTAAACGTATTCTCTGAAACGCTATGTTGACAATTTATTTTTTCACCTCTTCTTTCATCTCCGCGCGTATCTGCATCTATAAAACGTTCACGCTATATCACGCTTAAACAGGTAAGTAGGTACCCTTTGGTAACTAGTGCCACTTTCGAAACGTTTTTTGTAGCGAGGATGCAAATTACGTTTGCAAACAATTCTTCATGTTTATTTGTTAATTAAAAGTTTCCCTTCGGGTGCTGTCTACCTTTTTTCAAGGAATTTCCCAACAATCACCCGAGAGACGGTGTTTGTAAAACACATTTTTCTCGATTTTAAGATCATTTCATTCGCTTACTTTTAACTCCGTTTCTTACTCTCTGATACTAGTACTTTTACATCAGTAATGTCCTCTTACGTTACATCCCCCTTTTAGTCGCTTTTTACGACAGACAGTGGCCGTATTCTGATCCTCGAGCAGACAGGAATAACAATTTTTCATTTTCTTTTGAATATTTTTTGGTATGGTTGGAAAAAAACGATATAATTTATAATACCCATAATACTAGGTAAGTGATACGAGCATTTGAAATTAGATAAGTAAGATATGTAAGTGATTTCTTGTAATATGGATGATAAACTCCTATCAAAATTCGAGTTTCGCTGATTTTACTTCGACGCTATCGGACCCTCCAACTAAACCGAAAATCATCGAACCTTGCTCATCCAATGAGCTGATAGATCCAATGAAAAAATCCAATTAAAATACGATAAAATATAATCACGAGTTTAGTTTATTTCATAAATAAACGAGACACAAGAAGATTATTGAAGAAAACTTACGTGATAAAAAGGGTAAGTTTATTCATGAAAAAGTATAATAATACAAAAATATAATATTTTTGTTTTTTGAAAACAAAAATTGTAAGAATATAATAATTGGTGTTTTAATAAAACAAACACGTATATAATACATACATCATATAGTGTTTCCGGTTAAAAGATTATTCAATACGTAACATACACGAAACTCGTGTCACCTTTCTCAGACCCATCTTTTTAATTTTTTTTTTTTTTTTTTTTATTCGAGACTTCAAATCTTTTTATGTTTAACAGTAACACGGAGTCTATAAATGTTCCATAAATTCTGTGAAAAACAAAACATTACAGACTGTACTGTATACAAAAGTTGTATATAATTGATGCAATTTGCGGTCGAAATGACAGTGAAATGAAAAAAGAATTGATTATCTGTGAAAAAATGTTGTTTCGTGACACCGCAGATAATACTAAACGCTATACATTCGGTATGTGTAGTCTCATCGTCAGTATATCTATTTAATCACTAATGTATAGCGTCATGGATTTAAATGGAAACATGATAGGTAACAATGTCTTTGTTACAACACTAATTGTTGAATTAACGAAAGAATTGATGAAATGGCTTACGTGGCGTATACAAATTTTTTTAGAAATATTTTTAAAAATTTTCAAATTTAATTTTCCAAAAACAAAATTATATATAATACCTGTTTGCACTACCATTTCGACCGTATCTCATAATCTCACTTATCATATTATCTTTCTTTTTCTTAAACTCACTGAATACTGATAACAAATAAATTTGACAGAATTTTCGTTCTATCAAATACAGCTTTCAAATGTAAAACATACCTAAAAATTATATTCAGATAACAATGAATAAGTAACTACCATTTTGACAAATAATTTTGTATTGAACAACGGGGAATTGCGTCTCCATCTTCTTCGATCAATTTGTGATGTACAGCACTGAGAGCCTATATATCATATAAATTCATTATAAAACGAATATGATAGAAAAATGTTTCGACTGAAATATAAATATCTTTGAACATAAATGTCCATGTGTTTTGAAATGATTCTCGTAACGCAAACATTTAAACGCACGTACCTTAAAATATTTCACAGTTTTCACACGTAATTCTAGAGTCGCATCTTCGTCGCAAACAATAATTGTACGAGGATGCTGCTGAAAGGCTGACACAGTCCACATATGATTGATACCTTCTTCTATCGCTTTATAAAGGGCAAACGCTTTATGAGATCCTGTAATGAGAATCATTACTTCTTTAGCGTCCATTACAGTACCAACACCAACGGTCAATGCTTGTTTTGGAACTTTTGAAATATCGTTTCCAAAGAATCTTGCATTGGCTTGTAAGGTATCTTGTGCCAATGTTTTTACTCTTGTACGCGATACCAAAGAGGAACCTGGTTCGTTGAAAGCTATGTGTCCATCTGGACCAATACCTAAAAAATAATGCTATGTCGTATGAAAATTGATTTATTATATGTATATATTAAGTGTCATGTATGTACCACCAATAAACAATTCAATTCCACCAGCATCTTTGATTTTCTTCTCAAAATCGTCGCATTCTTGTACAAGATTCAATGCATTACCATCAAGAATATGTACATTATCCGGATTGATATCTATATGTTTGAAAAAATTATTATACATATAATAATGATAAGACTCTGGATGATCTCTAGGTAAATCGACGTATTCATCCATATTGAATGTCTTTACATATTGAAAGGAAAGTTTGCCTTCTTTGTGATATTCTATAAGTTTTTTGTACATTCCCAAAGGTGTGCCACCTAAATAATAATAAGAAATTATCACACCTACTCATTTTTAATGACATGTTATAATATTGAAAGTAACATATACCTGTTGGAAGACCAAGAACAAAATATTTATCCTTATTCGGCTGAAAATCATTGATTCTTTTTAAAACATATTTTGCAGACCATTCAGCTACATGATCCACTGTGTCACAAATCACTAAACGCATTTTAAATTTGTGTTATGTATAACATAAACTTCCACCTAATACTGAAAGAAAATATAAAATTATAAAACATAATTCATAAAATATATTGAAAAATTTAAATGATTTATAAAAATATAACAAACAATTTTAATGTTATAATTATTACAATAAACTGTATAGAAATAATATATAATGCTGTTTTACCAATTCCTGATTAAATTTATAGGTATATATGCAGAGATATCGCTATGCCAAACACCCTTTATCTCAATGTATAAACAGAGAACAATACTTTTAATTTAAACTTTGCATTACATTTAAAATTATTGTACTTTATTAAAATAAATTATATATGAATGCTATTATTGTTCATTATTTCCTTTTTATGGTCTTTTATGTTCGACATTTATAAAAAGCAGAAAAATGATTGAATATAGTATATATGTTTCTTTATTCGAAATTTATTGGAATCCATATTTGTGTATGTCATACGTATACAAGATGCCTGTATATTAAACTTATATTACATATAATGAATGGACTTTTGTGCCTCGATTAGAGGTCAATAACCAATGGTTGTTGACCTAACAAAGACATCATTCTAATTTTCTTTAACATATTTTAACATTTTGAGCTTTGTCAATTATAAATCTATGAAAAAGGTGGAACAAAAAGAATGCAACTAATAAAATGAATACGAACCTGAAAAAAAATTAAGAGCAGTTTTTTACAGTGTATTCAGCAAATCACTATATCAGCTGATACAAGACTAACCTAATCTCTTTCTTTCGGTTATTTCGAAAAACAATTAATATTCTGCTCAAAGATAAAATGATGTTTTAATGTATGTAGATTGTTAAGACCAGTTGATTGATGATTTGATAATACGCAATCTTAACATTTAATTACACGGTAGAAATTTAATTTAAGATAAGAAATAGGGCGACTTTTAATTTTAGTCGAAATGCCAATTTCTATTATTACTTTATCGCTAAAGCAAAATTGATTATGTTTGAAATACATATATCAATTTATTGTAAATACAAATATTACATACACCTGGCCGTTATTTAATGGTTAGAAAGTCTTTAGAATTTGGCGGGAATATGTGCTTAACGTTTTTGTTCGTTTTAACTAGTCAACACTTCTCAAATTTAATTTATCAATCAGTATTTTGAACATTGTAAAAAATTTCACGTAGACATTTTGTACATTTTATAATAAAAGATGCCCGAAGTAACAATTAATAATGTTATTGTAAATTTTCCTTTCAAACCGTATTCTGTACAAGAAGAATATATGACAAAGGTGATAGAATGTCTTCAGAATAATAAAAACGGCGTTTTAGAATCGCCAACTGGTACAGTGAAATTTTTTTATTCGTATATATCTTATCAATGACCAAAATATTAAAATTAATTAATAAAATATACCCTAGGTACAGGAAAAACTCTCTGCCTTCTATGTTCCTCTTTAAGTTGGTTGCTAACGAAGAAAGCTCAGTTACAAGCACAATCTTTAGTTGCTGGAGTAGAAAATCCTACCTTTGGAGGACACTTCTTTAAAAAATTAAAAAATGAACTTAACGAAGCTACAGGCAATTCAAATCCTGCTACTAGTTTCAGTTGGACAGCACCGAAAATTATTTATGCATCAAGAACACATTCTCAACTTTCACAAGCGATGCAAGAATTGAAAAGAACTTCTTACAAACATGTAACTGTGGCTGTGTTGGGATCTCGAGATCAACTTTGTATTCATCCAGAAGTCTCCAAAGAAATCAATGCTTTAAACAAGATATATATGTGTCAGTCTAAAGTGAAATCTAGGACATGCTTTTATTATAATAACGTTGAAACTAGGTAAACTATTGTTATTAATTTTCTTTTAACATTGATAAGTAAAATAAATAAAAGGTAAATTTTTTAGAAAAGATGATCCTTCCTTCAAGCAGGAAGTGCTAGATATAGAGGATTTAGTTAAAGCTGGTCATAAAAACAAATGTTGCCCATATTTCTTGTCTAAAGAACTTAAACAAAATGCAGATATTATTTTCATGCCATATAATTACTTGTTAGATCCAAAATCACGGAGATCACAAGGTATAGATTTACAAAACAGTGTTGTTCTTCTGGATGAAGCACACAATATTGAAAAAATATGTGAGGAAGCAGCATCATTACAGGTATTTAAATAATGTTACTAAATAAGATTGAATAAATAATGTGAACTTTTGATGTAATTATTCATTGTGTTATAGATATGCAGTACCGATATTGCCATGTGCATAGATGAACTAACTGTAGTAATGGAATATATAGCTAAGGATATTGAACAGAATGAATTTTCAATGGAAACCTCAGGAAATGTTCAAATAGATTTTACTGCCGAGGATTTATATATTTTAAAAACCATGTTTTTAGATTTAGAAAAGGCCATTGACTCGATACAGATCGTAAAACGTGAGGAAGGAGATACACACCCCGGTGGATACATTTTTGAATTATTAGAAAAGGCACAGGTAAATAGTCGATAAATAGTGATTGGCTATTTATGGAAGTCAAATAAAAAGAAATTAATATATTCAACAGTTAACCCATGGCAAAGAGCAAGTTGTAATAGAAAACTTAGAAAAAATTGTACTTTATTTAACAACTACAAGTACTTCTCCATTTACAAGAAAGGGTAATGCTCTTCAAAAATTCAGTGATGTACTAAGAACCGTGTTTAGTCATGGCAATAGCCTTCGCTATAAAGAAAAAATTAAACAGTGCTATAAAGTACATATTCAGGTAGAAGAACAAAAAAAAAGTAAAAAGGATGTTTGGGGAACAAAGAAGAAGGTCTCGAAAAACGAAGGGAAAGTTATTAGCTATTGGTGCTTCAGTCCTGGATATAGGTAATTTAAATAATTAATTGAATTTATATATTTCTACGTTAATTGTAATAATATAATATTTTGGAAAGTATGCAACAACTGATGGAACAAGGTGTGCAGTCGGTGGTATTAACAAGTGGAACATTATCTCCGTTAAAACCTTTTATATCTGAACTTGGAATACCAATTGAAGTTCAGTTAGAAAATCCACATATTGTAAAAGGGGAGCAAATATGCGTGGGTGTTCTTAGTCAAGGTCCCGATGGCTATTCTTTAAATTCTTCTTTTAATACAAGGTAATATATACCCTATACAACGTGTTGCATGAATGTTATGTTACACTTTGTACATGAACTCTTATAATGTACTACATGGACTGCGTAATTTCTTTTTAGGAACGATCCAAAATACATAATGTCTCTTGGACGAACAATATTTAATTTCAGCTGCCTCATTCCTCATGGTTTACTAATTTTTTTTCCTTCATATCCAGTAATGAAAAAATGTCGAGAAGAATGGCAAAACGTAGGTTTGTGGACTAAAATAGCAGAGCGTAAGGTAATTATTATATACAAAAGAAAAAAATGATTTTATGTAGAAATAGTAAATGTAATCAAACATTTATTTACATAATTTAGCCTATATACGTGGAGCCACAATATAAAGATGACTTTTTGAAAATTATAAATGAATATTACGAGAGAATTAAAGATCCCTCCCACAAAGGAGCTATTTTTATGGCAGTTTGTAGAGGTAAAGTGAGCGAAGGACTCGATTTTGCCAATGCAAACGGAAGAGCTGTAATGATAACTGGCCTTCCATTTCCACCTTTAAAAGATCCTAGAGTTATATTAAAACAACGATATTTAGAAGAAATAAAACGTCAAGATAACGATGTAATTAAAATTGAAATTTATAATATATTAAACATACATCAAATGTTTAAATTTTATGTTTTTTTCTTTCTCTCTTTAGGTTTTGTCTGGTCAGCAATGGTATCAACTTGAAGCATCACGAGCTGTTAATCAGGCTATTGGTCGTATAATTCGTCACAAAAATGATTACGGAGCTATAATTCTTTGTGACTGTAGATTTGAGAATCCTAGTTTTAAAAAGCAGCTGTCTGCTTGGCTGAGGCCTTATGTTAAAAATTTTAATCACTTCGGATCTATTACAAAAGAACTGAGAGATTTTTTCAGATACGCAAATTGTACTGTAAGTTTAATTTCGATATTCTTTTTCAAGTGTTATTGATGACTAGGACTATTAATTTACTATAAACTTTTTGTTTAGTTACCACAACCAAGAAATGTTTCATTACCGGCAACATCTGCATCATTTAATACGACTGTCTCTCAAATGTCAAAAAATACTTCGAAACCGAAAACTGATACAAAATCCTCGGTAGAAGATAATTTTAACATTGATTTATATATTGATAAAAATGAAAAAGATAAAAAACCAGCTGAAGCGAAGAAAAAAAGTTTTTTTGAGATTTTAGCAACTGATTCAAAACCTATGATTAATTTTAACACCTGCAAATTAGAAGAAAATCAAACTTCGTGTGAATTAACAAAAAGTATTACTGAATCAGTCAGAAAAAAACGAAAAATAATAATGTTACCCGTGGAATGCAACGAATACTTGTCTGGTCCTTCAACTCTTTCGGATGCAAATATAGAAAATGTAAATGCTCCGACAAATTCTCAACAGAGCAATGCAGAAACTGATATTAATAGCACCGATAAAAAGGTTTTGGGCAAAATGTATATAAAAGAGGTAAGTAATTTATAAAATATAATTGCAAATTTGTAACTGTTGGCAGCAGATATTTGTGAGAGAACTCTTCATTAAATAATTTTGTATAATTAATTCATGTATGCATTGCATTTTTAGGTAAAGCAATCTTTGTCGCAATCCAATTATAAAATATTCTCAAAAATAATACAAGATTATAACAGTACAAATAATTTTGAAGAATTACTAAAAGTACTTCAAAATCTATTTCCACCAAACAAAGGACTAGATCATTTATTTATAGGTATATTTTGTTAAATATTATTATAAAAATTCCTATAAACTGTTCACTTTTAATGATTTTAATGATGTATCATTTCCAGGATTTAAACATTTTTTAAAAAAACAACATATCGCTGCATTTGAAGTTCAAGTTGCACATTTAAGAGATATGCAATAATAACTTCAAATTACCAAGATTTAATAAAAGAACGATAAAATCTAAATGTGAGATTATTAAAACTACATTAAATGTAAATAGTGCCTAATGAATATCAAGTATTTTATTATTAAACGAGACCGAAGCAAAATAAACGTTTGACAAACTTGTATTTTAAAAAGACCGCTATAAATTAGGTATTTAATAAATAATTAAATGTGATCTGAGCAGAAGATTATAACAAATTAAGAGTTTCAAAAGGTTAGAAGGTCCATGGTTGAATAACTGAATATAACTACTAACCACTAGTTAAATAACTGAATATCAAAATATATTTTTGAATGTTTTCTTCTTTTATTTTCAACAATGCAAAATCCTAATTTTATTAATATCGCACCGCAAAATACTGATGGTTTCTTTTTAAAGCGTGCTGCAATTAAAAATTCAATGACTTAATTTACAACGTTGCCTTATCGTGGCCGAGCTGCAATTATTACCTCACAACCGCACGCATTAAGGAACATATTAAGCCAGAGGCACTGCCGCCGATTATATTATGCTCATTTTCATTCTATACCTAAGTACATATAAGTTACAAAAGAGACGATAATTGACTGGGAATGTCCTGTTGAAAGACAGTCAACAGAGATCATACGTGTCACGGTAATTAACAGCATTGCCTTTGGCTTAATTAGCGAGAAAATCTTACCCTGTACAACAAGGTGAAAAATTGACTTTGTACTATAGTGTTTTAAATACAAGTATTGAAATTATATTTTTATTTGATGCACATCAAAAACAATTGTACTAACTGAATTAGTACAGCCGTTGAGGAGGTCCCATAGAAGATTTGATATGAAGGGAACGCACATTCTGCCAATGTTTTTTCAACAACGAAACCAAAAAATTGATTGAAAGATGTACGTTTTGGACCAGTTCATCTGGAGTCATTTCCACATGTCCTACCGCTACTGATAGACACAATACCTAGAAATAATACATTTTTCAAATTACATACCATATAATTAATTTTTATAATCAAAGTCGACAAAGAATCAATAAATTTGTTGATCACAAATTCCTGTACCTTTTTCATTTGGAATTTAATTGTAGCCTTCACCTCATCAATCTTTCCCACCATTGATTCTTGATGAGAAAGAAGACCAGGAAATTTACCAGCTTTGTTAAGTCCAGGACCAACAATACGTGGAATTTGCTTAATTAAAGATTCGCTAGCCAAGAATGCATCATATTTTTTAGCTGAAAATACACATTTAATTTAATATCAGATTAAAATCTAATATAAAATTAAAAATAATTTTTAAATTTGTCTCAACGCGGATTGAGGCTCGATGTAATGATACAACGCTCCACACCAAGCGAAGAATTTAATCTTCTTCCGTTCGACGGCCATTGTTACATTCTTATCCATTAACAATGGTGCTTTTTGGAAGATAAACAATATTAAATTTACCAGAATATACATTAAAACTTACCTAACTTCTTTACAAGTTTCTTATTTTTATTCAATTTTTTCAATGCTTCAGCATCCATATATGGAATATTATTGGCTTTAGCTTCATCACAATGTTGTTGGTCACCCAGAACACAAACTTGCATCTTTGGTCTTGGAATATTTTTTAACCTTTAACACAAATTAATTTACAATATTATATTTTTCTGTAATTTAATATTAATATATTGTGTTTATAAAATGATATTCTTTGAAAATTTTAATTATGTATAAAAGTTAATGTTCTCAGTAGTGTATAAAGTATCCACACAAACTGTTCAGATAATACATGCAATATACCATCATCGAACAGTGTTTTTGATAAGCTTTGAATTTATTAAATAGTCGACTGAATGTTAACTTACCGACAGGATCATAAAGTATGATCCTGCTATAAAAATAACGGTACAATACCTCCCCAATTTATTTAAGACCCTGGGTAAAGGTCCGCCAGGTAAAACCCAGCTTCCTGACTACATATGAGGCAAACTTTTCAGATGATAGTTATCAAATATTTTTTAACAGTCATGAAAAACTGAAAAGAATCCTCAATGTCAGGTAGAAACATACTTGACGGTGCCTGAGAAACGTTTGTCCTTTTGCGGATCATAATTCTTCAAACCAATTTGTAGTTCCACTGTTTCTAAAAATTTTCTTTTTTTATCCTGTGAGTTTTGAATAACCGAGTTCACACACTCGTACAGAGTATCACGCGATACTTTGGACCTGTTAATAAAATTTTTATATTAGAAAATATTTAATACTTGAAAACATATATTAATGAACTTTGAAATTACTATATTTATATAAAAACACCATATACAAGATATTTGGTTGTAATCCACCCACGTGGCGAATGTGTTGTAATTTAACGTTAACCAACGTTTAACATTACTAACGTTAATATTATCGATTATAATTGGAAATTCTGATTTACAACATTAATTAAATATATAAAAAGTGTTACACACGTGGGGAGAACGAATGCTTTTGTGAATAACTGGATTATCAAGTACAGAGATTAATGGAACATAATGTTTGAAATTATTATTTGTTACAGAAAATATTAACGATTCCGACAAAACAATATAATGAAATAAATTATTCTAATAACAATGAAGGAATAAAACTTTGGATTACTAAAATATGAAAAGATTAAATACTCACGTCATTTCTGCACTGAATGGATCGCGGCTAGCAAAGGAGAAGAGAACCTGCCTGAACCTGCTTGACCGCGATTAAGACCGGAAAAGAAAGACCAAGTTGCTAGTAGAAGAGCTAAACGCTATGTATGTCCACTAGATAGGAAACGTCAATAAATATTCAGACTTCCTTATATAATTCCTCAACTTGATACAGGTGGCGCAGTAAACGTTGAAATACTTTCTGTATTTATCGTTATTTTTATATTCTAATTGTTTTTAAAACTATATTTCAATTTCTTTAATATATATACAATATATAATAATTTATTATTTGTTCAATGAGAAGAACGAAAATTTGTATATGTAGATAAATTTATCAACTAGATAATCATCTTATACTCTTAAGATCACAAGTATAATATATGAGTATATATGTAAGTATACTCAGTTGATAAGGCGTATAGTAGTACAAAAATTATTGCTGATGTTCATAACAGTAGATGATTAAGTGCGTAGTATCGTAGTATATTTTAATTACAAGAGTAATCATTTAACAATTATTCAACATTCTACTAGTCTCGATTTATGAAATAAGATGGGGAAGGTATGTTTTTTATTATGCTGCTTAGTTCCATTTATATGTAAAAATTATATCTGATGAGTGGCTTATTATTTTTATCTATGTATATTTACAGAGCTAGCGAATATTAATCATGAACTTTATTTAAATAATTTAATATATTATTCACAACTATTTTATAATAGAAAAAAATTGTATATCAATGACTCAAAGTTATGGAATTTATAAAATGAGTTTATCTTAATCAAATAAATTGTTTGTTAAGTATTCATATATATTTCTGTTACAGCATCACAAAAGAGAAATTCCACCAATGTTAAAAAATATATTAGCCATTGATGTTCAATTAACAGAGAAACTAGTAAAATGCATAGAAAAATTGATGCCTCTGAGACAACTAAAAATACATAACACTGCATTAGAGGTATGTCCAATAGTATATCTATAATAATGATTGATAAATATTATAAATTATTTTTTATCTATGTAGATATCATGTCATGGTATACCTTGGATCGCATCAATCCTTGCATTTATTTGGATTCTTGATAATAAAAATTTGTACCAAATGCAAGTGAATTTATTGTTTGGTAAGCATAACATTTAATAGGAATAACAATGCAATACCTTGTACAAATGTTTATGTTTATATTATTATATTTTTAGGTTTACTACTGGATATTATTGTTATTGCCATTTTAAAAGCATTTTTTAGACGAAGAAGACCAGTACCTACTAATGATCCTTTTTCAGTGGGTCCTGACAAATACTCATTTCCTTCAGGTCATGTTTCTCGTTCAGTGCTTATCTTTTATGTTTTTAAATATTTGTGGCCAGTATCTGTTATTTGTCTGCTACCAATAGCAGCATGGATTTTCTCTTTAGCTATGTCAAGACTTTTAATGAGAAGGCATCATATTCTTGATATCTGTGCTGGACTTATATTAGGTTATGCTGAAGGAATGCTCTTAAGTTTTTTGTATTTAGATGCTAAAACTTGTGCATATTTGGTATCTTGGCTGAATGATGCAAAAGTAGATGGTGCAGAAGATGATGCCTAGGAATTGATTATTGTTTGACTATAATGTTTGTCTGTTGACTTTAAAAAAGATATTATTCCTTAATTCACTATTTTACACAGTCAATTTTAATGATTATTTTTAACAAACTAACGCATGCAAAGAAGTGATATTTTAATATACCTTGATTTTAATTAGCTAAGTGAAATTCGGCAACTACCAAAATAGAAAAGAGTTAACTATAAGATTATTATTGCTAAGACTGCCTGAAAAATAAGGAATGTTATTTAATGATAGGAATTTATGTTTTATTTTAAATAAATGTGTGGGGGAAATTTATATTTAATCAAAGAATTATTATGTTAAAAAATAAATCATAATATTTTGTACTTTACCTGTTTATTTTCTTATCACATGAAATAATTTTTTTCAATAACGACTATTGCACCTTTATAGTTATGTCTCATCATTTTAAATATCCATAAATTTAGTAGTATAAAATACAAAATATTCCATGTATGACCATTAAATATATATGTTGTACGAATAGTTTTATAGTCTTCGGAAAACATTGAAATTCGAAAAGGAATGATAACAATTCCCCCTTTACTTTAATATTCTAAACGAAAGGAATGTTGAATTCAGTCATAAGAAAAACTTACACATTACTATATCCATGGTATATGAAAAGTATCTTGTACAGTACCGAGCATGGTCGGCTTCCCTGGGGAAGTAGAGTATAAAATTACAAGCCAGTTTATATATGCATTCTACACGAACAAGACGTGTACTACGATTTCAATTCATTCTTTTATGAATAACTTACTAATAACTTTAGTATCATAGTCATTACAATCAATGAAAATGTATTGTACTTAATGTCATTATAAATATGATTTCTATGATTCTATCATTCTATCCTCAAGTTCAAAATAAAATTATGCCAGCATATTATTCTAACAAAATCACTGACATCGCCTATAGTTTTGAAAATTCCATTTATAATAATTATAATGCACCCTGCATTTGTTCAAATTTTAATTATTTCATACAGGCTTAATTATCAAATATTTTTTGTTTAACACTCAATGATAATTTATTGAATGCTCCACATAATAAAATAAAATAAAAATAATCGTGTATACCAACTGACATACGGACATTTTCCATTGTCTACTAGAGTGAATTCCATTAGAATATACTTTTTCTAATTATTCTTATATAACATATCATTTTACTAATCATTCAATTACCATCAAGCTTTGTTAATGATTACTTTTCTCCAAATATTTCGTTTCAAGATGTAAAAGTTTCATGAATTTTTCCATGATTTTTCTATCACTCTGAGTTTCTTTACCACAAAGGGGAATGATAAAATTTAAGATCCAGTCGAGCATGCTGATTGGTACCAGCTACTTCTTGACTGCACGATGGCGAAGGTTTTATATTTTTCTCAGTTTTCTCTGTTTCCCGTAAAATGGTAACAAAAGGTGTTGGTTGATGTTCTGGTAAAGCAGGTGTTGGTACTGTCGACATTTCGCTTGTACGTTGTTTCTGTTCTTCTTCCGAATAAAGGCTCAACGAACGTGGGCGTTCTGGTTTCGATTCTGTCGCAGCTGGCGTACTCAATTTTTCACTGAAAAAGTAACTTCCCATGAAGACGTAGTGGAAACATGCACGATCACAACCGCATGCATTCAATGATTACAATCCCTTGTCACGTGCAATTGTATATTATTAAATTATATTCCTGCTTCAAAAGATGTCCATCTGATTACCCTTGGAAGATCATAATACACAACTGCTTATTACCATGAACTGTTTTATAGTATAATTCATTTTATTTCAGTATTGTAATAAAATACAATTGTACGCCATTGTAATTGAACAAAAATTATTATCGTAGAAGAAAGAAAGTACATCATGCACGAATCTCAATTGTTGCAAGTGACGCAAAAAAAAAAAAAAAATTACTTACTCTGCAAATAAGAATAAAAGGATCGTGTTGCCGGTGTGCAGAGGATTTTGAGGGATATTGAACTGGTATTTTTTTTTTCATGGGAGTGGAATCGCTCAATATCTGTCAACGAAAAGGAAGTAAATATAAAATTCATGCCGAGCATTTGGTGAATAACTTTTAATTATATGCACAGGTGCGAGTGACCATTGAAAAATAATAGGTATCGCAATAAATTAATCTAACGTACACATAATACATGCGCGAATTGTTCTAACGAGAAATGAAGCGTCTGTGTGCGTTGAAAGAGTGTTGTTGCAACGAATGACACTTATATTTCAACGTCTTTCATTTAACAAATTATAGAAAACTCTTTACAACGTTTTCTCCCATTTGTTTTTTCAGTACCCTAAACTCAGTTCAGTATCTATTAACATCTTCATAAATTTTTATGAGATTTTTATAAACAACGTTATAAAGGTTTTCCATATTGTGATTACAATTCTCAACCGTCAGTCAGTGTTATAAAACCTCAATTAATATCATTTCAGTCACTTAAAGCATTCTATACAGAATAGTGATAAATAATGAAAGACAATTTATTGTCTAGATGACCTTACGATCCATCCAAGAATTGAATTAATCTGGCTGATTATCTTTCGATTTTACTCACCCGGTACGCTCGGCGGATGGACCAAGCACAGCGGTATTATGAATTATCTAGAAAAAAGCGTTAATGCAATTAGTTCTGGTATTGCAAGCATTGGGAAACATTTCTAATGCAGCTATTAGTTGACTGAACGTTCTAGAAAATAAATTATAAGGATTATAAAAAAATTGTATTATTTCATTAATGAACAATTCAAATGGTGTTATTAATGATAATAACTGAGGCGTTAGCTGTATTATAACAAAAATAAAAATAAAAATATTTTAATTCAAAGGTGAAGTCTAAATCTTCTAATACATACAATTTAAAAGTAGAATATCAAAATACGCTTCAGTGTATTATAATTATATATTTTTCTCTGTTTCAACCACTTTGTGTCGCAAGTTCCAACCCGAAGTCGATGTTCTATGGTGTTGTACTTACATTCGCCATGGAACAAGGTGGTCGTGCTGCGGCGTATCTGCCAAATGAAGCGCGCGAAACTGACGACGAATAAGGAACACCGTTCATACTGAAAATATTAAAAATTTTTAACTGATTTTTACATGAAATCTGTCTAATATAATTATAGAATTGTTCCTTTAAATACAATAACATTGAGAGATTTGCTTTTATTATACATTAACAATTTTAATAGTATTAAATGTATTCTGTACCTAGAATTATTTTTTCCAAAATTATTGTGCATAGTGTTAGAAGCACCGATATCCATTGTCGCATTAGCTGGTAAACTGTATCTGTTTGTCCTTACATCCTGACGTTCTGAAAAACACCAAATAATCACATAATCGGTACAACTTTTTTATTCAAGGAATTTCATTAAAAGAAAAGAAAAAGAAAGAAATAACTTTCACATGAAATAAACAATTTATCACTCTCTGACAGAACCACAAAATCCTCCACTTTGAAATAATTTTAAACATCGATATTTCTTATCACTTTTCTTATTACGGACTACGGATAAAGATGACCAATTTTCTGTCTTGTATCAGTTCAGGTCACGAGAATTGGATCAGCTCATACATAATCGACATCGCGACGAGTTTATCATTTAAGGACAGCTTCGAATCGACCCAGGGTAATCGTATAATAGGCTCGTTGTAGGATGACATTGACCACGATTTAATACTTCTCCAGGTATGAATTACCGATTTAGGGCACCGTTCGACGAAGGACGGACTATAATGCGAACCGACCTTCGTTGCACCATTCTTGTACCTTTAACTTGAAACCAGATCGACAATGGGTTCATGGTCGAGTTTTTTATGAAATTACCTTCAAGACCAGACGTTGTATGGTTTATCCTATCGTTAGATGGTTATTTTTATACCTAAGTCTTCGTTACAACTTTGAAGATAAAATTTTCTTTTGATAAACTGTTTACATCACACCTTTCAAACTACAACATAATATTAAATACTAGAGAAAAGGAACGTACCATCATCAAAGAATCCTTGAAAAACAACAAATTTGTTGTTCTGAGGAATTATTTTCGAAAGACCATAATATTTGTCTAAGAAGGCTAAGAACTTCTCTGAAGGTCTATCAATCGCTAGCTTCACCGGCCTGATGTTTTCTTCCTAAAAAATAATATTACAGTATTATTGAAACAGATAAACAAAATGTTAGTACATTAATTTCTTTTTCCGTGAGTGTAAATGATGAATGAATTGTGATGTAGGAAACACTTTGAACGAGTTCAGTCACCTTCTGAGTTACCTTCGACCGTAACGCCCATGTATAATGACCTTTTGTCACGCTGCTCTTTAAGATTATCTACTACCACTTTACTAACCCAACCTGAACAATTTCTTATCGAGAAACAGTCACGAAATCAAGATTCTAGGCGTGCAAACATTTTTCTTGGTAATTCTGTTTTTGTTAGTCATTTGTATAGATGAAAAATACCTTTTAAAACATTTATTTAATGCTTGAACCTTATTCGACCTTCTTCAATTACGCTTTAAATATTCTTAGATGGCAGCGAAAGCGTTGGGAAATTGTTAATTACCCTTAATCATACCCGGCGTTAATTACCCTGCTCGTTATTCGTCCTTTACTCGAGTTACGCTTTAGATTCTCAGAATCTCGGTGAAAGTATGGAAAGACTGTTGATTATCTTCGCCGTATGTAATGTTGATTACTATGAATGCTATTCAATCTTGTTCATTGAATTTAGAACGGTTCTAAAGTCATTAACGCATTGTGACTGTAGATCTACCTTTCATGAAATAAATCATAGACTTTAATAGCGTAGATCTACGGTCTTAGATAATATTTAATTATATAATTTTGCTAATTTGATTATAAACACTAAGCTATTAAATATATATATAAAAAAAAAGAAATTTTTTGCAAAATAGAGAACGCAAGTTAATGGTAGACTCTGTACAGCATCGTAAAACCGAGTTAATAAGCTTTAATTACGGAAAAGTACCGTACAGACCGGCAATCGTAATAGCTAAGCACCGTGCACGAGACCGAGCTGAATTCACGTGTCGCTAGGCACTTGCTGTGATTCTGACAGAAGTGCAGCAACCATAACAGAATGAGGTAAAGAAAAAACGAGGTAGGATATGAGCCACCAGCACGAACAGCAATTCTTTGCCAACCCTTTTTCTTCTTCTTTTTCTTTTCGCAGATTTATGGACGTCACTTTGAAATTAATCGTTCCATGCACTATCCAGTGCGTTCCTTTGTATGCAAATGGTGTGAAATAGCTTTACCTATTAATTTACTCAGAACAAAAAAAGAATGAAGAAAAATATAATCAGTTTCGTATTTTTCAATCTACTTGTTTACTCTTCGTTCTGAATAATTATGGAAGTACTTACAGAGAGCATGTGCTGATAGAGAATATTTCCAAGGCCCATACGTTGTCGAGATTCATGAACGTAAAAGTCGAGAATGCATCTCGGCTTCAGCTGGTAATGAGCACCGATCTCGTCGAACATGAAGAGATTCTTCGATCCGGTCTTTAACAGTCCTACCACGCTGCCCAGTTCGCTGTTGAATCGAAGCAAGATTGTAATATCATGCGACAATGATTCATGGTTGTGGTCCACCGATCGTGGCTTGCATCACTAGTCGTAGATAGCTTTGCAATCAATGCAACGGATGTAATTGATGTTTTGATGCATCAATGCATTAACGAGAACCAGAATCAGACTCGTTTTATTCAAATACAAAAAACAAGAAATATGATACGAGATAACTGGTTTATCTGAAATACTGTTACTTTCTGAAATTTTAGCTCTCGATAAATGAACATTCTGAGTTGCGGTCATTTTGACCCATAGTTAAAACATCATTTGCGAACAAACGATGCATCGTTTCGGTACCGAGAATTTGCGTGTACAGGGGTGATAAGAATTTTCTCAACGATGCTGTCTGCTGGCGAGCAGGAAGTGATTAGAGAAAATATGAAACGCCCTGGGCGTAGAACCCTTTGGACGAAGATTCTGGACGGGAAAGCTGGATTTCTGCAGCCACGGCGACACCAGACACGACATATCGATCCACCAACCAGTTTGCACATCGTGATACCCTTTATCCTGGGAAATACAGCTTCCTTCCCACTGGCTGGGGCTCAAGTTACTATTTTTCAACAGGGTTCTCTTTAGAATCAACATTTACTCAGGTTTTAAATCCTTTAAAAGTTGCCTGGGACCACCTTGTATATTAAATTTTTAAGTGTGAAATACTTAGAAAACTCACTTGTTAGCCTCATTGTCGACTAATAAATAAACTATATGGTCCGTATCTCGAAGTTTCAGAGAGTTGGTTATCGACTTATTCAACCCTTGAGCCCTTGCTGAAGCCTCGCCCATGTCGTCTAAAATTCTGCTCAATTGTCTCTGACATTCGCTGGAACAGAAATTTTTAAACGCTTTATCAGTTGTATACATAATTAAAACTTCCAAATAATCTTACAATATAATGTATTTATATTCAATTAGTCTTATTTACTAAAATTGTTGTTACAGTGAAAAGAGAAATCGATTCTTTCCCGGAAACTTTATAAGCAAACTTAAGGAGCACACCAGTTCAATAAGTAATTCGACCTCGATTACAATGATATTCATTAACTTTGTTGTAAGTTGCGGTTTACAATTGAAATAGCACGAAACAGGTGCTCCACTTTCGGTTCTCTTCTCTTTTCTCTTTTCCTCAAGGCAATCCTTCTATTTTATTTTATTTCAAGAAAGTATCGTTATTGTTGCATCTCTCTAATTTTAGATCTGAATATTTTCACCATTTCATTCATCGCAATTATTGTTTCGTCAACAGCTTCTCTGTTTTCAAATCATATCGAAAATGTTTCCATAATATTCATGATTGCTTGAATACACAAGGACATGTTTGCGTCGCAATGCAATTACGCGACGGAATAGAGGCGTTGGGACAACTTTTCCGGAAACATCGATTCGTAAATCAATTACACAATCTGATTACGCTTCGAAATTATTGGCGTCTGACTCAGCGGCGTGCGATTGATTGTTTTCTTGTTCCGCGTGTTTGAAAGTGAGAAAAAACTGGAGGAACAAGAAACAGCGGGAAGAATGATTCGCATGGCGAACGTGACGATTGATGTGAACGAACCACTTTGAAATACCAATAAAGGTGAAAGTATATTATTATTGAATACCGTGTACTCGTGTGATGTTACAAAACAATCAAACACGATAAATTATCTGTGTAGACTACACGTTGACTGTCATAGTAGAACATAGAGGATTGCAATTGTAAAATTACAGTTCTCGGACAAATGTGTTAACCCTCACCCGGTTGATAACTGGTCGCTTTTGAAGACAGACACCTGTTAATGAATTATTAAAAAGATCCAGGTGCTACATAAGATTCTCTGCTTCATTTCTTTTTATCACTTGTTGTAAGTAGCTGCTATTTGGGAGCATTCGTGAAAGAAAGTCGATCATACCATAAGTTAATGTGTTACGAGATCCGACCTAATTTCTGAGACTGGAATTCAGCCGGTAAAGCTATTTTGCAATGCAAATGACGATCGATTATCCTAACAACGTAATGTTTTCAGGAGACATTGAAAGGTACGATGATGGATCATCGAGGGTCACGTGAAGTTTCAAGTATCAGGCAACATTGGTGAATTATTGAAGGAATTAACCCATTCGTAACCATGATCCAAATATGAAGTACATCAAGTAATTTAACTTTGTAATGGGAAATGTTCCAAGGTGTTAGAAATGAAGGCCTTTACCATATATACCTATAAAAAAAAAAAATGTAAATATTTAATTTAACATGCAGCTAACAAAATAGAATTATCTTACAAGAATAAATAATATACCTGTAATTATATGTAATCGAAACGTTTAAATCTAAATTTGATTTTCATATTATCATCCTCGAAGTTGCACAGCTATTTTTAAACCAACTCGTAGCGTTCTCATTCCAAGCATCTACCAGTGCTAGCAGCAAAGCCAAGGAATCTATTAAAATATCTTTACACAAACAAAATTAAACGATAATGATCGTTACACGAACAGATAACGTGGCTCGGCTTATCAGAGATGTTGAACGGAATTGCGTGGCATTAAAATTCTCGTTCGCCTTCTATTGGCGATATTTCATCGTGTTGAATGAGACAGTTCGTATCAATTAACTTTAATCCTACGCTCGTACAAGCATCATCGGAAACGAATGAGACGCAGAATAGAAATAAAATGAAAAAAGAAGGAAACTGAATGTTTCACGCTACTTTCACGAGAAAAAGAAAATCATTCTCATGAATATGCGATCCGCTTCAAAACTGTGAAATCATCGCGCTCGTTTTCTAAAATGATCAAGAATTTCTGAAAATTTATTTCTATTGAAACGTTTTTTTTTTTGTTTCTGGGAAAGCTTGATTTGATCGCGATTGTATCCATTACTTTGCTCGCACAATATAATCTGCTTCGATGAGAAAAACGAGATTTAAATTGACACAATCAAGACACAATCACGATGATAGGGAGATTGCTATACCCATACTATCGCTACCATATGGAGGCTGAAGGGAAATTGTTAGTTAATCCTCCGAGAGAAAATGCTGGGTCATCCGGGACCCGCCCTTAAGGGGATTTTTTTACGATTCATTCCAGGTAGATCGGAATCGGGGAAAGGGATAGCGATTATCGATTTCATAACAGGCGAACAGGGCGAATAACCGGCCCGGCAGAATTTCATCATAGACTTCCGCGAGATTGCGAGTCACCGTTTAAGAATTCAAACGTTTGAACAGCTGTTTGCCTGGCGAAAAGCAGTCCTAACGCGACGACAAACATTCTAATAGTAGGTAAACATACGAATCGAAGAATACTAAACGAAAGAGGGGAAATATTTGAGCGTGAAGTCCAAATATATCCCCGGCGTATTACGGGCTGCTTGTAACCAAAGGTGTCCTGATTAATTTTCATCTGGATGTTTACGAAAGGGACGAAGACTAAAAGGACACGTGTAACGTGTATTCGAAGGCATTATTTTCAGCTGCCCCCGCAACCCTATTCTGAACGCCCACATTGCAAACAATGGGACTGAGGGAACTCAGAAAATATGCGAAACTAGAGTGTTCTTTGTGTGTTTTAACACGTTTTATATCGTGAGAAATATTTTTACCAACGAGGCCGACAAATTAAACCTCGGTATAATTTCAAACCTTTCTTAAATTCCATTAAAACTGTAGTTCGAGCGTGTAAGAATCAGACCGTGTCATCTAATATGATTATCCTGTAAGTTTTCTCAAACATTCCTTATTCAATTGTCGCATGTTTGTTCATAATCCTGTAAACATTTCAATTAGAGAATGGTCATTTTCTAAAAGAATTTTTGCACGGTTATCTCGGGAAAGAATTCAAGCGACGCCAACGCGTGTATCTGTTCCATTGACATTTACTTTCGCCATCGATTTGCCGGCAATATCGGCCAATGTGACACCGTCAACGTCCTCGAATACAGTGTATTTACATTATAACTAAAACAACGGTGATTATGTTCCAGGAAGTGATCGAGACGCAAGAATGACTATAAATTGACTAGGCCTGGTGTCATCGACGCGAAGTGAAAGTACTATGCATGTTCCATATTACAACGTAACCTTGAAGATGACGACCGCGATAAATAACCTCTTACAGTGTATCGATTTTTACTTTTCTTCCAGCATCCGCTCTTCTTTCTCGCAAATAATTTTCAAACAATTTCGCACATCTTCTTTTCTACATTTTAAGCATGACGTGACACGTTTGTCTGGATCAGGGTTTCCCAAACTACGTTCAGCGACAATTTGGAAAGTTTTATATTTAAAAATAATGTGTTTTAATAACATTTTTTAAAAATTTTTACTAGTAGGTTATTACCCAACTTAAAAAATAAGCTAAGTATTCCGTTAAAATTTTCAGGTTTGTGAATTATTGCAGAAAAAGTTTGGGAAATCCTGGCCTCGATTAACATTTGATACAACAATGTCTAAATGAAATATTGATATTAACGAGATGAGAGATAAAAATTTGTAACTCACTGTAATTCACGACGATCACCTCTGAAGTCTTCTGGGATGAGGGTATGGGTGACCTTGTTGATCTTTCTGGGTAAGAGTTTATTTACGTTGAACTTGAACTCCATTTCGTCGACGATTTTTCACCACCGTTCCGTCGATTTCCACGCGTAAATTCGATCAACAACCGGCCCTTAACCTTTCAACGCTTCTGTCACTTTACCGACGTACTGTACCACCACCTTCCAGTTTTTTTTCGAAACTGTCTCGATTGTCCTGAATATGGCGGTCAATGGCATCCACCGGGCCAACTTCACTGCGTGGTTTCCGGGAGGAAAATTACGATGTTTCGTCTTGCTTCGAGTCACAACAGGCTGCGTTTAATCATTGATCTGATTGTTTGTCGCCTGTCACACTCGGTGTCACACGAATCTTCTTACTGTCGCGTGATTTTACGCGATGAATTCTATTTCCGTTTTTCGATGTCACCGCCTCGTGTTCCTCGAACTGTTTACTCACAATGCAAGGATCCTACGTATATTCTTCCAATATCTTGAGAAGAATTGCCGTTTTCAACATGTTCATGAGTGCAGAGACAAAGTGTACAGCTTCTCAAATCGATTAATACACTACGAACTGACTCACTTCGCGGCTCGTAGCCGACTGATATCCATAGTTGCTAATGTTGCTATGACGTCGATTTTTTACTATTACGGTAAGTTGCGAGAGAAGTTAGGAGTAGTATCTCTGGTAATTTGACAGCTAACCGATACAGTTTCGAAGCACATCGAGGTTGTGTACTGTATAAAATCACTGGTTTAGAAGAATGATTGTAGACAAAGGTACTCGATAATGTAGTGGAGAGAAATTTAATAACGAGACGGAGTTTCACCTGCCGAATCGCTGGAAGTCTCACAGTTTACTGGCGAGCGGTACGTTCAATTTTTTCCTTACAGCCGCGAGTCGCGCCGAGGTGCGCGCGCATCCATGAGCCGCAAAGCGTGACGATCCACTACTGCGCATGTGCGAAGAACCTTCTTTTCTTTTTAAAATGATTAAAATCATTTACCTAAAACAATATAAATAATAAAACCTTGTATATCCTTAATACATTTCAAACAATAGCAATGCAGTTTTCAACAATCCATAATATGGAAAATTTAAACATTTGTATAGCCTGAACTTAATTATGGTTACGTTCGATGTATGTTGATGGTTTCAGCTTTTCAGAGCTTGAAAAATAGTCTGCGCCAATCGTGTACTTTAAGCAATCACACTAGAATGCATTTACCACGTTAGTAGTAATAAAAATGAGGAGAAACATTTGTCACTGACTTTAGAATGTTGTGATCACATAGTGTTCTGCAAATGGTACTGTGAGCGCCATCTAATTTCGAAATACTGACGAACACTAAATTGTAGGTACTGCTTAGTCGGTACTATGTTTGTATGTTTTCGTTTTTATTTCTTTTTCTCTGTAAAATGGTGAGAGAGCTCAACCGTTTCTCAAACTACGTATCCTGTATTTTGTTTGTTAAATAAGTATTAAACGATCCATTAAAAAGATGTAAGTAAAGTGGCAATGTAAACATAACTAAAGTTCTAAAGTAAGTCAATGAAATTCTTATTTTATAGGATTTACGTCGTAATGCTAACCATTTTATATTTCAAACTTGTAATAATGGCATTTTGGTAAGTATTAATTTTATAATATATATTTAATATTCATCATGTGATGAAATAATTTCGGTTTATCTATTAAGGTATTCTATTGGTTCCTATGGAAGTTACACATTACTGGTGGACCAAGGTGAGATAACAGGTGCAAAAATTGCGCGCGCACTTATGATGAGCGGCATGGTGTTATGTTCTATGGCATAATATGATCAGCTAATATGATGTCATAAAGTAAATGTACTTAGAAGCCAAGGGATGTATTAGCTTAATAGAAAACCGGGGAATGTTGAATTTCGAAATTAAAAGCCATAGAAACATAACAATAAAATGTGTACATCAGAAAAAAAATTATAAAATAAAATAATTGGTTTAAAAATAATTTTGAACGTAATAGTGTTACTATTACTTTCAATCAATTCAATAAACAAATGAATGATTTTTTACAGGAATCGCTACATCGTATGCAATAAACTAAATGAAAAAATAGTATTGCAATAGAATAGTTGGCAAGCTTCCAAGTTAAATTGCAAGATCGCCGGCTGGTATTGAATGTATTGTACATACATAGCAATTAATTGCATTCGACAGCCGATTTGCATACGACAAAGCTTGTAAAAGGAAAAGAATTTTAAGGTAAACAAACGTAATGGCTTTTGTGAACTTACTTTCAAGGTTTTTCTATTTCACCCAAACTCGCTCGATTTCAATTTCAAAGAAAAAATATCTAAAAATACTTGCAGTGCTTTTAACTTCTTACATAATAATATTATCAATGTTTTGTTAGAAACAATGGAACATAAGTAATTATATGTAGTTAACAAAGAAATCTTATTCAATTAAAATAATAAGAAGGAAAAGAAATTTTTGTTTTGCCATGTAGCAATAAATAAGCGTGTTTGCGTGAAGTATGTAGTTTAGTAATTATTAACGAAGATCGTACGATAAGTTATTCACTGGACAAACTTTTTCGAGGTTCTTTTCTCCCGGTTCGACCCTGGCTGGAAGGATGCGCGTAAAGCATCATCTTTGGTGATCGCCTCCCAGAAGCTGAGCGGGAAAGATATTTTATAAAGCACGCCTGCACACATCGGCGTTACGTGATTCGTATGTGAATTGCTCGTTAATACTTCTGGTAAGACACCTCTTACTCCATTACACCTATATAAACTACTACTAGCCATCGGCGAGGGTTTAGTCGAACGATTACTTTAAACGCGAGCACGGAGGTGTTTGTCCCATTTCGTGCCTCTGAGGGCTATGATATTCCTATGGTGTTGATAAAGGTGAGATGGTTAAGAACATACGTTTCGTTAATACAATAAGTATCATTATTTAAAACTGCAATAAAATCAGTGTTTTTAAAAGAAAAAACTTCCATACATGGTATCAAAAAAATACAGAAAGTTGTTTCTATTTAATATTTATATTTGAAAATTAAACACAGAAATAAAGTTCTGAAGTTCAATTAGAATCGGTGAACGTGAAATTCAAATGTATTCTTCGACGCATAATGTCAATGTTTCTTTTGGAAGTGTGTGCATTGTCAACAGATAATAAATGATTTCTCATAAACGTTCGACGAGTTTTCTTTAGGTGGCATAAAAGTCCATTCATCGTATTTAATAAAAATCTTGCCGAGCGTTCTTTCATCCACTTTGCATGAAAACCAATGAAAATGTGAAGAATCAGCGACGTTAGCAGATGATAAAATATACATGCGTCAATGAAACAGAAATATGTTTATTAGGAATAAAAAGGTTTGCGCTACTCTTGCGGTGCAAGATATGATGTATTGTGAGTATATACAGTAAAACCTGGATAAATTCAACCAAGATTGGGACCCAGTGGTTGCGTTTACCTAAGCACGGTACAGTAAAACCTGGATAAATTCAACCAAGATTGGGACCCAGTAGTTGCGTTTACCTAAGCACGGTATCGAAGCTCGGATGACACGCGACGACCAGCCAAGCGTGAACGTTGAAAGGGACAGACAGTGGTGGAAAGAGAGAGGTCCGAAATCAAAGGAAAGAGCCGAAACGTATCGGTGTGACTAATACTAATTGAATCAAAAAACTTTTTTATTTTTGACTTTTTTTGAGTGAAACTTTTACTAGCGCATTGGTGAGATTTTTGTGAGTAAAGTGGTACCAAACACGATATAGTTTCAATTATAATTACTTGCTAAAATTGATGTTATAAGTTGGCGAAAAGCAAGAGAGATCGAAATCCAAACCAGTCGCGGTGTCGGCTTTGGTTTCAAAGGTTTCATTTATCCTAGCGAGGAGTCGATTCTGGGCATTTAATGTTTCATTTATTCAAGCAAGGAGTCGATTCCGGGCATTTAATGTTTCATTTATTCAAGCAAGGAGTCGATTCTGGGCATTTAATGTTTCATTTATCCAAGCGAGGTGTCGATTCTGAATCCGTACACATGTTTTCTTTGTAGCCAACATGCCGATTCTGTGTCCGTACACATCTTTTGTATTCAGCCGACATCATTTATATTCAGTCGTGGTCTCAATTCTATGCTGTTTATTCTATTACTATTGTTTATAAATATAATTCAACCTATATCGAGTTTGGTATCATTTTAATCAGAAAAATCTCACAAATGCATTAGTAACAGTTTCATTGAGAAAAAGTTAAAAATAAAAAAGTTTTATCGTTGAATTAGTATTAGTCACACGGATATTACGGTCGGATCATATTACACGGTTTCCTCGTCGAGCGGCTCGGTTCGCCTAGGGGGATCCCCCCAAGTGGAGGGGATAGCGATGTTTCATTTATCCAAGCATTCTTTCGTTGAATTTATCCAGGTTTTACTGTATTATGGACTTTGAGCAAATCTTGAGCGGTCCAGAAGGATCTGGTGGGAGCAAACGTTTAAATAGCTTGAATCTCTATGGGTGCGCGTGAGTTCAATGTTACGGCTCGAAAAAATTTTTGGTCCACAGTGTTGTTCGGTGCTTTACAGTGTTTTTGCCATAGCAAATCATACATTTAATTAAATATGGTTGTTACAGCCCAACAAATAGTAAGTGGCAATGTTTCTTCCTGGTTGAAACATCAGTCGAATATCAATTAAAATATAGTGACTACTTGTGATTTTCACTTGCTACACTCTAAATGAAATGTTCGTTAACAAGAAGAAAATGTGTGAAAAGAAATTTTATTAGATGTACTCTCATTTATTATAATTATCAGTGTTGTTATTTATAATCAACGAAATTTATTTTTAACTCAGAAGCATTGTTCTCTACTGTGAAACATTATTATTCAATTGGCACGTTGCTGTAGTAATAGCACGTTCCAATGAATCAATTAATTGGGGATACAACTTGAATAATTAATTAAACAGATTTGGGGGGGGGGGGGGGGGGGGGGAGCTGACCCTAGTAGAATTGAATTTTATTTTAAAACCTCCTTTGTTTTACAAGAATATCAAAATAATTTTATTATCATCAGCATATCTTCATTTCTGATTAAAGATTTTCGCACATTATCGGTGCTTGATAGAAAGAGCGGTGCTTTACTGTGGACAAGGTACACTAACGAGTTAATTTGTTTTTAGCCGTGATCCGAACACAAAATAATTAACTGAAGCGTGATAACAAACGCGATGGATAATATGTTTTGGAAAAATGTTCCATCGATTTCTATTAGAAAACCCATGGAAATAATTTTTAACAATTTTTCAAAGATTTTACGACATTACAGAAGTCAATGAAGTTTTAAGTGTTTAACAAAGTAATTATTTGTTTCGACAGTGGGACCAGACACCAGGTGGGGTGTGGACTTACCTCATTATTTTGGCCAGTGTTTACATTCTGTATATTCTCAGGACTTACATCAGAACAGTCATATTTGTATCTCGTTTAAACGGACCGAAAACTGTGCCTTTTCTCGGAAATGCCAGATGTGTTCTCAAAGATAATTGTAAGTAATCAAAAATGACTGAAGACATCATTTACTCTGTCACAGGATCTATGAAATTAAAGAGACGAGTGGATAAGGGTGTTATGTAACATACGTTTAATCAATTTTTTGATGTAATAATATTCTTTGAAATTGGATAAAATTGAAATTTGAAATGTTTCAGTGCTGCATAGACTGGCGCACGAAAGTCAGACGTACGGTCGCATCGTCAGGATATGGCTGACAGGATTACCATACGTAATACTCATCGAACCGGAAGACATCCAAATAGTCCTCAGCAGCATGAAGCATACACGCAAGATATTCTTCTATAAATTACTCGACAATTTCCTCGGGAAAGGCTTGATCACCAGGGACGTGGATACCTGGAGGACTCACCGGAAATTCTTGCAGCCTGCTTTTCATCTTCATATTCTCGAGAGATTTACGAGTACCTTCGCGGAATGCGCGGACCATCTGATGAACCAGTTCCTTAATAAGAATAATCAAGAAATCAATATCACCTCTTTCATCAATGATTCGGTGTATGATATTTTAAGCGGTAAGCAGAAATTAATTTTTTGCAAAAAACATGTATTAGAAATGGGTTTACACTATGATGTCACTCATAGCTCATTTGATCTTCAAGAATGCATATAAATGTACTTTGCATATGAATAAGAAAGTCAACATTTTGCTCGACGAAGTGCTCTTTTGCAATGCTTTTATTGAAATTACTACGAATAATTAATAGGGTCACGTTTCGTCACGTTTATCCGTTAGACACTTTCATTTTTTACATCAGAAACGTGGTACTTTGTGATGTTAATGACAAAGATGATATTTTGATCTTTTAAGAATATCATTTGCTATAACTATACAAAAAAGTGGAGAAACATCTGCATTCTGAAATCGTTATTTATACAGTTTTATTGTTGAATGATAAACATAATGTTCATATTTGTTTTGTTATTAGAAGTACACGACAAATTTGTTATTCACAGCATAAAGTTGAAATCCATTCGAATCTGAGACGGGTGATAAGTACGTGTTAAGTACCGAATAATCTTAATTAGCATTTGAAATGAACTTTTGTTTCTCCGATGTTTCAAAATTTGCAACGTAATACCTGTTAGTAGATTTTTGTTGTAAGAAGATCTCTGGATTACGTCCACATCGTCACCGAGAATCGGTGGTAATATTTGAAATTATTATTAACTGTTTGCAGAAACTGTTTTGGGAATCAACCGAGCGAGTCGACAGTCTGGTTTAATCATGGATGATGATCTGCCTTTCAGAAAGTGAGAATCGAATAATATTTTTGTCTAGTATTTATTTGCTCCATATAAATTATTCCAATTGCCAAAATTTTTACAACTTTGATCAATGCTTTTTCTAATTACAACCATAATAATTGTTAAAGTTTCCAAACAATTTTACGATTATCAATTATATATTTTTCCAGGGGACAAATCATGTTATTGTACCGTATGGTAAGACCCTGGTTGTTAATTGAATGGATCTATCGACTGACAAAACACGGAAGACAAGAGGAGAAACAACGGAAGGACCTATTCAATACTTGCTTCAAAATGATGAAGGAGAATCGTGACCTCCTCCGAAATAAAGATATCAATGTGAACGAAACGAAGAATATCAAGAGGACATCTTTGCTCGAGTACATGGTTGAAATGAACGAGAAGAATCCTTGCTTCACCGACGAGGACATCGTCGAAGAGTGTTGCACGTTTATGTTGGCTGGACAGGATTCAGTTGGCACTGCAACAGCGATGACAATTTTCCTTTTAGCCAACCATCCTGAATGGCAGGAGAAATGTATAGAAGAACTGGATAATATTTTTAATGGAAGTTCGAGGCTTCCAGCAATGAAAGATCTGAAAGAAATGAGGTGCTTAGAGATGTGCATCAAGGAATCCCTTCGGTTGTATCCTAGTGTACCGATAATAGCTAGAATACTCGGCGAAGACGTGAAAATCGGTATGTTTTTATTATTCCTGATCTACGTGGAAAAATATTCCAGACTTCCTTTATTGATCTGAACATTAACGCCTTGATTACTATGTTTAATGAAAACGGTCATATAGACATAACATATTTAAATAAGAATTATGCAGAACACTATATCAAGAATTGTCTAGCAATGTAAACAGTTAACAACACGCATTTTAATTGCATGATTATTAATGTATATTTTAGGAAAACACGTGGTTCCAGCGGGCTGTGGTGTATTCATATCACCTTACAGTACCCATCGCTTGCCCCATCATTTCTCAGATCCTGAAGCATTTAAACCAGAACGTTTTAATTCAGAAAACTCTGAGAAAAGGCATCCGTATGCTTATATACCTTTCAGTGCTGGACCAAGAAATTGCATTGGTAAAATTACTTTTCAAGATAAGCTACCTTTCAAAATAAGTTACGTGCAATAAAGTTATATGAATGTTTTTTCAGGTAATAAATTTGCAATGCTGGAAATGAAATCCATGATTAGTGCCATTCTTAGAAAATGTCGATTGGAATCCATTCCGGGCAAAAAGGAGGTGCGACCAAAATTTAGGATGACGATCAGAGCGCAAGGTGGACTCTGGGTGAAAGTAGTTGTGCGGGATCAAAAATGAAAAATTGTGTTAACTTAATTAACTTAATTATAATTTGACAAGTATATGAAATTTTTGCTCAGGTTACATGTAAATTATTGTTTTCGTACGTTTTTAGTGTAAGAGTCTTCGATTTTTTGTTGTTTAAAATATATCTAATATAAATAGTATCTTTATTTAATGAAAAATCGATGGATTTTAGGATTTATAGTATCTTATAAAATAATTGTAATATGTATCTTATAATTCTTTATATTTTTATTTTACGATTAAACGTTAAACATGTAAGTAATGCTAGCTGTAAGTACCTTATGTAAACCTCTTACCATTTTTCTGTTACATCATGCTACATCGATTGAAAATGATATTACATCCCAGCATTGCAAAAGAGTAGAAAGCTGTAAAAGATATCCAAATTAACATGTATAATAATATTAATTTCAGCATGTACAAGAACCCACGAATTTTTAGATGGTTATTGTAAGAAACTTAAAACAATATATTATTCAGTTTTTTCTTTGGTATTTATTATTTTAATGGTTATTTAAGTATTACAGTTTTGAATGACACAATTTTAAATTTCCACCAATAGCAGTTATTTGCCATCCAATGTCGACCAATCAGAATCGTCGTTATTGGCTGCTACACAATACGTTATTTCTCTTCGATACTTCGTCCTGAGTGCACGTGCTTCTAACCGGAGAAATTAAATCGTGTTAAAATATTATATTAAATTGTATTTCTGGTATAAAAAGTATCAAAAAAAGAAGGAAAAGTTGCAGAGAAATCCAGATGCACAACTTCTGACATCAATTCTACATTGTCTTCAGAAATACGTGAGGTGAGATTTTTTATTCTTGCGAATTCAGATTCAAATTGACGTAGTATTATCTTAATTATTCTTCTTTATATTGACAATTCCTTACTCCGTTTTCATAATTTATGCTTTTAAATTCTGAAAAATGATTTAGCTTTTTCAATTTCACTAAGGTTATCTATTTTATTAAATATTTTTTAGTAGAATTACTACATAGGATACGGTTATTAAGGTATTTTTCTCTTTATTTATTATATAATTACGAATAAATAATAGGTAAATCGAGATAGGTGTTGCTAAAAAAATATATTTTCTTTGGTATTTATTATGTGAACGTTTTCGTTAATATTAAAGCCTTGAAGTATGCAATTTCCTGTTTTCCATTAATGGCGGTGGTTGTCTATCCCATTTCGACCAATCAGAGTCGTCTTCCTCCATTTTGACCAATCAGAGTTGTCTTCCTCTCATTTCGACCAATCAGAGTCGTCGGTATCGACGCTGTGCGCAAGTTTGACTCACTACGTCACTTCCGTTTGACGCTTCGTCGCGAGTGCACGCGTTGTGACAAGTATAATTAAAAAGTATTAGAATATTATATTATATTGTATTTGTTGTATTAAAAATACGAAAAACAGAAGGAAAAGTCGAAGAGAAGTCCAGATGCATGATTTCTGGCATCAATTCTACAAAGTCTTCACAAATACGTGAGATGAAATTTTTCACTCTTATCACGAATTCCAATTGAGATTGTAAGATCATTAGTTTAGTTATTTTCCTTTCATATCATTAATTTCTTCAACATTCATGAATTTTCTTATGTTTTTGGTACTTTTCCCATAATTTATTGCTTTGAATTGTGAAAATTGATTTCTATAGTTTAATGAGCATCGTAATATCACGAGAACGGTTTGTCTACTTGCTTCGGTACCAATCGGCATCGTTCGGTTATCGCTCGGCACCGGCCGGTGTTCCGTGGGGAGGGAGGTTGCATCATTTCTCTCGCGAACGTCGAGATGATAAGACGTGTTGAGTACATCGTCCCGTATAATTAGTAGTTACATGGGTACGCATAGTATACCTACTGATGAGATATTTTGCATAAATTATAGACTTTGATCGTTTGTTAATAATAATTTTATTGCTGTTGATTAAATTTTATTTATATAAATTTGTATTTCTTATTTGTTACAGATATTTGGTTGATATTTAAAAGACGCCATGAGAGATTGGTTTGAAATACAATTTCGTAAAGAATTGGTAACATTTTGATTTATTGTAATTAATTATTAATATTGGTTATTACTTTTTTTTTATTATTGAGTTGTTGTTAATTGTAAGGATTTTTAATAATTATTTGGTATCAAGGTCAAGAAAGAAAAGATTAGAGAAATTTTTGCTTTTTGATCAATTAATAGAAAAAGAATAATTAATTTTTCATTTTATTAAATAATTTCGATTAGTAATTTAATATATGTGTTTTAAATTAGAACATAATTGAAACAATTTGTATTCTACTGTAGATATTTGCTTCTCTTCTTCAATTATTTAGTTATATTTCTATTATTTTAAACAATCTATTTTTGTTAAATCATAAAAATTATATTATAATATACAGTTTTCGGTGCAGGTTTAAATTAAATAGAAAATACGTTATTAAATCACATGTTGTTTATGCATCATTCGTTGCGTTGTTATTGAAAAGAATTTGGATAATTTATAAATTAATATGCTTACAACTCTAACAACGAAAATCCTCTGCTTTAATAAAAGAGTCTAGTAGATTTATTAAACAATGATTTTCTATCTCTGTAATATTCATTGAAATGATTATTTACAATTATTTAAAATATTTCATTATTACGGTATTAACTAGGATCAATATTCTACTTTAATAATATTCGTGTTCGTTGAAGATGTTTCACGAACACTGATATTTTCATTTACAGGCGATTAGTCGCCAGTATTTCCTTAACGAACGTTCAATAGGAAGAATGTTTATTTATATATTTCCACCCATCCCAAACCTCCCCACTAATCTTTTCTTTCAGGAATTGTTGTGGCCGCGCGCAAAGCGGTCGGTAGAGTCAGTGTTTGTACGTACTTTCAATGTTTTTATTTTTGTCAAGGGTGAACTGGCCCTGAATAGAGTTGCGTTTGTACAATTAAGAATCACGCGAAAGTAGAGTCAGTGTTTGCTGCGTATCATAAAATATTTTCTAGAGCATCGTGGCTCTGATTTTTCTTTTTCCATCGCGAAAGTAGAGTCTACAATTATTGTACGCCGAAAATTATTCACGGTCGCGTTACTAGTCTTTACTTTTATTTTTAATTTTTTTTTTCTAATTGCTCGATATATCGCGTATTAGAGTCGCGGGCATCACTGAAGAGGAGTCTTGGGCGATGCTCCATAAGGAAAGAGTGTAAGTATCTTATTACTTTATTCAATTAATTTTAATTCAAATAGAATCATTTACAATTTCAACATTTAATAATTGAAAGTTCCTTTTAACTGCTAATATTTTATAAAATTTAAATTCATATATAATTTTATTATATCAAAAATTGATATAATTTGCAAAATTAACCGTAATTCGTTCTTGTTTTGTTACAGATGAATTTTTCTACTTTGCCGAGTTCCTGGATATCCTGATGGCCTTCTTCACGACTTCCGTTTTCTCGTATAAGGCAACCTCCTACCTGCTTGCTGTACATCCTCCTACTTGACTCGGAAGAAGAGTATATCTGCGAACGGTGAGTCGCATGTTTTATGGTTCCTCCGGTGCCCAATCATGTCGTAGGACGAATAGTCCGAATCGACACGGGTTACCGGTTGTATACGTGCTTGGCGAGCATAGTGACCATGGGTATGATTATACTCATGAGTAGTAACACATTTATTGTGTTTTATTTCAGTTAGATCAGGCTAGGTCTTCTTGCACTTCGCGTTTAAATATTATTTCTATTCCACATATTCCAATAAATATTTATGAAATAAATATATGAATGCTTTTAAATGTTATAATAAAACGTAGAATATGAAATATTTTAATACAGAAACAATTTTATTTAGTTTTTCTTTAACGGAGAAGTCAGATACTATCTGATTTAGTTATTTCAAATCGATATAATATTGGTAATGTAATATGTATATTGGATATACATATTAATGATACTTATATATTGATTTAATTACATTTTATACGTTGTAAATTCAAATATAATTTGAGAATTTTTTCCGAGTAGTAAAGTTCAATCCATTTTATAGCGAAGTTTAACTTATATTTACACGTTCATGAAAAATTGAATAATTTATGTGCAAGAAGACAATTCGTGACGGGTAGATTTCCAATTCAGAGTGATCTATTTGAACACATTTTGCATATTTTTGAAAATTTACTCTGAGGAGGGAGTCACCCGAGGATGTTTTAATTTTATATTAATTTTCATAGTAAATTCGTCTTTTCATTGCAAAGAATTCTTAATTAGAGTCATTTTCGTTTCAATAAAGTATCAAATTCAATTTTTACATTAAATTCTTTTTCATTAGAGTTTTCCATTTATTAAATTAGTGTTGCGAAAAATTTCCGTCGCGGGAGTAATTATGACGATGCTCACTCTAGTATTCGGTGGGAACCTTTTGTTAAGCAAGTTATTAAGCAAAATTAATCCGTTATTAAGGAAAATTAATCTGTTATTAAGCAAAATTAATTCGTTAATAAGCAAAAGATTCCGCGGCATAAGACCGTGAACACCATCTCTGGGAGATATACCCATGCATTACTAGGCCTTTGCAGGCGCAGTTTTAGAATACGGAACACTTCCATATGTTACCATATTCTAAACTGCAGTCCTTTTGTCTATACTATGGGCGTCCGTCAATCTGACACCGTTGGATGCAACGTGTTGGACGGGCGGGTAGCGCTCTTAGCGAAGGGGTGCACTCTGTCCTGGCGTTACGACGTCCAGGCGGGGTGGGTGGTATGTAGCGTCTGGCGTAAGTCTAGGGGGCGTGAGACCCTTCGTTGCCAGCTGATATTAGTAGTGCAGCATTTTTACGTCATAATTGCTCAATATTGCTTTCAGTATTTGCTCTTAATGCATAAAGAGCTTTATATTTACAAAGTCGAGTCACTTTTATTAAAATGGTAAAATATTAGCCCGTTAGATGTTTATGTACTAATCATGTTTCTAGATCAGGATTTTCAGATTTAACCCCTTCCGTGTTTATTGCCAAAGCCCATTCACGTGCCCAGGTGCTACTTGGATGGGTAGAGGCAATGGGCACGATGACCTAGTTCATAAGAATAATAATTAATAAGCGGCTGGCATTGTGTTAGTATATCGTGCACGACGTAATCTCCACATATGGTGTGTGTGTTTTTAGGCTGTGGGATTGCGTCGGTTTAATAACTTTTTCATTTAACTTTTAATTTGAAATAATATTTTATTCAACAAGATGTACGATGAACGTACAAATCAAATACTATTGTTACCATTACTATTACCATTACTATAATATTACTATGATTATTACCATTACTGTATTACCATTGCTATGAAATATTCTATATGAAAGTAGTTAATTAAATTTGTTAATTATCATTATACGCAATGATTGCTAGCCATGCCAGACGATTTCAGTGAAAAATGGTACGTACCGTAGAGTGTGATGTGAGATGAAACTCGGGTGACGGAGGCGTCCCGGGACGTTCTCCCTAGTGTAGGCTCTTGCGCCTGGGTGGAGTGTATGAGAATCGTGGAATGAATTTTTGTGAGAATGTGATTTTGCCATTTTTAAATATAGGGTTAGGTAGGTAGGTAGTATACCTTCTGGTGTGTGTGATAGATCGTAAGTAGGTAGGGCCGGGACAGGTTGTCACAGTCTCTTGGTCGGGTAGGCGCGATTTCGCGTGATCAACCTGTACCTGGAATATATTTGAAGAATTGACGATACAATTGACGCGAACGAAGTATGCCGTTCACGCTCGATTCTATCTGTACAATTTTTCAAATTTTTGGCGACTTTCTAAGTCGTCATACGCGGTCGCGAGGCACGAGACGCACAAATTCTGCTCGAGCACGGCACGTGTGCACGAACAACGACTTATATAAAGTCCTTTTTCGTCCACGTGTCAATTAGAGTTTCGCGATTTTTCATTTTTGTTGATTGTTTTTTTTTTGTTGCGAATTTACAAGTCTCGAGCTTTAGATATAAGTTTCAGGTGGGTGGACCGCCCGAAGAAAGAAAAGGCTATATGCCGAAGAGCCCCGACAAATTGTCATTGAAGAGGGGAACTACTAATGATTTTGCATCCTTTTGCAAAAAAGGATGGGAAATCATTATCGTTACTACTTTGTCACTGTGCTCGCTTGTAGTTGTAGTTTTGTAATTTCAGGACAAGAGGGGGCCCGTGACCCCCATGATTTTGGGCAAATCGCGTTTTCAATTTAGTGTTGCGAATGAATATCGATCACGGTTCAATTTAGTGTTGCGAACTTTAAATATCGCGTTTCCTTTTTGCATTGCTTCAAAATAGAATTTAACTTTTCAATGTTGATTGCTTTAAGATTTTTCAGAGTTTTGTTTTGTAATGTTGATTGCTTTAAGATTTTTTAGAGTTTTGCTTTTTAATGTTGATTGCTTTAGTGTTGCGAATAAAAAATACACGGTTTGGGAATCCCCTTTTTTTGCATTTTAATTGCATGTCTGTTAAAAATAGCGTTGCGAATGACATTAGCGCGATTGTTTCCCAGTGTTGCGACTTATAAATACGCGATTGCTTTGCATTAGTGTATAGAGTTCCCTGGTAATTAGTGTTGCGATAATGAATATTCGCGGTTTGCATTAGAGTTGCGATATACGATGAAATGCCCAAAAACGAACCAGTGGAGCTGCCATGGTCCATGAGGCAGTTATGGACCAGCTGCTGAGGTACAGCCTTGGATTGGCTGTACCACTTTCTTAGATTAGTGTTGCGTCTTACAAAATTCGGTAGATTTGAGTAGTGTTGCGTTACAGTTCGCGTTTTCTACTTTCTTTTTTTCAGCTTAGCGTTGCGTATAATGGAGCAGCCTTCACGCGTACGGTTTTGTATTATATAATTAATGAAATTAGTATTGCGTTAGAGTTCGCGTTTTCTATTTTCTTTTTTTCAGCTTAGCGTTGCGCATAATGGAGCAGCCTTCACGCGTACGTTTTTGTATTATATAATTAATGAAATTAGTGTTGCGAATGAATTCGCGATTGTTATTAAATATTTTACTATTTTGCATTTATTAAACTAGTGTTGCGTATAATTTCGGTTTGTTTTATAGAGTTTGCTTAGGAATTGCTCTTATGGACAATCGAACTTTTCTTTTCAGCTTCCCCTGTCCCCCTATGCTTTTTCTTTTTTTTTTTTAATTTCGAAAATTTTGAGCGTTCGGTTGTTGGAAATACTGTTAAATAAGATACGAATTAAATCTTTTCAGAATAATATTAAATATTAGGACAAAGTTTTAAATAGAACTTTATCCAAAGTTTTATTTAAAATGAAACATCATTTTATTTTATGATGATTGGAGATAAAGTATTTCAAGGAATATTTGTTCATTTGAAATTGCTTATTTAATTTTGATTGTATTTTGTTTAAACAAAAGTAGCAGATGATCGTTGTTAAGGTTGTTCAATTTTAATTTTTAATCGCGATATTTAGTTTCAAGCTTACGGAAAAACTAATTAATGTAGTGTACTTTTATAAATTTTCAAATTCATTTTCATGAATAAAGTCCACTCGCGATTTTTTTTGTTGGTTTTACAAATATCATCAAACTTGTACTATAAAGGTGTATTGAATAATATAATGCAATAAAGTTGAGTAGAGTCATGGCTGTGAATATATTGCAGTAAAAAATAATTATTTCAATTTAAAGATTATATATTATTCTTTACTAAATGAACAAATGTTAAATATTATGAAATGAAGTAATTAATGTTTCTAATTGAAATCACTTACTTAATAACAATTTTTTTTACAAATCTTTTTTGTTTTTACTTTGGTACCGAAATTTGCTTTTAATTCATATTTTGTCTAATTGATGTTTTCTATTTTGGAAATGACTCATTAACCATTATTTTGATTTTTGTGAAATTTTATTGTTACTAATGTATCTTCTTTTCAGCTATTATATTTTTTTTTTCTTTGTATGAATTCGATTAATGAGTTTCTGTTGCAGAAAAATATCTTTATAGGAAGTGTGAATTAATAATATCAGATAATAGACTGGAAGAAATGTAATATAGAATTTAGAGTTCAGAAATGGAATTCAGTGTATCCAGTTAAGTAAAACGAGATGAAAAGGGAAAATGATTCTTACGAGTGGTAATTTCTAAACCGTACTTTTTTTGAAAATTGTATTTAATCCTTTTCTGTTTGTTTCAGGCAAGTTGTAAATTTACGATTAATTATTATTATTTTCTTAAATTATGTTTAATACTTTTCAGTTTATTTCAGGAAATATTCTGCTAACAACAAGGAAATCAACTAATTCTTCATATATCTTAGATTTAATGTTAGATTTAATGTTAGATTTAAGTGAATTTTTTACATTATTACGAGCGCTCGTATTTATAAGTATGTAGGATAAATATGCAATTGCATATTAGTAATTACAGATCTGTAATAAAAATAATATTAGTAGATAAGTAGATAGGCATATAGTAAATAAAAATAATGCTCCTTTTGTTGTTCCTTTGCACAACATTAAAAAATGTTTTGCAAATATGCACCAAAAGGATGATGTTCATTGAATTTAAGTAAAAATTTGCATAAATGGAGGGTGGATGGGATGAGGTAGGGCGGGTCTCCACCCGCAGCAACCTCCTCGTGGTGAGACCTGGGCAATCGTTATTATTTGATACCTAATTAATAACTGCATCATTATTTCTATGGTACATTTATTAATTATATAGCAAATAATACGAGCGAATTGGCTGCGAGATCTGTGATTTGTTGTTTGTTCTTCTATATTATCTCTGTTATAGGTTTTCGTTAATTTCTGCATTATCTTTAATGCACTTTTATTTCACTTTTATGTTACCATTAGTATAAACATTGCCAGCCCCTGTGAAAAGATAGTTGCCCACTACAGGGGCCTAGTAGATTTGGCACCGTCGGTAATTCAGTCTAGCAAGATAAATTCGTATTCATTGATTCATATTGTGATAGATGGTGGCACTAAAGTCTTCCACATTTTCTGTTGAAAATGTGGGGAGTATAAAGCAGTCACTGTATGAAGTAACTTCCTCATAGTGAGACAGTATACATACACTATTTCACACGATTCTACGCGTCATATATGGTCACACATAATTGCACGCATAAAGTTCAATCAGAGTAACAAATTAAGTATTGAACAATATCACAGACAAACTTGTACTCTAACGTTTTATGAATCTTCATTGAAATATCACTATCAGTCAGTCTGTGAAATGCACTGAAGTGCAGTTTTTGTGTCAGTGTTGTTAGCTCGGAAATATGGTTATATTTAGTATATGACGACTACAGTGTTTTGGAACACGGAGCACTGCCACTCCCCCGTTATATTACTATATTTTCTTAAATAACTGAATAACTGACAAAAAATGGAAGATATTTTTCAATGGTGCCGTGAAGGAAACGCGATGCAAGTGCGAGTTTGGTTGGATGACACTGAACATGACATGAATCAAGGGTAAATACAAGATCATTCCTTTTTAGGAACAGTACTGCTTGATCTTCTTCTCAAGCTTTAGCAACAATGCTTCTTAAGCTTTCATCATTGTTATGACCTTACATTCAATTGTTAATATTGTATTTCTGTTTGAATTTTCTTAATATCAATCTTCACTTATTATTTCATATTCTATGTATAGTGATGATCATGGATTCAGTCCACTCCACTGGTGCTGCAAAGAGGGACATTTAAAATTGGCAGAGTTGCTAGTCAGTAGAGGAGCACGTATTAATGCTACAAACAGAGGAGATGATACCCCTCTTCATCTTGCTTCTGCTCATGGACATAAGGAAATTGTTCAATTGGTAAATCACGTGTAATTAATTTGTAAGAAGAAGTTTATTATACTTTGCGTTTAAGACATTTAATAAAATCTAGATTTATAGTTACTTAGGAATCGAGCAGATGTGAATGTAACAAATGAGCATGGAAATACTGCTCTTCATTATGCTTGCTTTTGGGGTGATCAAGCAGTTGCCGAAGAATTAGTGGCTGCTGGTGCTCTTGTATCCATTGCAAATAAAGATGGTGATACCCCTTTAGACAAAGCAAGAGGTCATCTGGCTAAAAGATTACATGGTATTTGATAATGAATAAAATGTTATTATTTACATTTATTCTGCACACTTAAGTGTACTGTAACATCAAAAACTAATATACTATAAAATTTTGAATCTTAGATTTGGCTGTAGAATATGGACAGGATTTGAAAAAGATTCAATTCAAAGATCAAAGCTGGTTGGGTTTGAAGACTAGAAGTCGTGAGTAACGTTGTATAGGTTCATGAATATTGATTAATATACATAGTAATAATTAATGTCTAATTACATAGGAGATGCAACACTATCAAGACACAAAGGAATAAATATGGCAGATTTATCCTTACATACTCATTTAGCCAGTACACCAAGTGGAGAGACTTGGAGAGGACGTTGGCAAAATAATGATATCGTGGCAAAAATCTTGAACATACGCGAATGTACGGCACGAATCTCAAGAGATTTCAACGAAGAATTTCCTAAATTACGAATCTTTTCGCACCCAAATGTATTGCCTGTTCTCGGTTGTGTTAATCAACCACCTCAATTGGCGACGGTTTCGCAATATATGGCGCGTGGGAGTTTGCATCGGCTTTTACATGGAGGTACAGGTGTCGTTGTTGATACAGCGCGTGCACTTAGATTAGCGCTCGATGTTGCGAGAGCTATGGCATTCCTTCATGGTCTCGAAAGACAAAACAGATGTAGATTCCAATTAAATAGCAAACATATTATGGTATATTTCTTTTCATCATTAGTATGCGTGGATCTGGATATCCTTCGCTTATATGCGCTGACGGAAAAATTTCATATTCATAGATTGACGAAGATTTAACGGCTCGGGTAAACATGGCAGATTCTAAATTTTCGTTCCAAGAAGTAGGTCGAATTTACGAACCAGCATGGATGTCTCCAGAAGCCTTAAGCAAACGTCCGGCTGATATAAATCTGGAAGCTAGCGATATGTGGAGTTTCGCGGTTTTGTTATGGGAACTTGCGACCAGAGAAGTTCCGTTTGCAGATCTTTCGCCGATGGAGTGTGGCATGAAAGTTGGTTTAACACTTAGACGTCGTAAATATAACATAATTTTTTATCTACTAATTATATATCCAATTTAATTAATTATAGATCGCTTTGGAAGATTTACGTGTTAGTATACCTCCAGGAATCTCACCGCATCTTGCTAAACTCATTAGAATTTGTATGAACGAAGATCCGGGAAAACGTCCATCCTTTGACATGGTTGTTCCGATACTCGATAAAATGAAGCGTTAATTTTTGATACAATATTTTTTTTTGTCAATCCTCAGATCATAGAAAAAGGTATGTCATTCCCGAAGAAACTTAATGAACTTAATTAGCTACTAAAACATTTCAGATGTTCAGTGCAGTGCCTCAACAAAAAGAACTGAATTATATTTTTTATAGAATTATATTTGACGTAACAATGTGCCTCCATAAACTTCTTCCACGATATTGTATCTATATGCAATGAGCATTTTATTGTTATCTATTATTTATACAACGTATATCATATATCGTTAATGCTAATAATTATACTCATATTTTCTAAGAGAATATTAACTTTCAATTTACAAACATATTGCAGTCGGTTTTTCTAATTGTTAATTTTATTTATAATATTGCCATTTATCGAATGTTATAAATATATATATATATATCAGCCTTACTGTTACTTTTTCCATTATTTTACTTTAAATACGGCCAGCATACGTTGTTCAAATAGTAGAGACTAGATTTTTTTTAACATTTGACATACTATTGTACTTTCACATCAAAATAAATAAACTTATACAGCAGCGTGACTTAATAACCCGATCATGTTTATTAGCAGAATAATCTATAAGAAAAACTTGTACCGGAGGAATACGTCAGATAAAGTGAAATCAGTAATGTGTCAATGAATAAAATTAGCATACATATTTGCACCGCTGAAAAATCATGTAAGACTTGGAAACCGTTGTCTGTACGAGATACTGTATCTTATGACGTAACCTTTTGATATCAGCAATTTGAAAGCTTAAACAAACATATGATCGCAGTGCGAAATCGGTTCGCGTTCGATGTACACTCTCTATGCAGAATACGTTGGAGCGTTGTCAAGTTGGTGAAAGTAGCGTTTACGATGAATGAAGAGCCGATAGTATCAGTAAAGGAGGGTAAATTACGGGGTGGTATTGTTAAAGGTGTATTGGAAACATCCTACATCGCATTCAAAGGGATACCCTTCGCTGCTCCTCCCGTCGGAGAGCTTCGATTCAAGGTAAAACCACAGCTTCCCGATTATACGTTACGCCTACTCCATCTTTATTTTCATACCATCGTGCGAATGATTGGTGCACGAGGTCATATAACCTGAATTATTTTAACCTAGCATATTATAAATTGAATATATTATATATTTATGATGGTCAAAATTATTGCATCTTTTAATAAAATCATAAAGATTATTAAACAAAGCAAACATTTTTCAGTAAAGAAGGATTTATTTGATCTTTATTTATTTTTTTTAATTAATATATTAGCTCTTATTGTCATTATTTTCATTTTGGAATACAGGATCCTCAACCACCTGCGCCATGGTCGGGTATCAAGGATACCTCGGAAAGTATTGGGTACTCTTGTACACAATTAGAGGAGCTGCCTCCTTACAATGTGATCGGGAAAGAAGATTGTCTCTATCTGAACGTTTATACCAATTCACTTAATCAATCAAAGCCAGTTATGTTCTGGATCCATGGTGGTGCCTATATCGTAGGCAGCGGAAGCTATAAGATCACGAGACCTGATTACCTTCTAACGAAAGATGTTGTCCTCGTTACGGCTAATTATAGACTCGGTGCATTCGGTTAGTTTTATTATTTCTCGGGAATATTAAACGGGAATTAGATCGTCGTCGTCGTTTTGTTTAATTGTTTATTGAGACGTCGCGACGCGTCGGTCACCGGTTGAAAATGTTCCCTGCCTTTTTTACTCTTAGCGAAATTTATTGAAATTTTCAAGGATTCTTGAACCTGGGTCACTCGGTCGCACCTGGTAATCAAGGTTTGAAGGATCTGATAATGGCTCTGAAATGGGTGAAGGAGAACATCGCCAACTTTGGAGGAGATCCTGATAACGTTACCATTTTTGGTCCCAGCGCCGGGGGAGCGTTAACTCATTTCTTACTTTTATCGCCACGTGCGAGAGGTAACGTCGCTTATTATCATCATCTTGTTTAATTGCTCGTGATAAGATTACGGCACATCAATGTGTATGTATGTCAACGCAACACGTATAGAACGGAAACTTTGAAAACTCCGCTAACGCTACGCGTCTACACTATGTGTACATAACAGAATAGTGTCATGTAGATGCAGTTGAAGATATTGTTGTTCCCTTTAGGATTATTCCACAAAGCGATCATGCAAAGCGGACTGGTAACATGTTCTTGGACCACGAACCAAAGCCGTCCGGAACGAGGTTTCAAGCTCGCCTCGATCCTCGGAAAGGACTCCACCGATCCTATTGAAGTGGTCGAATTTCTACGAAAGATTCCCGCCGCGGATATCGCGAAAAGCACGGCTTTGATTTTAACTACAGAGGCAAACAGTTTTTCCTTTGATCAGTATCCATCATTTCAATTGAATATTCGGCATACGACGAATATGAACAAATATTCTCTCTTTTTATTTTGTTAGGAGACGCATTCTTTTCATCTACCCTTTGCACCCAACACAGATGAGATCGCAGAGGATCCCGTTTTACCATTACCCATCGATGAATTACTTTCGACTGACGTTGACATTCCTGTGATGGCCGGTTACACGTCTCACGAGTTTATCATGTTCTTCAAAGGTGATTCTGTAATAATCGAGAGTGTTCCTTTTATTCTTCAACATTAACATTTTTATTTCAGACAAGAGCCAGGCAGCAATGAATATTTATAATCAGTTCTTACCGCAACACGTGAAAAACTTAGCAGCGTTGAGGAATTTGGGTCCTGAAGAGACCGAAGAATTATTGAAAACTGTCAAAGAAAAATATTTTAACAATGAACCGATTGGCGAGGATAATATAGACAAGCTCGTAGAGTTTATCGGTGACGTTTATTTCGGTTACCCTGCGAAATTGTACGCGGAGGATCGAGTGAAAAGGACATCCGCACCCACTTATCTTTACAGATACTCGTACGTTGGCAACGAGAAGACGGCTACTGATTTGTTAGTTAAACGTCTCGTCACCGGTAATTTTAATGAACTATTAATCCATCGCAGGAAAGCGCAGAAAATAGTTTGAATTTTTCTGAAAGCCTAAGTGATCGAGTTTTCCTACAAAGCGTGAAACAATGTAATAATTAATATTTCAGGAGCGTCTCACGTTGACGAGGTGGCGTATCTATTTTATCTGCCACTTTGCAAGACTGAAAATCCTGATCCTCCAGCGCCTGGCAGCGAAGATAGAACAACCATGGAACGTATGACTACGATGTGGAGCAATTTCGCTGGAACAAGGTGAATTTTAATTGAAATTAAACAAGTATTTGGTATTAAGATTTATATATTGCGTATTTTTCAACACAGTAATCCAACACCAGTTCACGATGATTGTATCCAGACCACCTGGGAACCAGTGACGAAGGATAAGCTTTGTTATTTAGATATCGGCGATGAGTTGCAATTGTTAACTTTCTCGTCGCATATATTGAACTCTTAAGTAATTATTCGTGTAAGAGAAAAGCACGGTGGAGGAACAAGGCTTGGTAATAAATGATACTTTTCATATGTATTTTTCGAAATTCATATGTAATTTCTTATGATAATACATGTAATCGCTTCCTTACGGTTCAGAAAAAAAAACTAGAAAGGTGCGAACGTGGTGAAATAATAAATACGTTATCATTATATCTATGCTTGTAAAATGTCAGTGACAGCTATTTACATTGTTTTTTGCGGCAATTATTCACGAGCATTCTACACGGCAATCACGATAATTATATTTTAATGTATCTACACAGATAAGTGTTAAAAATCGAACCTGGTTCGTTCTCGATTGAGTTACAAAAAAATTTGCGGTAAAATTTCAGACTGATACATACATAAAAAAAAAGAAGAAAAAGAAGAAAGAAGAAGAAGGGATTAACGATAATATCGGGTTTTGTGCTGTAAACAATCGTCCCAAACTACGTGGAACTGATTAGAAACGTTGTTAAATAAATACTTTATTTTTATGATTAAAATAACGATTAATTCTAAAGTTCAAGTTCGCGCTATCGTATCGATGATTCTTGTTTTTCAATCTTTTTCGATATTATTGGATTCGTGAATGACGTATACCTAACGATGATATTTGGATGATTTACTTATTCCAGAAGGCAAAAGCTTTCTGTATCCTTTCGTTCTGTGGTTTTCCAGCCACCACAGGGACCGCAGGATACGTTCGTTGCGGGACTTGAGGAACGTTCGCCGGTGATTTCGATGCCGTTGCCTCTTTTTCGAACAATTTCGCGGTCCTACTCACGTTTCCGGTCGGCACGAACTTACTTCGAACGCGTCCAATTAATAGCCTTGGGTCCTCAATTTCGTTGACCGCTGCAAAGAAAAAAATTATCAATTCATAAATATTTCAACATATCTTCGGTATTTATTGTGTTTCAATGGAAATGGAAATTGGCGTTTTTTACGTAAATTTTTGCAAAAATAACAAACTGCACAGTAAACACACCTTCATGCTGTCGGTTAATTTTAGTCACATCGCTCAGCGTATCTACCTCGATACTTCCTTTGGTACATTTCTTTGGATCCGAAACGTCAGAATTCTCCTGGGTCATCTCGTTATCAGTCATTTTCTCCACGAAGATTTTCCTATTTTCAAACTGTTCCACTTTCTTCGACACGCTTCTCGCATTACCATTATTATTATCATTGTCCGTCTCCTCTTCTTTAATCGACGATATACCAAGCTCGTTCACTTGTTGCGATGAAGAAGACAAATTCGAAATGCAATCGCCTATCCCAGAGTCTCTCGAATCACCTCTGAAGACACGTCTAAGCTTTTGATCGATCTTCTCCTTTGATACTTTCTCCGTTTCAGATATTTCTTCGTCGATTCTTTTCTCTTCGATCTTCCGTATCGTCTTCACTTTATTCGCCTCAGGTACATCGGTTTCTTTGTTAATACTCGAAGTAACTTCTTCAGATATATTGTTCGAATAATCTTCTTCGTTGCACGATGTCATGGACGTTGAATAACTCTCGATGTTTAAAGTGTTTCTTTCTGGTTCGAAATTTTGAACAAACAAAGTTTCTTCTTTTATCGTGATACGCTCCTCGTAGCGGCATCGCGTGATTATCTCTTCCGTTTCCTCCTCGATCTTCTCCATAGGAACTGGCTCCTCCAAGTGAGCCTCGTCTGGCTTCTGTGCCTCTTCAGAGGTGTCAGTTTCTTGAATCTCTTCGGATCCATTTCCTCGAGAACACGATCTTACGCGATCCCAGGCCGGTTCATTTTTCAGGGACGCCTCGTCAAGGTCCGACGAGACTCGTGCTTCTTCTCTCTCGGAGGAATCTAACGTTTCTTCCGGCAAGATGTTCACCTCCGTCTTGTAACAGAAGGAATACACGTTTCTCTCTCGAACATCCGACTCTCCCGTCGATTTTTTCTTCTCTGTTCGATCATCAATGTCATGTTTCTTTGATTCCGTTGTTGGGGATACGTCGAAATTGATGGGGCGCGGTGAATCAATGGGGTTTGGACGTTCAGAGGTTGGCGAGGATTCAGCGGTACCCGTTGGACTTCGTCTGCTGTTCGCTGAAAGAATTGCCATTCTTCCCAGTGCACGAATGGCGTTTCCTGTTTTCTATGGCAACAAACGAAAGCACACATCCACACGAAAATAATCAACCACGTGCTAAAGTTAGCTGGAGCAGCAAGTTTCTTTTTTAATTTTAACCCTTTCGCTACTAGGGGTGATTGTATACTGAGAGTAACTGTACGGAAATTCTTTAGTAGATGGTAAAATTTACATTTTTTTTTTTTCTTTAAATTAATGAAATACATGTTTGAAGCGTGTTACAATATTACGCAAGTACCATCTGATACTACTTCCACTACACGAACAACGTACAGATTCCTCAGCTTCAAACGTCAGATTACTTACCTTACATCGTATCACGCTTGGTCAAGCAAAACGGTTCAAAACAGCAACAAACCGTGCAAAACACTTGAAATCAAGCTTTACGATCGATTCTTACCTGCCACTTTCTTCGTACAATGAACTTCTTCAATTTCTCCGTCGGCAAGGCTATCCTGCTCATCGCTTCCGCGTGCTGGGCCATCCAAGGATGTTCCAAACACTGTCTTGCCGACATTCGCAATCTGCGAAGCGAAGAATAATTTTATTCAACTCGAAGAAGTTTTAGAAAATATATGTTTCTCCGTTTTTTTTAATAAACACGTACTCTTTTCGTTTGACGAGCAGACCACTGATGAAGTCCTTAGCATCGTTCGATATCGCGTCGAAAGCCTGATCCTCGAGGTCGTAGTCAGCTCGAGTAATGTTGGCGAACGTTTCAGCGTCGTTATCGCCCATAAACGGCGACAAACCGGTCAGTCTGAACATTTTTAATTAATTGTCATTTTATTCACAGATAAATAAATAAATAAATTTTTGATCGCTTACAAAACATAGCAGATCACACCGACGCTCCACATGTCCGATTCGGTGCCAATCGGCTCGTAGCTTATAATTTCCGGTGGAATGAATTCCGGTGTACCGAACAGTACTCTGATCGGTGTGTCCGGTTTCAGAGTCTGAGCTAAACCGAAATCGATCAACTTGATCTGGTGAGAGGTTCGCGTTCTGCACATTATATTCTCCGGCTGTGAATATGATAAACAGTCGATTATTAATAACAAAATAAAGAAGCATCTTATTTAACATCTTCTAACCAGAATTCCTTACTTTCAGGTCCAGATGCACCACATTGTTTTGATGCATATATTCAACACCCTCGCAGATCTGCCTCATGAACAATATACTGTCCCTTTCAGTGAGGGTGAAATCGTCTGCGACAACCCTTTCGAATAATTCACCCCCAGAAATACTGGAAAAATGAATGTATAAGGTGAGATAACAGAAAATTTGTAGAATTTCAATTATTCCATATAATCGACTTACTATTCAGTGACCATTACAATTTCTCGAGGACTCTCGTAAGCAGCAGCGAGAAGAAGAAGCTTCGGATGTCGTAGCATGTTCATGATCTTGATCTCTTCTCGAACTTGTTCCTTGTCCTTGCTTTTGATCGTCCTTACAAATTTCGCGGCGAAACTCGTGCTGGAAGATCTTTCGACGACCCTCTTCACGACACCGTATCGTCCTTTTCCTAATTCTTCCAATACTTCGTATCGATTGTTGAATAATTGCCCATCTTCCATTTCCACCAATCGGGCCTCGAAGGCTGCTTCGAATTCTTTTGAATTTTAAAAGAAACCAATAAATATCTTCGTTAAAAAATATTTTTCTTATAACTATACACGTTTTCCTTGTACCTTCTTCGTCATCCTGTAAACACATCTCCCCTTCCTTCGGGATTCGGACGAATTCAGACTCGTCACCAGGTTCGCTGACACCGTGGATGTTCTCTGCTCTGACGCGAAAACGATATTTTTCCCCAGGTATCGGTGCGTTCGTCCCGGAAGCTGGTGCCGTGAGACTCAACGAGAGACAGGATTCCGCGATCCTCGTCCACGTGTTTTCACCTGGATGGCTCATCTCCACGGTGTATCCGGTGACCGTGCAACCTCCGTCGTAAGGCGAAGATCGCCAATTGATGGTGACAGTTCCTGGAGAACAGCACACGCTGGGAATACCCGCTGGTGGATCGGGTGGTCCTGGAAAAATTTAATCAAGCCGTTACTCACAGGTAATTATAGAACAGATTAATTTTTAATTTTTAGTTGAATTCGTCACTGACTCTCGTATCAATCAACGTGTCAATACGAAATTAACGTTATTTAAAATTTTAAATAGTAGAACCGATCGTCGATGACCCCTATAGGAGGTGACGCGATAAAAACCTTGTTACGTACGCGTCGCGTTGAACTTTTTCACGATCGTTTTTAGAAATCGCGCTCGCCGACAAAGAATGCCTCGAGGACGAAGCGATCGACAGCCGTTTTGAAATTATAAACAATCACTTTTCAAACTATGTTTCTTTCTCTTTTAACCTGATTCCTCAATGTTCCATTTAACCGAGAACGCGATCTTCTTTGCAGCATAGAACACGTGGAGTCATGTAACATGCAACACGTGGGATCTATTACTCGAGCTTGTCAGATAATTAAATAAATTTACATATAAAAAGATGCGCGATATTTTATACAAAATTTTGTATATCATATCCGTCAACACTCGAGTAACAGACGGTTCATTATCACACATTTTTATTACCCATTGTTTATATTGTTATCTTCCTCTTCTCGATCACTAGACAAACGAAACTGAACTTTGGAAAATTGAAAATTTCTTCGATGATTCGATTTTAAATATCATTCTAAAGGAAATATCGACTGGCAACAAGCTTGTAGTCGCGCTTCCTCGTCACTGGTTCGCGTGTATCGGGACCCTGAGGAAGGAGGAAGAAGTGAAGAAATAGATAGTGGGGGAGTAAAAAGAAGAGACAACCGGGGAGGAGTAATACATTATTGCGCGACACGTCACGTGAGACTGTCGTCTGCCTTGTACATAAGAAGAGGAACTGGACCGTGTGACACGCGTTTACGCGCGTGGAACAATGCCCGTTTCTGTTCTAAATTGGCACAAAGAGACGCGGGAAACAGTGAATCAAAGCAAATGCTCGATTTAACGTAGTCGAAAGTTTTGTAGAATTTCTGTTACTTTCACTCGCTGGAATTTCCTGTGTTTACTTGATTAAACGAAACCGACACTTCGTTTAACGCTTTGATAATTTCAATTGAAGCTAATCTATATATATATATATATATAACAGTGCGTAATGTCTTTGAAAAGGGCCGCGCGGGACGAGCGGGTCGTATCTAGTTATAGATAATTAGTAAAAGATTAAGAGTAGTTGCAAGACCTACAACGCATACGATGCGTCATGTTATTCAGCATAATCGTATTCAAGTCTCGTGTTCTGACTCGTAACAAGCCTCGAGTTTAATTCACTGAGATAACCCGGAGTTACTAGTCTGATATCACTAACTATCTTTACTCTCGTGTAGTTCAAGTACAGATGGTCGATTTATGCTCGTTAGTGTGAGCGATATAAAGAGTTTAAACGAATGATGTAAGACAGCTTGTTTCGTAGTTGTGTAAATATTAATCGTTTGGTAGTATCTACTCGGAACATCTATGTATACTATAATAGATCGCTTAAAGGAGCGTTGTGCTTCTATTTATAGGATCATGGTAATTTTTAAGAATGCAGCGGTTAACGAGTTGACTGGGCTTAACATACCTTCAACAGCAACGCTGAAACATCGACGATCTTTTCCAAATTCATTTTCAACGGACACTTCATATTTCCCTGCATTGTCGGCAGTGACGTCGTCTGATATCAAACAGGAAACTCCACCGCCATAGGTGATGGCAGTCTTTTTGTTTGGTGTCAGTTCCCGCCCCTTCGATAAAAATTATTAAATTTAAATAATTAGTTATATCACCAGGCAGTGTCGATGATTAAACGAGACTGTATGGAAATATTTGCAATTGCAAGTGGTATAAACGACTATAAGCAGTGTTACACTGATAAAGGGATTAGTGCCGCATTTAATTGCTATGAACTTGATAACGTTATCAACTACGATGAGTATTGTATTTGCATGTCTAGGCTGTTTGTAGTTTGAAATATTCATTTACTTTTCATGTTTTTCTTACTGTTTATTATCGTCATTTATTTTCCACTGATTTTTAATAAGTCGGAATAACGAGTTGTTACTGTTGAAGACGTGATAGAAAATTAAAATCAGGGCCAGCCCTGGGGCTAGGCAGACTGAGTCGATGTAAATGCAAATCTAAATTAGTTATACAAGCTTTAATGTTAATTTTATAAATTTTATTTCAGGTACTTTTTTTAATGTCATATATGCGAAGGGGCCCTTTTTCGGAGCTCGCCTCTGACCCCCGGAATCTCAGGGCCGGCCCTGATTAAAATATAAATAGTTCCCGGTAACGAAGCTATTTCTCAAGTATTTGACGATTTCATTAATTCAAGACGAAGAAACAGAGCGTTCCTTGTCCATAACAGTAATTCTTTTAATCATTCAAGAATAAAATTCCTTATATTTTCCGACGTAAACATCAAACAAGCTGTTCGATTCAGTTAGAAACAAGAGAAGCATATTTACCGCTCGAAACCATCTGACACGTGGTTCTGGATGACCTCGATACGTGACCCTGAGGACAACCCTATTTCCTGTGAACACCGTCACGTCAGCTGGTACCTTAATTATACTCGCCGCTAGGAATTCCTTTCTCACAGAATCCACTTTCTCCGCTTTCGTCACCGTTTCTTGGTCCTTCTTCGAAGCCTCGTCCGGTTCTTCCACCGCGCATTCCATGCATATTATCGGGGTATCGTCGTGTTTATTACCGTTATCCTGGCTTCGTTTCCTACCATTTTCAGTCTTACTAAAATCAGAATTCAGCGACATCGAACACTTCTCTTCGTCATCCTCTGAATTCTTCAAACGAGGTTTATCATCGGGAGGCTTATTAGTAGCTTCTTCATCTTTTGAGGATGATGGAACCTTTTCATCTTTTTGGATCCTCTCCAGTTTTTTAAAATTTCTTTCTTTCTTCATTAGTTTATTTTCCGAAGCTTTTCTGGTGTCCGGCAATGGACTCGGTGTGTTTCTTCGAGTAGCTGCAGGAGACGATCGTTGAGGACTCGTTCTCAGAGGTAACGAAGATGATCTTGATCGCATCGGTGATTCGTTGCGTTGATTTTGAGATAGGGAGGGGACGTCTCGTGCCGTTTTTCGCAGAGAATTGTTACGAGTGAAATTGCCCGGTTTTGGCGGTGGTCTTCCATTTCGAATTTCCGCCTGTGCGTTATTGCACTTCGATGCGGAGTCCTCGATATTGCGGACGGGTCGATTTAATTGCAATTGTGCTGTGCAGCTAATCGATGGCCCTTTTCCGATCACGGATGCTGTGCATCGAATATCGCCAACGTCTCGAGCAGACACGTCCTGTATCCTTAAAATGCTCACGTTGTCGTCCTGTTCAATCTGGGGGATGAAAAATTCCAGTAAAAAATAAAATGGATTTATTTAGTTTTTACTTCCACGTGGTTTTGGTCTAACGTACCTTACACCTTGGATTTTCTTTAACATCTTTTCCATTGATCGTCCATGCGATTTCCATGGGTTTTCCACATTGCACTCGAGCACAGAAACACGCAGTCTCACCTTTCGACGTGATGACAGACAATGGGGTTTTGGTGAACTGCGGTGCCAATTTCGGAACACCTTTGTAATCTGTTCTCAAAAACAGGAAACATTTAGAATGGTTCTACAGTCTTTATTTTTCAATTACTTATTCGTGTTAATTGATTGTCGAGGTGACCAACGTGTTAATGAATCCTTTTCAGAAAAATATGTACCTTGAACAGCAAAGAGACCGTTACAAGACGCTTCTCCGAAATTGTTACGAACAAGGCAGGTGTATTCTCCAGCATCTTCTGAACAAACGTTCGACAACCTAAGAGCGATTCCACCATCGCCATATATTATGTATTTACAGCAATCGTTGTCAGGTATCTCGCGATCGTTTTTCAACCAAGTGACTGAGAAAGGTGGAGTGCCTAAAAAAAAAAAATAATAGCTCATTATATTTATATTCTTTTGCAGGTGGAAATATTTTATAAAAAATATACCCGTGAGCCTAGTTTGAAGCTCGTAGCAATGGCCCTCCATCACGATAGATTCATCAGGAAGGGATTGCAAAAATTTTGGTGCATTTTTGTCAGACGTAGACGGATCATGGGGGTCAAGAACGATCACCTGGAATAATCGACAAGAACAATTGTAAGTAAATTGACTAACAATAGAATGTCAGTATATTCAAGTGTTTACCTGACAAGTATTTTTCGTGGAACCAAGGACGTTCGTTGCCACGCAGGTGTATTCACCCGCGTCACTTGCTTTCACTTTTGAAATTTCTACTTTGGCGGTTTTACCATCGAAGTATCTTTTTATTCGATTCGATCGTTCCAACGGTCGTCCATTTCTTGATATCATAAATAATCAAAAACAATAATTATTTCTTCGAATTAACTAATAAGGGATAAATTTGAATTTTACCTGAACCATGTTGGTGTCGGACTCGGCGTTCCTCTGATGCTACAATCAAGATATAATCGTCCATTTATTCTACTGGTCGTGTCTAAGAGGCTTCGACCAAAAGATGGGTAAGTTCTGGGCGATGCACTCCTGGTTCTGATGGTTCGAGACACTGGGCCAAGTAACTGACGATCTATTCGAAACAAAGGCACGTGAAATATTATTAATCATAATATTATTAAATGTTATTTACGTACTTATAATTTCCAGACGAGCACTCGCTTCGATGCGACCATAATCGTTCTCCGCTATCACTCTGTACAATCCTGCGTCCTCTTGGGTAACTTCGACGATCTCCAATATTTTAACATCGTCTCTTTCTTTTATAGAGATCCTCGCCGTAGGGGTTACCGCTAAACCATTCTTGTCCCATTTCACCCACGGCGTTGGATGACCCACCACGGCGCACTGGAATCGTACGGTTTCACCTTCCTCGACGACCCGGTTGTGCGGAACCGCGTAAAATTTCGGCGGACTGATTTTTGGTCGTCTCAACATTGATCTGCTTCGCGGTAAAAGCTGCGGAGACCTCAATTCTCGGCCATCTGTAAAATATTTTTCATTTCAGGTTCTTCGTTTTCTTGGAATATCGTTTGTTCGACGATGGATCGTTGCGAGAAATAATTTTTCATAACATTTATATAAATATTTGTACTCACGCGACACGGCTGGAGATAAGCTTCTAATCGGCGTCGATCGCGGCGTCGATCTCGGTGTAGATCCTGCTGACAACAAACCCGCAGGCCTCGTAAGTCTTTGGCACAAAACATTTTCCTTCCCCTCAGGAACTGGAACATTATGCAATTTTTTTTTTATAAAGAAAAACACGTCTAATCAATTAAGAGTAATTTACAAGTTGTTTTTCATTTCCTTGTTACAGATTACTGAATCGTAGGCGACGAGCAAGTTCCTTATCGTCGAATTTTAATAAAACTAGTCTCTAAGTGTATTGCATGAATCAATTTGCATCGAATATACGGTAGCAATTGAAAAACATTGAAAACGAAGGTTTTCTCTGCTTTTTATATTTTCTTATCAAAGTGATTGAGATTTATATATCGAATTACCATCCACTATTAGACACGCCGATGTAAATGCTTTGCCGAGGTCGTTGTAAGCCACGCAGGTGTATTCGCCCTCGTCTTCAGGATAGACATGTTGAATACTCAAACGAGCAGTTTCTCCGTCGAATTCCGATGAAAAATCCCCGCTCATTTGTAGAATCTGCAGAGACAATATAAGGGTGTTAGTAATTTCAAATTCTTTCAAATTTTTCGGACACTTTACGAATGGTTTCACATCGGGACGAGGTTTAACCCCCTGTTTACCTTTCCTCCGCGTTCCCATCGAACAAGAGGTGCCTCCGGTGTAGCTTGAACTTTGCATTCAAGGGTGACAGCATCGCCATCGCAACACCTGAGATCCCGAAGCTCTCTCGTGATCACCGGTAAAGTCAGTACATTGCTGTCCATCAAAAATCATATTTTACATAGGACGGTTAATCAACGCGATAATATCTTTGATTATAACGAGTTGTTTCGTTGTTTCGTAAAACACATGACTCGACACCGTTCAACAAACTCACCCGTGTGTAACCCCTGATTTCTTCATCTTCTCCTCTTTACCTTGGCCTAGAATCACGATCGTGGTATTTGTCTAAATCGTTCGAAACGCGTTCGATTCTTTCGTTGAATGTTAAACACATACCTTTCGCGTATATCTGCAAAGAAATCACGGCTTTCGCCTCCCCATGGCAGTTGCGAGCTATCACGGAGTAGGTTCCCGTAAAGTCGAGTTTCGCATACGGTATTTCCAGACGATATTGAGGTCCTTCGCCGACCAGCCTGAACTGGGCTGCGTCCCTGTAGTAGTCAGGCTGTAAACGAAGAGATAGAGATTAATTAGAGAAACGTAGGAGGCAGAAAATAAATCAACGTTCAAGATATTTTTCTGCAAGCTCAACCGTCCTCTAATCATCTCGCGATCCATGGATCGTGCGTGTTCGCCACCGACACGCATTTTATATCATCGTGTTTCCAAATGCAACTTTTTACTGCTGACAATGAAAACACGTAACACGAGTGCGTGCACGAAACGTCCGACATAAATCACGTCTCCGGCAGCGAAGAGTAACGGAGGAACATTTAAAGTCGAAATTGTTTTTACCCTCTTTAACGGAAGATGGATCTCGGGGGGAACGTCCTCGACCCCGATACCGGTATTTCCGTCACTGTTACGCCCACATTGAGATCATCCTTTGTGATTCATGGCGCCATTATACAGGGTGCACTTGGACAGGTAATATCCGTTGGATAACAGATGATTCTACGTGCAAAAATTATTGCTTCGTTTCGGAGATGATTCCGGTTCGGTATCAGAAACATGGAAGGGGTTGAAATCGAAAGGGTTGAAATTGTTCTAGATAAGATAGGGAGAAGGTGAGAGATGGAAAAGGAAGGACAGTGATAAAAAGGGAGACGGGAAACGTCTTCGGCATGGTTCTAGTCCATATAGGGAGCGAAAGTTGAACAGATCGCTCGGGACTGATCTCGTTGCTCGTATGACACAAGTGCCAACGTATATTATCTTCTTTTTTTTTTTTTCATTACTAATTGCACGTCTCCCGACCAGACACGCCCTTCTTAAGACTTCGTAAAGGATTAAAGTGGTCGGACAGAAAGGCTGGATTGTTCTTTCTCGTTGATTTACGAGCTACACGGTACGAACGTTCAACGGCACCTTTAAATTACGCTTAATTGTTTCGATGCCCATGTAAGTCGTAAATTTGCCATCATCTCGTTCGATTGATTTCACGGGTACAATTTCACGGGACGCGACGATTTCACGGAGAGATGAAAACGTTCGATGGCAGGGAAGGCAGATGAAGTTTTCAGAATTTCTAACACTAGAAGTCGATTCGTGACATAATGGACCGTCCGAGAGCCATCTGTCTTTCACCTGTCGCCGGTTCGCCTACGATGAAATTTATGCGGACGACACTTCCCGTTACGGAACGGAGGCGCCGTAAATCGAACCACAGCCGGCTACTGCAAGGACTTCTCGCAATGTCATCGTATATAGATCTATATTTACAGTTGGAGAACAGATTGACGACGAGAAAGATTTTAGACGATTTCTTCGGAAATCTACGGCAAATGTCTTCTTCGTGTAATTTTTAAAGATGCTACTTTCCGGCTTTCTAATGGATGTCAGTCGGTTTCAGTATTTTAGGAATATTACTATCTATGTTAGAGGAGATTTAGGAAGTCGAACTAGGGTGATGAAAAATGTTGAACCAACGATTCTCTGCGCGATATCGACACACGTTTCTCCTCGTTTAGTAACTGCAGTTGCATCGAAAACCGAACTTGGACGTATTTGGACGCGTATATTCGCAGTCACCTAGCGTCACGACTCGGCCAACAGGCGCTGATATTAGCGCTTGAGCTACGACCGGTTCGACGAATGTCCTAACGAGCTCCGTAGAGATCGAAGAGTGACTCATGCCCGTGGGGATTTACGGCTTCGAGATCTAAGAAATCGATTAGATCCACGATGATATTTCAATAAAGTAGATCGAACGTTTCTTACCCCCGTCGCAAAACTAGGCCGATATTGTTACACGATCAGATACGAATTTCGATCAACTTACGATAGTAGACCTCTCGTATAGTAGTTAATTGAGTATTACGAAACGTGTAAATATCACGTTACGATGCATAAAATTGATTTGGACACTATGTAATTTTGTTCATTTATAGTGGACGTAGGTAATATTTGTACACGGATTAATTTTAATCAACGTCTTGAGAAATTACAGGTCATTAATTGATTTTTGTAAAATTATAAATTCGTGTTTTCGAAATTTGTTGGGTGGCAATTTGACGCCTGCTACAGTTGGGCATCTAAAGTTTCCCTTTATGCACTTTGCGGATGCATTTGCAGTGAAAGGGTGGCGTATTTTAGGGACTTTAGGCCCTCTTTGCCCTCGGAAAATTTTCGTCTCTGTGGCATTATATTTATTTCAAAAATAACAAAATATTGAATGAACACTATTTAAGTTTTATATGGGGACAAGAAGAGTTTAATTAAGATTTTAATTAATTATTCACGACATATCGGGTTGAGTAATACCGAGTATTATTTTATACTGATACATAAAATTGAATACGATATTATGTTATTCTGTCGATTTGTTTTCTTATTCTGTCACTGGAGGTGAAGCTTGATTGAAGAGTGGAATATTCTTCTACAGGATAGATAACGCAAGTCAAAGGGGTCAAATAGGAAATTGCATATTTTAAAATGAATTATTTAAGCAGAAGGCAAACATAATGAATCAAATGAAAACAAATGTTTTTTTTTTGCTTACGCTTCGAGTGTCCACATCGAATACACCAATTACAAAATAGGACGAGCAGCGGTGCAGCAATTATACTGAAAATCGAGACCACTATCTTAGTCAAGAGGTTTCCAACGAAAATTCAGAGTAATTAGGATAAGAATTATTCATGTCACTTCGAATCGATGGTAAAACGATGATCACGAGAGATCGATGGAGGACAGAGTGGCTTTACTCGTTCGCCAAAGACACGCAACGACTGTTTTGCCGCCAGTCCTTTTGCACTACCGATCCATCGACGAAGAAAGCCGACTTCACGATGAAAAGTGGGGAGACTCATTTCTGTACTCTTTTCGATAATGCATATATCTTCCAATGACGTGTTTACCATATACGACTCTGTTTTTCCGGTCACCGATCACTTCCGGTTTCCTTTTCGACTTAACCCGCCCCGCTGCGTTGGCGCGCATCATCTATTCACTGAATTTACCATTCAGATAACAAAACTAGGACGAAACACTTTTACCTATCCAAAAATTGGGTCAATTAGAAACTGTAATTCTCTTTTAAATGAATTTTAATTTGGAAAAGAAATAGAAGAATTCGAAGGATCTTTTTCGATGCCAGACGAATATAATTCATCGCGATAATATGACGTCAATATGTTTAAAATTACAGGTAATTGATATTCGTTGATCGTAGTTTCGTATATGGCATCGCTTGGAATAAACTTGGAAGAGTCATCGCGATAGAGTATCGACGAAAACGTGAATGAAACGTTCCGAGGAAATATAAGTCTGAGATTCGAGAATTATAGAAACATTCTAAAATGCTAAATAATCTTTGATTTCTAAGTTCAGTTTATTCTAGTTTCCATTATTTTCAAAATTTTCCAAAATTATACCTCCCTCTCTAATTGACAAGGGAGGAACTTGAATTAGCACCCCCTTAGAGAGGCGACACTGCAATGGGTGTACAAGTAGCAGTGTCCATTTAATGGTCAGACAAACGCGTTCTCCCAAAGCGTCGAATTGTCACAGGGACAATCTCAGCGGATTGAGCAATAAATTTCTTTCTTTCTCTTAGCTCGGGTGTCTAACCTCACGTAACTTACTGTTACCTTTTAAAGAACCGTCGGATATCAATGCCGTTTCCACCGGCGCATATAATGCCTGGCCCATTTATGGGCATAATGCGGTATGTTACGTTGTCATTTCTTTTTCGCAATCACCTTGACCCACATCATGGGATCAACGTAGCATTAGGGACACGTCATTTCACCCATTGCGCAACGATTCTCTCTTTTTTTATTTTCACGATTTCGCGCGATCAACCATCCGTCGAACTTGTCGATTCGTTTACGCGTACCCTCATCGGCGTTTCTTTGAGCCTTCATCTTATCTCTTTTTGCCAAGTGCATCGCGTAGGATGATCGATCGACGAATCAATTCCGTTCGTTCGATTGCTTTTAATTCGATATCGAATGTTCCTTGCGAAAAATGTGTCAATTTGATCAGAGAGATATCAGTATGTTGCACTTTATATTGCATTTCAATTACGTCAAAGTTGGGTACAGATTGAATTTCATATTTAGGTAGTTTTTCTTGCAATTGAAAATACGATTCACTTACCTTAAGAAAGTCGCGCAACCACATCACTTCCGGTTTCGGATCACCGACCACTTCACAGGATATTATCACAGCATCACCCTCGATAGCCTCGGTGGACAGAGGTTTCGTAACGAACAATGGCTCCTTCGAGTATCTGCGACGTGTAAACAACAGAATAATTAATTAATAATAGTTGGTGAAATTGATTTGTTGCATAAAACTCACGGTATATCGGACGAAGCCAGTGTCACAGTTGGCACTCCATCGAGGGACGTCTGTTCACCTTCAGTCTCAGTGCCAATAATGGACACCCTCGTTGAGGTCTCAGCGTGGCCAACTTCGTTGGTAGCTGTGCAGCAATAAACACCAGCATCCCTTGCAGTTACCTTTGCCAAGGAAAGTTCAACGGTACCATCATGGTTCAGGGTCATTACTGTTCTTCTGCTGGGACGAAGACGATTTCCATCACGATGCCTGGGAAGACGATGCGAAAAATCCTCTACATGGCCGCTTTTTGTCATTTTTTTTTCTAACCAAAAATCTTTTTGTATGTTTAGATTCTTACCACACCACGCCGACACTGGGATACGCTTCGATCTGGGCCGTCATTCTTAGATCTCCACCCAATTTCACCGTATAAGCAGCATCGAGGCCGCACAAAAATTCTGGGGCTATGTAAGCACGAATTCCTTTGTCCACGACCAGGATACATCGACAGGACACCGAACCATTCGCATTCTTTGCTGTGACCATGTAACAGCCGGAATCTTCTAGCGTGGAATGAGTGATCTCTAGGGTGTGGAAGTTGGAGTCGTCGTCCCAGAATATATGGCGCTCTTCAAGGATAAAAGAACGTCCGTAAAGCGATCTTTCAAGAATTATTCGGTACGTGTACATTCAGGAATGAATACACAGCGTCTTTCGTAACACGGAAATAATGAGAAAGAATTTTAAGGAGTACATATATCCACACCTTTGTACTTCAATAATTCTGGTTATAAAACTGAGCTGACGTAATTGATTTAACAGATTATGAAACGTTCTTTATAATTCTTTAGAAAAGTTGATTTACCATCTTGACGAATCTCGGTGTCGTTTTTGTACCACGTAACCACTGGAACCGGCTGTCCTGTCACTTGACAAGTTAATCTTACGGGATACGTGGCTTGAACCCTCCTGTCTCGGATTCTCATGGTAAATTCTGGTGGTCGGTCTTCCGTATCGTCTCCCAAAAGCCTTTATACAGGAAATTATCGCGAATCATTAGTTGATATGATGTAAAAATTAATTTTCTTCTAACGATTTTTACCTTGATTTCAGTTTTGCATCGGCTTCGATGATCTTCGGATCATCGACGACGAGCACTCTGGCGAAGGACGATGCTTTTCCAACCAGATTACTTGCCTCGCAAACGTATCTTCCATTATCACTTTCCTGCACCTTTTCAATGGTAAGCGAACACCTGGATCCATTATAAAAGATCGAGTATCTGGGATCATCATTGGGATCGATCTCTGTAGATTCTCGGTACCATTTTACGTCTACGTGTGAATCAACTCGAATCTGCGAAATTTAACATTTGTTCTATTTTCATTTCATTGTTAGGTAATTAATTTAGTTCGTTTTTAACCCTCATAGATTGTTTAGGAAAGTTGGAATGCAAAGGGTGAATAATAAATGGGCTGAAATAAAGGTAGAAACCTAAGCTCGCCTAATAATAATACACTTACCTCGCATTCCAATTTGACTGTCGTTCCTTCGAGGACCTTGAGCTGACCTGGCAAGATCTTGGTGAATTCCGGAAGATCGACGGTCTCGCTGACCCTCACAGAGTTCGTCATCGTCACAGACTCGCCCCATCCATAACGATTCCTTGGTGTCACTTGGAACTTGTATTCGCCTCCTGGCTTCAGATTGAACGCGTCGAACGCGTTGATAGGTGTCATTCCCAGCTAATTAAAAAATCAACAAATTCGTAAAATTCAGAAACGAAAGATCGAGGATAATTAAATAATGTCAAATTGAAATATTTCTTACTTGATTCTGAGCTCCTTTAAAATTGTTAAGTTGTAACAAATTTTTATTAGAAAAATTTAATTTTACCGTCGCAAATTTAATTAACACATTTCATTAATTATTTTTAGGATTATTTTATTAGATAAATAAAACGGAGATGGTACCTCGACCCATCGTGCACCACCGTCGCTTCCCAATAACCAAGCATCAACCCTATAGGCGATGACAGGTGCTGGTCCTCTCCTTTCAGCTTTTCCCCAACTTAATGATAGCCAATTTTTTCCTCCATCAACGACGACTGGTTCACTGCTAATAGGCCCTGGAACATCTGGAAAGAATCATCGTTCTTTATTTCATTTCCATGTTAATTTCAAAGGAAGTTCAGTCTTAGACTCCTACAATAGGATCTCGATAATGGGCAGGTAAGAAGATTAAAATTATTAAGAATAAGATCGTGCGATTTTTCAATTTAAATCATCAAGATCCTACTGTACTCGAATCATCGAACATTCTTCAGATTTTTTACACCATATTTGCTAACCTCTGTGACTATACAAATATTCAAGAAATTCCACGATCAAGCAGTCCTTCTCAGACCATGATCGTCTAAGACGAGAAATTGTCATTTGCTCGTCATTTTTGTTGACGATACCATGGTCGTGGGGCTTCATTCTCAATCAAATTTCATCTCACAATTCGTCGTCACTTTTTCATTCATAAACACCGAGAAAATTCTAACGCAACACCATTTAACCGATAAATTTGTTCAAAATTCTCCAAGAATTACACGTATTGTTTTCTTTACGCTTTCAAGGTAAAGAGAAATCGGAAATGTCAAGGTGCTTTTTTCTTTTCGCTTTCTTCTCGTTGAAGGAAAAAAAATAAGTAGGGCACACGAAATAACTCGCGTCCCGACGCTGACTGAATTTCGAATTTTGTGGACACACGAGGATATTGGAGGGAGGCGCGCTAGCAAGGCAAACAAAAATAACCCGACTCAGAGGTGGTTCCACGATTCATGAACGTGTAGGTGGTGTCGTTTCGAGTTTAAAGTTACGTGAGAACCACCTTGTGCAAGTGTGTCATCTATTTCAGCTATTTTTGATTATAATTAATTTGATTATAATGAAAAAGAAAAGAAATTTGAATTTCTGACTTCTAAATTAGAACCCAATGAACGAAGTTTATTTATCGAGCGACCATAAGGAATCCTTCGTTTCTCCGATTTCCATCGTTTATTTTCATAGTAAAAACTGCTAAACACTATTATCATGATTTATGCTAATTGATCGTAAAATTGAAATGTTTAGAAGTATCGCACTGTAGGTACAATGTGAAATTAATTTGCAACAAGTTCCTTGAATCTAATTTAAGAATCACGATCTACTCTTCCAACATTGGTAGTTTTCTTTTCTTGGATTCGATGTACCTGTTTAATCATGTCACGAGATTCTTCAAGTTCCTTGTGATCGTAATAGATCACGTTTGTTTCGTTTGTACTTGTTATATTTGAAATCTTGCAGCTTGGTCAAGGAACTGTCACACTTGGCATTATTCCAGCCCTGAATTCGATTCAAAGTGTTTATAATTTTCTTTGAACAAACCGCTACGTTTTCACAGAAACGAAATTTATTAGATTGCATGAAAAGAGAATTTACGATTTGTATTTCTACCGAAGAGAAAATTCGTATTGCATTTTTCTTCATGTTTAAATGAAATATCAATTTGAATCAGCTTTGTAGGGATCTTTTGTTTAAACAAATTTTCGTACAACCAGATGATTAGCCTAAATATTAACGTCATAGCGAACGAAGCCTCAGTCCAGAGTTTGTTTGGACATCGGCCATTAAAAGCTGGGCCAAGTGTACAAAAACTTTAATCGCTGTCGCCAGGCTGTGAATTTCTAATTATAATCGTTTATATTGTGCATGTTGAATTAATTATCATCACTTGACACCTGCAGTGTATCTTCGAGGAAAACGTAACGATGTTTCTTTCGTTGCAAAATTATAGACATGCGTTGTTTAACTACAAGGAATAATTATGTACTTACTTTTCACGTAGGACATTTCATCATCGCGACTTTCGCTCGAGATACCATGAAGACTTCCGGTTTCTGTGCGGCTGCTCAAGGTACTCCAGTCAGGTGTTAACGATCTCGCACGTTGTTTCACCTGTGCATTAGAAATTATTTTAATTTAAAATGAATTTCCATTTAATTTAAAATGAAAATTCAGAATTTCTTGTGTACCTTGAGGGAGAAGAAACTTCTGTCGCAACCGTATCTATTCTTCAGAAGTATGCAATAGGTACCCTCGTCAGAAGGAACCACCCTCTTCAAGGTTAATCTCACATAGTCATCGATTACTTCCTTGTGAGATCGAGGACCATCTGTGATGTCCTTTAACCCTTTCATCCAGATGACTGAAAAAGAATGTTAAATTTTAATTATACACGATACAATGTTCAATTTGTCAATATAACACGAATTTTTTACTTTTTGGCTTTGGCACTCCAGAAAATCTGAACGACACACTGACATCCTCTCCAGAGGTGACTGTGATGGATTTATCCACGGGTCTCGAGACGAACATGGCAGGTTTTCCACTATCACTGCCACTCGGTGATATCACATCCACGATGGCGATACTATCCACATGACCGTAAGCGTTAATTGCTCTGCACATGTACGTGCCCCTCTCGGATTCAGTCACTTCCGGTAGGACTAAAGTATGCACACCCGATTCCGTGAATGTCTTCGCCTTTGGAATCGAGACGGGTTCCTTTTTCTCGCCACAGAACCATCTTACTTCCGGTGCTGGTACTCCTATCAAATCAATCATAATTTATTAATTAATTCTCATAATTTAATGAATCCATTCATTAAGAAGATGATTGATACCTTTGACTTCGACTTGCAAAGCAACTGTGCCACCAGTTGGAACACTGTAATCGGTCAAGTAATTAGAGAAACGAGGCCTCCTGAAAGCTTCGATGCTGAAGTGGTCGTCGTAAAGTTTCTCGTGTTTGCTCGTAACTCGTCGATCTCGTTCTTTAGAATACAAAGTTTTACCAATAAATTGGTGATAATTTTGAGCTAGGTATTTTGAAAGGAATAATTATTGTTAAATTGTATTTGTTACCGTTAAATTGAACCACGTGGGAGATTTCCTCGGTTCGCAGGTCGTTCATCGCTCTGCAGGTGTATCGTCCATTGTCCTTCGAATTCGGTGCAGCGATTTCCAATCGATAGATATCGTCGTCTAAATAGCATTGTTTATAACGATCACCTTGCAAAATGCAGCCGTCTTTCAACCAGGAGATCAATGGAATAGGATGGCCGCGTACTCGACATTCCAGGATCAATTCATTGTTAGAAGGTCGATAAGTGTCTGTGGAATGGTAACAACGTGTTGATACTATAATTATCTAATAATAATTATTTCAAAGCACTCCAATAATATTATAATAGGGATAAAGTATCACAATATTAATAGTTTTAATATTGTAAGGTACAGTATAGATTAGTATCAATTTGTCATCTTGTTAGAAAATTTAGGTGTTAAGTTAATTAAAATCTATCGCTACTTCAATTTTCTAAAAACAGGATTTTCTTTTTTTCTGTTAATTGCATTGTTAATTACCTACTCTACAAGCGTCTCACTGTTAGAATCACTTTGGAACTTACCTTTAATGGACCTGGTGAAGGTAGGGGGTGACAATGCTGGTTGGAAATCAGGGTAAACTTTTAACGCGGATTCGGTGCTCGCGATTCCATGAACATTTTCGGCAACACATGTATACAGTCCGCAATCTTCGGGGAGCGCTTCATGCAATTCGAAATAAGCCATACCGTTATCGAATCGAATTCGATATTTGTTCGAAATCGTTTCGAGCTTCTCGCCATCCTTCGTCCAATAAACTCGTGGTTCCGGGTGACCCAACACGGTGCATGTTAATCTTGTCCTCATACCAACCCCTACGGTTCTATTTGTTAGTCTTGTGCAGAACGATGGTTTCTTTCCTTTTTCACGTGGTGTAATCTAATAAAAATATTAATTTTTATAATAATGGTACAATATTAAAAACATTTTTTAATAGTTAAATTATTATTATATTTTTACCTCGTCTTTAATTGGAGGTAGATAGAGCGATAAGTTCGATCCTCGATCATCAAGATCATTTCGACTTCTCGTTTTCGTTCTGCTATACCTAGACAATATAGGACTGGCAGGTGTGATAGTCGTGTCGCTATCGCCGGTCGAATAGTCATCGTATTTTAATAAACTAATTGATCTAGCTCGAGTAATTCGATCGTCCCTCTTTCTTCTTCTTCGATAATAACCACCCGTATCAAAGTAGTACCTATAATAATAAAACGAATTACAAATTTAGAAATATTATAATAACAGTGATAATATAGCGAGTATTAAAAATATTAATACCTATCCATCGAGGTGTCTCTTAATTTATAATCAATAAAATCATCAACTCTTCTTCTAGTTAATGAAGTCAACGAATCTCTCCAACTGTACGATCTCGAAGCACTAGACAATGCAGATTCAAAACCAGAATCGTATTTGTATGATTTATCTCTGTGAAAATCAAGGTCCGAAGAAAACGTTTTACTAGTTCCAAGTCTGAAAGAATCATCTGCCATTTTCTTCAACAATTGATCTGATTCGCTTTGTCTCATTCTAGACCAGCTATCGTCTCTTATCTGTTCCTGTCTTCTTTTTCGAAGTCTGGATGTTTCTTCTTCTTGCCTTTTCCTTAAACGATCGTGTTCTTCTTTCAATGCTTTCACTGTTTCTTCGTGTCTCGTTTGCCTGTCTTCATCTCTTCTGCGTCTTCTTTCTTCGTCTTCCCTTTTTAAACGTTCCATTTCTTCCCGATTTTGACGATCTTCAGCTCTCCTGCGTTCCAAACGTTCGGTTTCTTTTCTTCTGATCGCTTCTTCATCCTCTCTCCATTGTCTTTCAGCCTCTCTTCTTCTTCTTCTGCGTTCTTCCTCCCTTTTTGTTCTTTCCTCCTCCTCTTTATGAAGTTTCTCTTCTTCTTCCTGTCTTCGGAGGTCACGTTCCTTTCTTCTGCGTTCACGAGTCTCGTCTTCTTTTTTTAATCTTTCTTCTTCTGCTTTTCGAATTTTTTCAGTTTCCTGTCTGATTTGTTTTTCTTGTTCTTCACGTCGTCGTTTAGCTTCTTCCCGCCTTTGTTCTTCTTTTTCTTGTTCTTTCTTCAGTCTTTCCGCTTCCTCTGCTTTTCTGCGGTTTTCTTCCTCTTTTTTCTGCTTTGCTTTTTCTTCTTTTCGCTTGCGTTCCTCTTCCTCACGCTTAAGTCTTTCCTCTTCTTCTTTCTTGGCACGCTCTTCCCTTTCCTTCTTCCTCTGTTCTTGCTCCTTTCTTCGCTTTTCAGCCTCTTCTTTTTCTTTTCGTTCATCTTCTTCCCGCTGTTGTTTTAGTTCTTCCTTTTTTCTTTTTAATTTTTCTTCTTTCTTTTTCAGTGTGTCTGATTCAGCTTTCTTTGATATTTCAGCTTCTTCTTGTTTCAGCTTCTCTGCTTGTTCTTTCTGCTTTCGTTCTTGCTCCTCTTTCTTTTTCTTGGATTCTTCTTCAAGTTTGCGGTTTTCCTGTTCTTGCTTTAATTTCTCTGCTTCTTCTCGCTTTTTACGTTCTTCTTGTTCTTTCAATTGTTCAGCTTCTTTCTTTTTGCGTTCTTCCTCCTCTTTTTGTTTCTCAGCTTCTTCTTTCCTTTTATGTTCTTCCTCTGTTTCTAATTTTTCAGCTTCTTTCTTTTTATGTTTCTTGTCTTCCTTTTGTTTGACAGCCTCTTCTTTCTTTTTAAGTTCTTCCTCTGCCTTCAATTTTTCAGCTTCTTGTTTCTTCTTGCGTTCTTCTTCCTGCTTAAGTTTTTCAGCCTCTTCTTTCTTTTTATGTTCTTCCTCTGCCTTCAATTTTTCAGCTTCTTCTTTCTTCTTGCGTTCCTCTTCCTGCTTAAGTTTCTCAGCCTCTTCTTTCTTTTTGCGTTCCTCCTCTGCCTTCAATTTTTCAGCTTCTTCTTTCTTCTTGCGTTCCTCTTCCTGCTTAAGTTTCTCAGCCTCTTCTTTCTTTTTGCGTTCTTCCTCTGCCTTCAATTTTTCAGCTTCTTCTTTCTTCTTGCGTTCCTCTTCCTGCTTCAATTTTTCAGCTTCTTGTTTCTTCTTAAGTTCTTCCTCCTGTTTTAATTTTTCAGCCTCTTCCCTTTTTTTACGCTCTTGCTCTTCAAGTTTTAGCTTTTCTTCTTCCTCTTTTTTCTTGCGTTCCTCTTCTTGCTGCTTTAATCTGTCCTGCTCCTCTTTCTTTTTGCGCTCTTCCTCCTCGCGTTTCAATTTCTCTTCTTTTTGTTTTAATTTTTCAGCCTTTTCTTTATTCTTACGTTCTTCTTCTTCTCGCTTCAGATTATCTTCTTCCTCTTTTTTCTTACGTTTTTCCTCCTGTTGTTTTAATCTTTCTTGTTCTTCCTTCTTTTTACGTGCTTCCTCCTCTTGTTTTAATCTTTCCTCTTCCTGTTTTAATTTTTCCTCTTTCTCTTTCCACTGACGTTCCTCTTCCTCTTTTTTCTTACGTTCCTCTTCTGCTTGTTTCAATTTATCTTCTTCTTCCTTTTTCTTGCGCTCTTGTTCTAATTGTAATTTCTCCCCTTCTTCCTTCTTTTTGCGTTCCTCTTCCAGTTTCAGTCTCTCTTCTTTTCTTTTACGTGCCTCTTCCTCTTGTCTAAGTTTTTCTTCGTCTTCTTTTTTCTTACGTTCTTCTTCTTCTTGTTTTAATTTCTCCTCTTTTTCTTTTATTTTACGTGCCTCTTCCTCTTGCTTTATTTTTTCTTCCTCTTCTTTTTTCTTACGTGCCTCCCCTTCCTGTCTTAGTTTCTCTTCTTCTTCTGTTTTCTTACGTTCTTCTTCCTCTCTTTTTATACCCTCCTCTTCAGCTTGTTTTAATTTCTCAGCTTCTTCTTTCTTTTTGCACTCCTCCTCTTGCTTCAGTCTCTCAGCTTCTTCTTTCTTCCGGTGCTCTTCTGCTTCTTGTTTCAATTTCTCAGGCTCTTCTTTCTTTTCGCGCTTTTCCTCTTCTTGTTTCAATCTCTCAGTCTCCTCTTTCCTTTTGCGCTCTTCCTCTTCTTGTTTCAATCTTTCAGTCTCTTCTTTCTTTTTGCGCTCTTCCTCTTCTTGTTTCAATCTCTCAGCTTCCTCTTTCTTCTTACGCTCTTCCTCTTCTCGTTGCAATCTCTCAGCTTCTGCTTTCTTTTTGCGCTCTTCCTCCTCTTGTTTCAATTTCTCAGCTTCTTCTTTCTTCTTGTGCTCTTCTTCCTCTTGTTTTAATTTTTCAGCCTTCTCCTCTTCCTTTTTCCTCGCCTCTTTTTTCTTCTTCTCTTCTTCGGTCACCCACACAATATCCAGCCTTAACAATTTCTCACGAAGGATATTTATCGTGTCCATCAAATTCGAAATAGGTGTTTCAAGCTCAACCAACCCTTCGCCAGCTGAATTTTCCTTCCAGGCTGTTTCAACCTTTTCAGTACAAGTCTCCAATTCATGCAAACATGGCGTCAGTGGTCTCAACATTCCAACGATATCCACTGTTTCAAAGTGGAATGATTCAGCCAAGGGCTTATCAGCCGATTGTTGACGGATAATCCCAATTGCATTTCGAAGTTTTCGAAGAGAATCCACAGTCGATCCTTCAACCTCTTCCTTCTCCAATATTTTTTCAATTCCTCCTTTAAGTCCTTCGAGAGGTTTGGCCAGGGATTTCAAAGCCTCGTTTTCAATCTGAACTTCGATACCCAACAATCCTTTGAAGCTCTCTATCTTATTATCTATAGACTCAATAGAATCATTTATTTCTTTAATCGAGTTCTTCAACCTTGTCGAAACCCTAGTAGCTTCTTCCAACGAAACAATCTTCTTCGTCTTCTCTTTCTCTGCCTTTTCACGTCGAATATTTGAAACACTTTCCAAAGCTGACTGCAATTCCTTCAAAGGCTGTTCCAGATTCTCAAGGTACACCGTTGGAGACTCTTCTACAGTCATGATAGATTCCTTCAGCTGCATCAAGGACTCAGTTAAAGTACCAATCACCAGTCTATCATCTTTAGCACTCGACGACACGTCTTCAACTTTCTCAGCAGTTTGTTCTTCGATAAATGATATACTCTTCTCAAGGTTGGATAAGGAATCCACTATGGCATCGATACTGGCTTCTTCTTCAGCAACGGTTAAGTCTGTTCTATCCTTCAACAGCATGAAGCTCTCGTGGACCTCGGACAACGGTTGTATCAGATTCTTCATGATTGTACACTTTTTCATTTCTTCAGCAACAGTATCTTCCATACCGATGATGGTCGATCTTATGACTTCCACAGGTTCTACCAGTTTCTCAACTACCGACCAGTCCAGTGTGACCATCCTCAACTGTTCCTCAGGCTCTACGACGCAACATTCCCGAATCTCGGCGATGGATTTTTCTATTTCCTGAAGAGGAACTGCCAAGCACTCGTTGATCCAATTGGATTCTTCAGGCAACGGTTCCACGTCAGGCGAGAGCACTCGTTCTTCAAGGACACAAACGCTTCTCTGCAACGTCATCAGAGGCTCCGCTAAAGCTGTCAGCAAGGAAACTTCATCAATCGTTCGGTCTTCAGCTGATTCAACGAGCATCTGATCTTCGATCAACGCAATAGAGTGACAGAGTTCTTCAAGGGATTCTATCAGAGGATTCAGGTTGGTTTCCGGTTTTTCTTCAAAGGATTTCTCTCCAGCTGATTCGACGGCAGTTTGTTCCAGAATCACAGAGACGGCTGCGTTTTTTAGCTCCAATAAAGGCTGTGCCACTGTCTTCAGCAACGAGAGATCCTCTCTTTCAGACATAGAGAATGCCATTTCGTTCGCGTCCATCGACTTTCGTTCTTCAACAACCACAGCCAGACATTCTCGCAGTTCGCTCAGAGGCTTAGCCAACCCCTTCAGAACCTGAGCTTCTTCTTCAGATATAGACAAGGCTATTTCCGATGGAGATTCTATGGTACCTTGGTCCACGATCATAGGCTCCAAAGCTTGAACAGGTGAGTCTTCAACAATATCCGCCCATGTCTTCAAGGAAGAAGCGTCCTCTGATATGGTGTCTGCTGCAGGTTCGAGGATGATTTGCTGATGGTCGATGGTCGCCGCTCTTTCCACCAGGTCGTGAAGAGACTTGGCGAAAGTCTCAAAGGCGGCGACACTTTCACCTTTAGATAATTCGTTTGCCATTTCTGGGACTGTTTCAGTTATCTGTTGGATGGCAGCAACAGAGGTCTTCAAGTCCGTCACAGTCTGCGCCATCATCTTCAGAGAGGCTTCTTCAGCATCTGATAAACTCTGCGCACCTTCTTCAAGAATCATGTGCTCTTGAACGATAGCGATTGACTTTTGGAACTCCTCGAGGATGGGTTTCAGAGCTGTCTTCTCGAAGGACGCTTTATCAGTTTCAAAACTCTCTGCAGCATGTTCGATCACGTGTTCTCCCTGAATGGCGGCCATGAAGGATTGCTCCAATTGCTGAAGAGGAGCTATCAATTCGCTTAACACCGTTGTTGGTTTCTTTATCTCCGATGTGTCCAGAATTCCTGTTTCTTGTAATTTCAGTTCCTCGATCGTACAGATGGATTCTTGCAATATTTTAACAGGAACCAGGATGGTTTCCGTGCTAGAAGCTTCCTTCTTCGTTATTTCTTCAAGGTGTACCTTTCCAATGATACTGGACATCACAGCAGGCCTTGAAATTATAGCTGCACAGCTCTTTTTGAACTCTTCAACAGCTATCGCAAAAGCCTGCAAAGCGGACACGTTCTCCACGTCCAGGATTTGCTGTCCAGGTTCTTCAATGGCTGCCAGTTGCTGAACTATTGCCGAAGAGGTTCTCAAATTACTCAACGAACGTTCCAGAGTTTTTATCACAGCTACATCTTCGGTGCTTCCTGTTCGAGTCAAGGTTTCTTTGGCAAGGACCAATTGTTCTTGAATCTCTGCCACGTTTTTGTTCAACTTCTTCAGGGTAGATTGAATAGGCAGTTTCTGTAGAACTGGAATTGCTGGACGAATTTCTTCAGCAGCTTCCTGTTTCATTTCTTCCTGCACAGCTGACAAGAATGATTCTTCTAATTTTTTTAATGGCTGAACCATGCTCAGGAATATCACTGCTTCTTCTTTTTCCTTCTCCTTTGACAGTTCAGTTTCTTTATCAATTTTTACGATGGTGGTATGTAGTTCAGCGATGGGTGTCACCACAGTCTTCACGAAGTCTTCAGATACCTTCAAGGCCGGGGGTTCTTCTATGCGTAAAGTAGCTTTCTTCAGTTCTTGTTGTTTGGCTACAGCCAGCAGATTCTCTCCAGCCTCCTCCATGGATTTGGCAAAAGCTTCTAATTTTTCTTCCGCTTTGATCTCTTGGGCTTGATGAGATACCAGCTCTTGAACAGCCGCCATGGATAACTTCATTTCTTCAAGAGACTTCTGAGCCATCTTCATCAGATCAGATTCGTCAACGGAAACTGCAGTTTTACTCGTTCCTTGTTGAACAACAGCGATTGATTTCTGTAATTCTTCGAGAACAGGCTGGAGATTCAATTTTTCTACTGCTATTTCCGTTTTCTTCAACTCCTGCGTGGTTTCTTCAGTCACAATTTTACTTTCTTCCACGGCTGTCATTAAAGCTTTTTCTAATACATTTAGAGGCTCAATAAGAACGTTCAATTTTAATCCAGCTTCTTCTTCTTCTTTCGTTATTTTCAGTTCTTTAGCTTCCTGTAGTTTCTCTTCTTCAATTTGAGACAGAGATTCCCGCAAAACGTGTATCGTATCAGTGATTTTCTGAAGAACCTGTGCATCTACTAATTTTCCTTGTTGTTTCTCAGGTTTTTCAATTTTTTCTGCTTTTTGCTGATTAATTACTGCTAGACATCTTTCTTCCAATTGTTCCATTGATTTCGCGAAGGATTCCAAAGCAGAAGCCTTTGAAGTCTTCATTTCTTCAGCTTCTTCAGAGGAAATTGCGACCACCTGCTGAACAGCTGTAGCTGTAGTATACAATTCTTCGATAGCTTCAGTTATATTCTTCACAGCTTCTAGTTTGAAACTCGATTCAGGTTCCATAGCTAAGTGTTTTTGAACAATAACGATGTTCTGTTTTAACTCTTCAAGAATTGGTTTCAAAACTACTTTTTCTAGAGACTCTTTCTTTATTTCTTCTGTAGTTTCGAGTTTCTGACCACTTTCCTGCTGAACAGCGGTGATCAAACATCTTTCTAATTCTTCGAGAGGGTGTACAAGAGGACTCAGTACTTGTAACTTCATCTCTTCAGTTCTTAGAGTTCCTACTTCTTCCAAATTTTCTTCTTGGATCTTCAGGATAGTCTCGCGTAACGCGTGAACAGGAGCAACGATGGTCTCCATTGCTTTAGCATCGATTCCTTCAATTTCCTTCGCTGTTTCTTTCACTTCTACTTGTTCTTGACTGACCAGGCACTTCTCTTCAAGTTCATGGACAGATTGGGCAAACTGTTGAACAGCTGTCATTTTATCCATGTCTGAAACTTTCTCTTCTTCGTTGGATACAGTGGCAACTATGCTTTGAATGACAGTCAACGAAGAACTTAATTCTTCCAACGACTTTTCTGCAGCTTGTACCAGGACAGCTTTCTCTTCAGGGCTTGCTGTCGCTGTCTGTAACTTCACTTGTTCTTGAACTGTAGCTACACACTTCTGAAGCTCCTCAACAACAGGAGAAATATCCAGTTTCTCTGCTGATGGAACACTATCCTTCATTTCTTCAGTTTCTTCGAGTTGTGTCAATACTGCCTGTTCAACTGTTGATAATAATGAAGTTTCCAGTTTTTGTAGCGGTTCAACAAGAATCTTCAAGGATTTTTCTAGTTCTTTAGCTTCCAAAGTGTCAAGCTTTTCAGCTTCCTGAAGATTTTCATCTTCAATCTTGTCGATGGCCTCTCTCAAAGCTTTCAGAGGACTGATGGCTTCTTCAAGTATGGCTACCTGCGATTTTTCTAACGTTTTTGGAACTGCTTTTTGAGAAATCATTGCCACACAATGCTGACTGATCTCTTCAACAGATTTTGCAAAGGATTTTAGAATCGAGCTCTTTTCTGATTCAGATAGATTTTGAGTTTGCTCGGTTTTGCATACTATCTCTTCAATAGCTGCTACGGAAGCTTTCAATTTTTCTAATGGCTCTTCTATAGCTTTGGCTACCGAAGTTTCCAATTTATCAGCTGATTTTTCCATTCCCGTTTCAAAGGATACTTGTTCCTGAATCGTCGCAATCGATTTCTGTAGTTCTTGAAGAACAGGTTCCACGTTTAGTTTCATAGAAGCCGGAAGATCTTTCATTTCCTTTGCAGATTCTTCTCCAGCGATGCTAGTCTGCTCGACAGCCACGGATAAGCATTTTTCAAGTTGTTCCAAAGGCTGGACCAAGGTATGCAAAACGTTAGCTGCTTCTTTGGTCTCAGATACCAGAAGAGCTTCAGCTTCTTGGGTTTCTTCATCGATCTTAGACACAGTTTCTCGTAACACTTGAATGGGACCTGATATGGCTTCGAGAACTTGCTGTTCAAACTCTAATTTAGCTACTTGAGGCTGCTGCAGAAGAGTAGTCTCCATCTTCTGCTGGCTAGAAGCTATGGAACAGACCTGTCCAATCTCTTCAAGACACCTGGCAAACGCCTTTAGAGCTGTTGTCCTTTCCTCATTGGTCATTTCTTCGGTTTCTTCCGTCTCGAGATTCTGTATAGCCGCCATGGTGGATTTCAAGTTCTTCAGTGGACTTTCAATCAGCTCAGCTACGGATGATTCAACTTTAACGCTCGAAGTATCAACTTCCTTTGCTTGAAGAGCCATCTGCTGTTCAACTACCGCAATGGATTTCTGCAGGTCTTCCAAAACTGGGGTCAGTTTCAGTTTCTCTACGGACGAACCAGTTTCTTTCATCTCTTCAGCGGTTTCTGTTTTTATCGAACTGTCCTGATGAACAGCTGTGCATAATAATTGCTCCAGTTGTTCCAGAGGATGCACCAGAGGCTTCAGAGCCTCGATCACGTTTCTCTCTGTTTGATCCATATGTTGGATCTCTTCAGCTCTCTGCGTTTCGATCTCAGATGTACTTTCGCGTAGTACTTGAATAGGTTGCACCATCATCTCCAGTACTTCTTCAAGTTGTTCCTTCTGGAGTCCTTCAGCAGTGTCCACTTTAGTTTTAGGTCTGCTGACGATTGCCAGACACTTTTCGCCCAAATCTGTCACCGATTTCACGAAGGTTTCCACAGCCATTGTTCTCTGCTGGGTAGTTAACTCTTCAACGCTTTCGGTATCAGTGGCTACGACCTTCTGCACGGTAGCCAGCGAGAATTTCAGGTTTTCCAATGATTTCTCAACTTCATTTATGAACAACACTCCACTTTCCGTTTTCGATGCTTCTTTAACAGATGCCAAGGTTACTTCTTCTTGAATCGTAGCAATGGATCTCTTCAGCTCCTCTAATACCGCTCCAACAGGTACAGACTGAGAGGACTGGACGCTTTGCTTTGTTTCTTTAACAGTTTCTTCAGTTTGTACAATTTGCTGCACCGAAGAGATGTTCAACGACCTCTCCAGCTCTTCCAGAGGATGAAGTATAGTGTTCAATATACTAGTAGTTTGTTTGGCAGGTAGATCCAAGGTTTCAGCCTCCTCAAGTTCCTGTTTTTCTATTTTTGCAACCAACTCTCGTAGATTTTTCACTGGACTCACTATCTTCTCTACCAGGTTTGCTTCCAGCATCATTTCTTCTTCAAGTTTCTGTTGTTCAAGCGACTCGGTTGGTTCCACCGAAGGAGAAACGGATCCAAAAGGAGAGGCATCAGGTTTCATGTGCTCTTGGGACACCATGATGGCTTCTATGAGCTCTTCGAGTGGTTTCGCGGTGGTTTCTTCAATGTCTTGGCTTTCTTCTTTCTTCATCGCAGCCAGCACTCGAATCTCTTCAACTATCTTCACTCTTTTCAATTCTGATGTCTTACGTATCGCTTCCATCAGCTGAGAAATCGTTTCTGTCACGTTTCGAACGTTTATCGACAGCGATACGTACGCTGAAGACTGCACTGCTGTTTCCTGAAGAGAAGAAAATTCACGATGAAGAACGTCTAGAGGTTCTAGGAGTAATTGCAAAGACACCATCACGTTTTCTTTCAATGCCGGTGTTAATTCTTTTTCAGTTATACGCAGAATTTTTTCTGTGGAGCGATCCAGGGTTCTTAAGGAGTTTAATAGGTGCAGGAGGTGTTCTTCAAGTTCTGGAATCGAGGAAGGCGATGCTGAATTTTGAACCGATGAAACGGTGGCTCTTAAGTCGTAGAGGATTTGAATCAATGCGGTTAGTTCTCGAATCTTTCGTTTTTCTTCTTCGGATTTTGATGAAAGGGGCTCTTCTAATGCTGACGACACAAGGTTTGTTAATTCTTTGAGTGGTTGTTGCACGGTGATAATGGAATTAGTTGTTCTTTGTATTTCTACCGTTTTACCTTCTTCCTTCGTTGATTCTTCGGCTTTGGAAGATGAAGTTTGTGTGATTTCTTCTTTCTTAATTAATTCTTCTACTTTGGAAGGCAGAGCTTGTGTTTCTTCCTTTTTTATGGCTTCTTCAGATTTTTCTATTATTTTTTCTTTTTTTTCTGCTTCTCCTACTTTTTCTTCTATCTTTGTCAATTTTTCTGGTTTTTCACTCGTTCCTGCTGTTGCTTCTTGATTGCTCGGTTCTTCAAGTTTTTCTGTGCCTTTAATTTTTTCTTCTTTTTTTTCTGCTGCTACAACCTCTTTAGTTAATTCTGCTTTATGTTTTTCTGTTTTACTTGTTTCTCCTATTTCCTCTTTCTTTTCAATTAATGTTTCTACTTTTTCTTCTTTCTGCAAAAGCTTTTCTGATTTTTCAGTTGAACTCACTTCACTTTTTTCTGGTTTAATTGCTTCTTCTGCTTTTCCTATTAAGACTTCTGTTTTCTCTTCTTTTATTAGTGCTTTTTCAGTTCCTTCAGGTGATACCTCTATCTTTTCTTCTGCTTTTGTTAATTTTTCAGCTTCTTCTGCTAATGCTTGAACGTTCTCCTCTTTTACTGCAAGCTCCTCTGTTTTTTCAGACAGTATTTTTATAGTATCTTCTTCCTTTTCTTCTACTTTTTCATCTTTTTTTACAGACACTTCTTGCTTTTCAGATGACATTTTTACTTCTTCTTTTAATTTCTTTGTTTTCTCATCAGCTTCTTTGGTTACCAATTCTTCCTCCTTCGTAGCTGCGGCTTCACCTTTTTCTGTTTCTTTCACTTGCTCTTCCACTTTTTCTACTTTCTCCTCCAATTTTTCTACTTTTTCATCTGTTTTCTTTTGTGTCAGTTCATCAACCTTTTCAGATAATATTTTCACTTTTTGCTCTTCTTCTATTTGTTTTTTCTTTTCTTCTAATTTTTCTACTTTGCTCTCTGTTTCTTTTGTTGATAATTCCTCCATCTCTTCAGTTGAGACTTTCACTTTTTTTTCTTCTTTCTTTATTTGCTCTTCCACAGTTTCATTCTGTTTCTCTAATTGCTGTGCCTTTTCATCTGTTTCTTTTTTTGCTAATTCCACCTTTTCAGTTTCCACTTCTTTCTCCTGAGCTTCCATTTTTTCTTCTTTTACCTCTAATTTTTCTGCCACTTCAGGTATTTTCATTACCTGATCTGCCTCTTTCTTTGTTAATTCGTCCACCTTCTCCACTGAAATTTCCACTTCTTTCGCTTTCTCTTCCTGCTCTCCTAATTGTTCCACCTTTTCAGATATTTTTGCTTCCTCATCTGTTTGTTTCTTTGCCAATTCTTCCACTTTCTCAGTTAACATTTCCATTTCTTCCACTTCCTCTAATTTTTCTTTCTTATCCTCCATCTTCTCAGAAGAAATTTCTGCTTTCTCAACTGGTTCTACCATTTCTTCTTTCCTTTTATCCATCATCTCTACACTTTTATCTTTCGTATCGTCTTCCTTTTTCACACTTTCATCTTCCATCGTAATAGCCTTCATTTTATCAGACTTCACCTCTTCTGTTCTCTGTTGATCTCTATCAGGAGACAATCTCTCAATCGTCAGCACACTTTCAATCTCTTCCTTCGAAATTTCAATGACCTCATCAACGATAGTTTCGATCTGCGTGATGGTAATCGGCATATCCATCGGCATATCCATAGAAACACTTCGATTTTCAACTTCCTGCACCTTGCCAGCACCCTCTTTTTCAATGACCACCTTTTCGATTGCCTTTATAGAATCCTTCACACTCTGAAGAACATCCACCACAGCAGACAAGGTCTCTACCAAAGACGATCCTTCGGATGCACCGTTGCGAATCAACTGCACTCGATGCATGGACAAAGAAGAAGCCAAATCCGACGTAGAATTCGCCAGAGCCTGAAGAAGCCTGACCGACTCAATCGACACTGACGCTATCGTCTTCTGATCAATTTGTTCTTTCAGCACGTTCAAAGCTGATTGAAGCTGGTTGGTGGGATACAAGAACCCTTCGACAACAGCTTCTTCGTCAACAGGCTGTTCACTAGTCTGAATGAAATGCGTCTGCGACAGTGCTATCTGCTTCTGAAGAGCTTCCAGGGACTTGGAAATCACTTGCCGAACGGATTCATCAGCATTCTCTTCCACGGTTGATATGGTGCTTCTCAGATTGTCGAAAGAACACGCTAAATTATACTGAAGGGTAAAATCAACACTGCTGGGTCTTTTAGAGTAATCAGTTTTACCAATTTGTTTCTGAACAGAGGCAGTGGCCTTCTTCAAGGAAATCAGTGGTTTCTCGAACAGCGATGCTCCTTCCAGATTAGGAATCCTCTCTAAGATAATGGTAGTTTGACGCTGAAGATCTTCGACAGCCTTTAGAATCACGTTTCTCCTTTCATCTAGCAAAGCTGCTTCAGGAACCAGACTTTTGCGACTGCTCTGCACCACCGACAAACAACTCAAGAATTCCACCAGTGGTTCGACGAGGTTTCGAATTTCAATGACGATCTCCCTTCGTTGATCGAGGAACTGGAGCTCCCTGGAGGTGACACTGATGGCTTCCAATAAATATTCCAAAGGATTCACCAGGATCTTTGCCACGTCCCTCTCGAGAGTGCCTTCAGTTTCATTTTCTAAGATCTTCATTCGTTCCTCGATATTCTTCAGAGGTTTTAAGATCCCTCGAAGAGATTCCAGCAGCTCTTGTCTCGAATAAATATCCTTCACCACCACTGGAACACTCTGTTTGATGTCATTGAGGAGATGAAGAACTGGTTGACAATTTTTTATTAATTTGGAATCGTGATTCAGCTTCTCTATCGAACGATTGATTATTTCTTCTTCAATGGCGTTCAAGGGTTGAATCAGATGATTCAGAATAAGAAGTTCTCTGGCCCCATGTTGATGAGATTCACGAAGAACTTCCTGTAGATTATTCAGAGGCTGCTGAAGGCTCTTCAGTATGGAAATCGTTTCTTCCACAGTTTCTTCGTAAGAATGAACCGATTTAGCGTAATCTCCGGTCTTTGCTCCTACGATGAAAATGGTCTTCCTCAGTTCTTCCAAAGAATTTGCCAAATGGGATATCGGCAGGGTGGTGGTACCAGTTGTAGGCTGTTCAAAGTCTTCAAGGATACCCATGACATCCATCTGTACGTTTTCCAGAGTCTTGGACAGAGAAAGTACCAACTGAATCGCTTCTTCTTCTCCTTTCTTCTTTGCTTCGTCAACAGCCACCTTCTGCTTTGGTACCTCTTCGATCATCGTAATTACCTGATCACTTTTTTGAGAGCTGATTTCTTCGATAGTAGTCTGTTCGATGACAGATTCTGAGAACTGTGCTTCAGGAAGTACAGTGCTGCTTTCCAGGGTACCGTCAGCAGTGGTTTCCTGAGAAGTATGTACTTGGACTTCTTGAGGAAGTTCCTGAGGAACAATCTCTTCCTGAATGGTTTCCTGAGACGTGGTGGCACCTGTCTCTTCACGAGTCATCGACTTCACCATCTCCTTCAACTCCTTCTTATAAAGAGCCTCCTTGATGGAGATGGGTATCTGATTCTCAATCTCTTCAACAATGTCCACGATCGGACGAAGAGCTTCTTCTTCGGCGTGATCTCTGAGAACGTCCATAATGGTCTGAAGGAGATACTTCATGGGTCGACCTAGACCTTCCAAGGTGTTTAAGTCTGCAGGCTCATGGTACATCGATATGGCGTTTCGAAGCCTCATTAATGGTTCCTGAAGATCAATTAAAGCTTCTATTAAACTTTCATCAGTGGGTGGTTCAGAATAAGATGTTTCTATGGCGATCTTGGTTACGTCTTTCTTCAATTCGCTCACAGTCGAGCTTAAACCGGATTCTTCATCTTCCTTGATGCTTTCTTCAGAGGTGGTGGACAGCCAGTGCTTCATAGGATCCAAGGATCGGCTGATTTTGTCAGCCAGCTCAAAGGTAGGCGTCTTTTGCTTTTTCTTTTTTGGAATCAATTTCTCAGCCTCTTTCTGAGCCATCTTCTTCGAGACTTCTTTCGCGATCAGAGGCGTGTCCTTTTCTATTTCTTCCAGGAGCTCCAGAACCGGAAGAACCGCGTCCGACTTGGCATCGCTGTTCACGATGCTCTGAACGATATTCTTCAGCTTCTCAATCGGACTTATCAGGTCTTTCAATATCTGCTCCTCTTCTACATCGTGTTCCTGAGTCAACAGTGATCTCTGCAGGTTTAGCAAGGTTTCCTTTAATCGATAAACTTGTTCTACGATCTCTTCATCAAATGGATTTTTCAGGTTCGCTATGGCCACAGCTGAGGAACCAAGATTCTGTCTCAATTCTTCGATACAGTTGGTAAAACTCGATACACGACCAGGGTAGTTCTTCTCCTGCCTCTCCAAAACTGAAGACAAAGCAAAATGAACGTTGCTGAGGTTCTCATCAATATTCATACCCTCCAGGTAATGCCTCTTCGCCTCTTCAGCATCGATCAATCGCGTCACGGTTTTCGGCAGCTGCTTTTCAATTTCCTCCAACATTTTCGAGACTTCGCTCACAGCTTTGATGCTTTCCTGAGAATCGCAATGGCGCAGCACCGTAGATACCACAACGTTCAGTTTCTCCAGAGGCACGGACGCTTTTCGTATCACCGGCAATTCCTGGAAGCTTCTGTCTTCAGAGGTAAGAGCAAGTTGTAGATCCAGTAGAGGCTCTTTTAAATCGATCAGACTGTTCAGGGTTTCGTCCTCTCTCAGGGTCATCGCTGTGTGAGCAGTGTCAGACACGCACTGCCTCAGCTCTATCAGACAAGCAGCTATTTCTGAAGAGGCCAATATTTTCTGGGGACTAGTTGCTCCATTTTTAACGGAATCAACATCCTCTATAGTCTGAAGAGCTGCGCTGAGAGCAGATTGGACGTCGATCAGAGGATCCAAGATCCTATCCGTCAGAGTTTGAGGCTCGTCTTGAACAGATCTCGAAGAAATCGTCTCTTCGTATTCGTTCGTTGTTCCACTGACAGTCTTCTCGATACTCTGCAACATTTCCATTACAGGTTTCAAGGAACTTTCCTCCAGACTCGTTATAGTTAATTTCAGCTGAAAGATGGCTGGTTCGAGGAGCTTGAAGACCATCTCAGAGTTCTCCACTATCGCCATCGAGGTCAGAGCGCACTGCAGGGAATAGAGAGGACCCTCCAGGTTCATCAGGGTCTCGATGCCGATGTCCCTCTTCTGGGGTGTCCTTAGCCTTCGGTACATCTCGTCGACTCGATCGAACACCGTGGAGAGTCGTGGATCAAGAGTACCAGCGATGTTCTCGTAAGACTTCAACGCCTCGTGAAGAGTCAGCCTCACTTCCTTCAGGATGTCCTGTTTCGCCTGGTCGGCTGGTGCCTTCTGTACTTCGGTAGTACTCTTTTCTTTCACCTTCTGGATCTCCTGTATACTTTGACCCACAGATTCCTGAAGAGACTCGATCAGTTTGGTTCTATGCTCCGACAAGATGCCTTTGGTTTCGTAGGTCTCCAAGGCTGACTTCAGGGTGTCCAGTTTGGCCTTCAACTCGCGTGTCGGAGTCAGAAGCTCGTCAATGACCTTGGAGACTTGTACGTTCGATGAGAAACCACCCAGAGCTCGGGCCACGTCTTCCACAGATCTGGACAATGACTCAACCACCACTGTGTCCACAGTTTCTATGGTTCCCTTGGATGGGTCTACGGAGACGTCGTTCAAGAAGAAGTCCAAGGTGCTGAGGATATCCTCCAAACTGGAAACTAGTCTCGTAGCTCTCTTATCCACTGTCAGGATCTTCCTGATGTTCTCGTCGAGCTTGGACACAGCCGAGGTCATCCTGATCAGTGCTATAGGTCTTTCACCTTTGGCTCTACCAGTCAGTTCGTGTTCAATCTTGGTGATTCCCATGAGAATCTCATCCACAGGGTCTGTCAGACTCTCTAGTATGGCTATCACGTCTGTCTTGCGATTCTTCACGTTCTCTTGACGACCTATTAATTCCATTCCTCGAAGAAGCTCCTCGGTTGGGCCTCCAATCGCTTCCAGCAAAGAGATTCGAACATTTTGGGTCAACGACCTGTCTCCAGCACTCTTCAAAGCCTTAGCCTCTACGGAGGACACTTCTTCGCATAAATTTTGAATAGGTTTAATTATATTCTCCGTAACGATAACCTTGCAATCTTCTTCGCTCTCGGAGTTCAATTTCGCGTCCAGTTGGTCTATGTTCACCAAGGTATCTCGTACCACTAGAACAGGATCCTTCATCTTCCTCATGTTATCCAGCAGTCTTTCTTTGTTACTTTTCGACAGAGACTTGTCAGAATCGCTGGATGGTTTCCTCTCGCTGGATTTATCTGGAACGTCTTCAACGTACGGTTCTTCAGTTTTGTTGATAGACTCTATACGCTGATGCAGGTCGGATTTGCTCGCGGATCTACTTCTTCGCCTTTTCCCATCTATCTCACTGCCAATTGAAGATTCTTCAGAGCTACCTTTCTCCTTCTTGTGCTTTTTCTTCCTGTGTTTCTTTTTCTTCGGGACACCAGTGACCGAGTCGAAAGAGGAATCGCCACCTATTCCATCGTCGATGCTGGAACCGGCTGTTTTATCCGCGCTCAGACTGCGTTTCCGGTCGTGGCCAGCTTCGTACAGTTTCTGAACTTGATTCTCAGAGATGGATAACCTCGCGGAAGACAAGGCATCGGCAAACGTGTCGCTGTCGTCCTGTTTCAACGAGGACACCGGAGACATCGGAGAGACGGGAGAGAAGGGTTCATCCTTCTGAGCGCTGTGGAAACTTTCCGATTCCATTTTTTGACTCTTCTCGCTTTTCTCGCTTTTCGACGAAGAAGTGGACTTCTTTCTCGGCGGCCTCGAAGGCGGTTTGTCGTCATCCTCTAAACTATACATGGCCGATCTCTTCAATGAACCACGGGAATCGCGTTCGGGAGAGGAAAATACGCGGGTCACGTCGTCCAGGATGGAAGCGTCCTCGAAGTCAGCCTCGGTTCGAAGGTCGTCGCCATCTTCAGCGCTGACGAAGTAATCCGGGGAGACGTCGATCACCACAGCCTCCATCAATAAGTTTCCAGAATTTGACGACTCCTTAACGAATCTCATTGGTGGCAGCTCGATCACGTTGTGCTCTATAAAAAATATCGAAAGAGATCTTTGAAGACCGAATTCTGCTTTATTCTTGAAGATTCAACGGATTCTTACGTCAACGATCGTTAGGTAAAATAGTTTAAAAATTTGAAGAAAATGTTTGTCATACCTGTTACGTGTTCAGACAACTGATCAGCATACATTTCAACAATTTGAAGAGCTTCTTCTTCCGTAAGATCGGGTGTTTCGTACAGGCTGACGGAAACTTCTTTGCCATCGAAACTGAAGGACACTTCTCCTCGATCGTCTAACGTGACGGAATGATCAGTTTGCGGGGTGTCGTATAATTGAGACGTTCTTTCTTCGTGTATCGTCGAGAGGGACAAGTTCCTGGCGAGTTCGTGGCCATTCGGTGACTGGACCTCTTTAGCCTCTTTGCGAACCGGAAATTTATCTAAAAAAAAATGATAAATTTGAAGAAATATTCAGTCGCGAATTATTGAAATAAGTAATTAATTGTGTAACGTACCTTCGAAACCTAAAAGAGACGCGGAACTACTGACGGTTCCCATACAGTTGGTAGCTTCACAGGTGTAAGTTCCCAGGCAGCAGGTGCCATCCTGTCCAGAGATGATTCTATGAATATCCCCCGGTTTTAATTCCACGCCATCTTTGTACCACTTGAGAATCGGTTGCGGGACACCTATCACTTTGCACTCTAAGTTCACTGCACCTTCGTCCGACAATATGGCCCGCAAACTCTCGAGGAATTTCGGTTTCTTGTAGTGCTTGGGAATGATTAGTTTCAAGAAGCAAGATGTGACGCTGTGACCGAAATCATTGGAAGCCACGCATTTCCACTCTGCCTACAAACAGTTTTAAGATGATTTTTTTTTGTCTTTAATTAGTTTTTTTTGCCGAGGTTTAGATACTTACTTGGTCGACAAATTCGAGCTTTCTTACGTCGAGATGGCACGTGCCAAGATTCTCCTTGGCGATCTGATATTTTTCATTCTCCTCGACTGGCACGTCGTCCCTGTACCAAGCGAGACTTGGCACAGGGGAAATACTGACTGTAAATTTATCAATTCGAACATTATTCGTTGCTTAAAATATTACATCGATGAGAAGCGAACGCGTTTCTGTTGTCTTCCCTCTGCATCACTTTTACTTTTAATATTATTGTATGGTAAAATATTAAAGTGTTACTTTTAGAATTGTAATAGAATGTATTCTTGTGTTGATGCAATGACAAAATCGTCTATATTGGGACAGACGGCTATAAACTGACAGTCGAGTCTAATAATAGGTATTCTTCTCGGTATTTAAATAGATATTATTAGATTTAACTGAGGCATACAAAGTATTCTAATAGTTAAAGAAACATTTCTAAAATTTATGCTCGAAGAAATATTTAAATGAAATTCACCTTGTACGGTAAAATGAAACTCTTCGTTGATTCTTGCCTCACAGCTCCTCAGACCTTTAATGAAGGAGGGTGGTTGATTTGTACTCAAAAGTTGCATACGTTCTTCTTCGTTCAACTGATTTTGAATATCTTCGATCGTTAATTCGGCTGTGCTTTTTGCTTCGCCCATACAATTTCTTGCGATACAGCAATAAGATCCTGATAAATGGAAATTAACAGAATTGTCATTTTTACTATAAAAATATTCAACGAAAAATATCCTTGGGTACCTAAGGAGTTGGTTCCAGTTAACTGATAAACGTCTCCTGGTTTTAATTCCTGGCCATCTTTGAACCACCTCAGCAAAGGTGTAGGAAATCCTACGACCTTGCATTCGAAGGATACCAAACCTTCTTCCGTCAGAACAGCCTTCAAGCTCTCCATGAAGCGTGGCTTCCTGTAGTTCTTTGGAACTTGAATTCAAAATAAAGATTCATTTATTTCATTGTCAGATTATTAATTGGTGTATTTCTAATTAAACTTTACTCACTGGACATTGCAACATAGCAAGTTGTGAATTGTTTCATATCCTCCGTACTGCTGGCGACGCATTTCCATTCGCCTTCGTCCATGGCTTCTACGGGGTTTACCTCTATAGAATATCCACCCAGTCCATCCTCCATCACGTGGTATTTTTCGGTGGCTTCGATTCGCCCCTCCTTGTTGTACCATGTAATCGTTTTTGGCCATGGTGGCACTTGGACTATTGCAAATATAATCAAATTAAATCTTGATAAATAGAAAGCGTTTGAAAAGAACATCGATGAATTTCGTACCTTGACAAGAAAGACGAAGAGTATCTCCAATTCTGCAACATTCGTCTTGTAGAATTCGTGAAAAAACAGGAAGAGGACCGGAGGGTGTCATAGAATCCGCTGGTTTCAGAGAACCCTCTCTGCTACCTTTTCCAACTACGTGTACCTTGAAGAATAAAATATATTTTTTTAATTATGTTTCAAATAATTAACCAAATATAGGCACTTACTTTCGAAGAGGAGTAAGAGATTCCCATGCAATTCACCGCCTCGCAAGTATAAATGCCAAGGGAGGTTGGGTCATCAGGGTTGGCAGTTAAAGCAAACACATCGCCAGCCTTGATTTCTTTGTCGTCTTTAAACCATCTTAATACCGGAGTAGGTACACCGACCACTTTACATTCTAACGATACTGTTCCGGTTTCTGTTAACAGAGCACGAAGCTCCTCGACGAATTCTGGCCTTTTGTATGCTTTCGGGACTGAGGAATAAGAAGAAATTTCATTTCATCGTATTTTCTGTTAACCCTTTGAGGGACAGTGGTACATATTAGTTTTGCCTTCTTGTTTTTTCTTTAATTCGGAATTAATTTGCAGATTTTTTAAACATGTGAGTACTTAGTAGACTTTTGCGTTTCCAAGTTATATAATTTACTTATAATTAATTGTAAACAATTAAAACACAGAAAACTCATTTTTTTTCAGAATAAATTCGTTTATTCTTGAACGAAAAGTCCTGCAGCTCTGAAAATTTTTATTTAAACTTTGAATTTTGTAATTCTGACATCAGGATCGTAATCAGCGACCCCAAAAACCCGTAGATAATCTTTGATTTTAATAATTTCTTCGGAAGAAAAATGTGCTCCTCAAAGGGTTAAAGGAATAGCATGCCCTTACCAATTACGGTCAGACGAGATGTACAAGATGATCTTCCACTTGGATTTTCCGCCATACACGTCCACTGTCCTTCGTCCTCGACGGTGACAGGAGCCACATCGACGCAGTAGAAGTTTCCCTCGTGGACGAAAGAAAACCTCGAACCCGCGTGTACCGGCTCCGCATTTCTGTGCCAAGTGATCTGGAATTCAACAACAACCACGACGACACGTTGAAAGATTTAAGCTGTTGCTCGTTTGATGACGTTAACGAGTTGTCAAACAATTGATGGAAAGGAAATGGCCGAGGGATAAATTTGTTACGAACAAGAAATTATTTTACTCTTTCATTGTTCGATGCAATCAGCGGTCGGAATTATGAATTCAAGTTCGAGACTGTTCATGCACAACTTGACACGAGAGTAGAGTCTAATTTTGGACCTCGTGTAATTTCGAGTCTTTTGAAAGATTTTATATAAGTAAGTTCTGTACATATTGTTGCTAAAACGGTGCAACAAGATTTATATTGAATTTCTTTTTTTTATGGAAGGATTCATTTCGAGGGTTGACAAGCATCGTCTAAGGTGAATAAGTATTTCGCCAAGTATGTTCGATATTGTTTAGAACAAATCCGCTATATTTTACACAAAATTAGTTTCCGTTGCTAAAATTAGTTTGGCTTAGCGTTTGAAACGGTTAAATAGAGAGCTTAGGAATTTCTAAGAAGCTGTAACGCTTGTTTGAAATCTCAGTCCACATTCCGTTTCATCGTCAGACTTTTTAACTTTATTTTTTTAATTCAACTCGAAATTTCAAATCTTCAAATTAGGCATTTCCAAGAATTTAATGAAAAATTAGGAAAATTCCATAAAATTCATTGGTATTTCAAAGCGGATTCCTTAGAGGCGAGCGTTACGCAACGCGGTCAGAGACCATCTTCAGGGAAAACGACCATTTCGAGGTTTACGATGGAGGCAGAATAAGCACGCAGATTTAGCCGATCGGCGGGCATAGTTTCTGGCCGTAGTGTACGTGCGCGCGTAATAATAGTTGTAATACGACTCGTAAGACCGCGTTACGATCTTCCTTTTCTCTTTTACGTCTGTGAAAAGCCGGGTCGTGGACCTCCGAGGCTTCCGTTTTCGTACGCGTTTCCCCGTTTCGTTCGTAACCAGAAATCCGTGGCAATAAGTCACTAGAATAATCTCGGTTCACCCTTCCGGGTTAATCACCGACGTTGGCACGGATTCTTCGTTTCCAAGCGTGGCCTAATAATTTTTCAAACTATTCGATCGAATATTTTTTTTTTTTTCTTAACGTGTTACTTAATTTTTGTAGTGTAATTTTTGAAAATATTCAAAGGGAACTTTGCACAGGGAAAGAGTTAATTTTTATAAAATTTTCATTACCTTCGGTGTGGTCGAACTTCGAATCTCCACGAGAAACCTGGTCCTCGTTCCAACTTTGACCGCGAGATCGGTCAATCTTCGTAGAAAAACAGGTGGGTCACCCTCTTCGGAAATCGGCTCATCGACGCTCAGATGAATCTTCTTCGAGGATCCTTTGTCGAATCCTTGACCGAGCCTGGTCGCCACCAGAGCGTAATGTCCGGTGTCGTCCTTTTGCGATTGTTTCAGAGTCAATTGGACCACGTTGCCTCTCATTTGTACGCGGTATCTATCGGACGGTATTGGTACATCTTCGCGAATTCTATAATCAGATAACATCGCTATCATTATATTTTCTATGAAATTTTCTTTGCATTTGATGCGATTCGAAATCGACATCACCGATCAAATTTAGATAACTTCCAAACAATTGCACCTAGATTCAAGGTTTCGATTCCAAATATTTATGGAAGGACGCATCGATTAAATTAGCGAACCATGATTTCCCTCCAAATTCCACCGATTCTCGCTCATGTATTTGTTTCCGTTCAAGTCTCCCGTCGATCCTCGAAACGTAAACGACAATAAGATCGATCGTGATTGCTGAGCATAGAATTTGTTTCTCGTCTAGGTAAAATAGACATTGCGTCAGTGCCCGACGTTTACCCGCGACGGGGAGGCGCCGCGGTGATCGTCGAACAATTCGCGAATGTTGCATTTTTGATTGCGTAAAAAAGAAACGAGATTGAATGAGCCAGTAATAATAGACGAATCGTTCTGTCTGGCACGGTGAAAAAATAGCTAGCGGACGAGCCCGACGATGACCATCGGTCCGATTGGATCTCGGCCATCGCCCCGAGAACAATCACAAACTGACATTTCAACATTGCAAAACCGGCCTCGTTTCGTTAGAAAGTCTTCCTCTTTGCTTTCTCGAAGAGAAAAGAAAATCTATAACATTTAATTGAAAACTGAAAGAGATAAGGAAAAGAAGGAAGAACAAAAGAAGAATCTCGTGGATGCTGATTACGTACACACTTGCACCATCGATCTTTCGTTACGGTATTTGTAGATCGTTGGGAGATATTTCAATGATCCAAACACCGTGGAGATGGCGCGTGAAAAATTCGATCGATACCCTGGATCATTGGTATCGAGGCAGGCTTCCTTTTCCCGTGGCCGTGTGTCGTGTAAAAAGGTGACGAAAATAGGGCAGTAGAGCAATGCCAAGAGTTTCAGTTGCTCTAGATCATTTGTTTGCCCGAAATACGTTGGAAGGGTGTTACCGATTCTTATTTCGGCGTCGTTCAACCTCTAAGAATCTATGAATTTCACGATTTAATTGATCGATGTTGAAAATTGATCGAAGAAATTGCAATCGATGGAGTTGAAATTTTCCATTCGCGTTGAATTAATCATTTCTGTAATTGAAAATCAGAAATATGAAATTCATGTCCAAACACGTGAATCAACATGCAACGATGCGCATCTGTATCTAAAATTAAAATCGCTCTATCATCGGTCAAACTTGAAACGAAATGGAAGAAAAGGCATTAGCTACGTTGATGCTGAAAACCCTACCCATATCCGGAACCATCGGAAAAGGAACCCTTGATGGCGGGTTTGTTGCCATTGGCGCACTTGCAACAATCGCTCCCCATGTTGATTCCTCTTCACTCAAGTTCTACCACTCGCGAACAAACAATCACTACCTATCACACGTGGGTACGGCGACATCAGGATAACTCAAAGATTCGCATCGAATCGAGCAAAGGGCGAAGAGGCGGATGGAAACCGAATCGATGCATCGATCTCGGATATATTCGATATTTATTCGATCAACACGAAGCGTCGTATGTCACACGTTTGCATCACAGACTCGTTTTATTTATCCGTCGACTGGGTATTGGTGATACACACGGTGACAGGGTGGCAAAAATAAACCCGCGAAGCGTCTTGTCGACCCTGACGTGTCTGTTCAATGACTTCACTTCGATTATTGATATTTTATTGATATCTACCGATACACTTTGGAAAGATATACTTATCACTGAACTAATTAATTATCCCAGACTTGTAATCATTTTCTTTCGTTACGAATTTTGGTTCACTTTTAAGATCGTCCAAAGGGGGTGCGTTCGAGAGGGTGACAATGATTTTACGTTGATTTTGATTATTTTTTCTTTTTTTTCTTTTTTTTATTGTGATTCGAGTGACGCGACGCGGGTTTGAAAGAGGGAGGAGAAGTCCGAGGTGATTTTTGGCCGGTCGTCGGACGTCGCGACGCTCCCTCGGAAGACTGATAGCGAGATGCCAGCGCCAGGTCGTCCGCGCTCAATTTTCCACCTCCACATCCGCCAGCTTCCGCTATAGTTCGAAGGAAACTATAAGCAAAGAGGAGCACCCGAAGTATCCTAGAGACGCGGTTTTCAAGGAGCAGCGCCTCTTTCGTCTTCTTCGCGAAAATTTCGAGCTCGGTCGAATTTAGCTTACAACGAGGGGCGCGAGGGGCCGAGGAACGTCAAACCGGTGAGCGGAATTTTCACGTCGTCGCGATGACGTTGCGTCTCAATGGTCAGGGGAAGAATGATCTACGAGGATTTAAATGACGAATAAATGCCGTCAGAGGAGACGACAGTTGAAGTCTTTCGTATAATTGATAGCCAGCAACTCTGTATTAAGAAAATTAACGAAACATTTGTGTATTCGTTTTCATGAAACTTTAAGCTTCAAATTGATACATCGTAATTGCTATTTCGTAATACTTTTATGTCACCAAATTATCAGTTAGACTTGTTATGTCTCAGACTTGATATTTTGTACGATCACGTGAATAAGCGGCTTTAGAAGATCGGCGAGAGACAAAATATATAGAAAAACTCGCGAAACGAAGTTAGACGTCGGTGTAATTTGGCCCTCCGCGAAAATTAAGTGCGCGACAGCTCGAAATAAACTGCGTTTGATCCTTGGCACGTTTCAAGGTTTCTACGCGAAATTAGGGCCAATAGTTGAGAATGAACGATAACGTATGAACGAACATTCGTTAAATGGCAACAAACGCGTCTTACTACGAGAAGGAACAATAGAAGGGTAGATGAACTTTACTTGGATCATCGATCGCTTCGATAACTTTATCGAACTTTCGCTCCACCGATTCCTTAAAATTTCATTTCACGCTATAATTAACATCGTTACATAATTACACCAGTGCTGAGATGATATTATAGTTGGACGAGAATTTGACAGAATGAATGTAAAATTAGCAATGAAATTAGGATTGTATAACTGTTATCAAACTTGTAAGATCAGGATGTACAGTGGATCAAAGAAGTATTCTCTCTCCTTGCTTTCTTGCAATGAATTTATTTCAAAAAAATTAATATTATATTACAATATTTGTTTAATTATACCGTTTATCGAAGTATCCTTTTTTCAATCGTCAGATTATATTAAATTTATGGCACTGGTTACTAGCGATCAAGGTTTAATAAATCGAATCATGATACGTCTGACTATATACGTTAATTTTCACTGAGACGATGGGTGTGTTAATAAAAGCCGGGTTATCGCGAAACGTTACGGGTCACTGATCGCTATAGGAATGATAGAAAAATGATGACTTACAATTCGAATCGTAGCTCGTCGAAAACATCGGACCACCGTAATTTTGGTTCAAAGACGACGTCTTCGCCTGTTCGTCCCTGAACCGAAAGAACCTGGTCCGGGTCCAGCCATCGCGGCGGTCCTTTGGCTTTCGCCGTCTGATCTGTAAGCAATTACATTTTTACAAGTACTTGAAACAAAACAACGTTCTATATTTGACAAAGGGGCGGCCGGACAATGCTGGTTAATTCTACTAGTAATCGCGTCGGACTAAATATGGATATTACTACTGTGGTCACCAATATATTAAAGTCTGAGGGGCTATCAGCGACCCCAATGGTAGTCGAAGTGTCATAGCTGTTTTTATTCGGACACTTTGCAGTCTTCAACTTCAGATAACAATATTTTGTTTATTTTGCCACACGAATAATCGCCGTCTTAAATTTCAATTTTCAAGACTCGCAGACCCCCATTCTCAAAGCTCGTTAATTAATAAGGAAAAAGAAACGGCAAGCGCGTGTCGCAAGGCGGTTAAAACCGTAGGCGGAAATTTATTATTCGCGAGGCTACCTGGTATTTCGTCGCTCACGTGCTCACCAAGATGGCCACAGAAGCGTAGAGTACGCGGATGCAAAAGCCGCGGGCGTAAATATAGATACCTGTGCGGGAAGAAATCAACGGGCTGAAGGGAAATCGCTTAAGAAAATAAAACGAGACACGCTGGCTTCGAGAGGTTTTTACAATCGGTCCGTTCGACGGAAAGCTCGATCGACAGACGAAATCACGCGGAATCCGCCGCGAGTGAAATTCCGTAAGCGCGCGTATCCCTCTGGCGTAGCGGTAAATAAATACGTTAAAAAATAAACATGGCTGCAAACGCGATCCGTTTACCGCCTCGATTTCTATCTGTTTTCAACATGTGCTCCCAACGATATTCACAATTTTCTTCTTTTTCTCTTTTTTTAAACAAATTTCACATTTATTTGGTCTCCTCCAGTGTTGTCATTACATGTATCAATTTTTATATGATAATCGTATCTTCATCGCGAATTTTTAATGAAAATTAAAGAAATTGAAGATTAAGAGAAGCTTCGTGGTTCGACGTTGAAGAATAGCCACGTTTTCACGAACAAGTGGTGAGATTTTTTAGCGATCACACAACGATTCTAAACGTTTCTCGGGTTTGATGCGTATAGGAAATTTGGATCTTTTTTAGAGACGAATAAATTCTTACCTGTTAAGGTCATCTCGTTAGATGATACGAAGACCGATCCTTCCTCGCATTGACATCACTCCTGAAGAGACGAACCAACTGGAGCTTATCGTTTCGACCAGGAAGCGACCTGCACGTCCTTCCGGTCGCGAGTTCCACCTCCGGCGACCTGCTCTTCTGGTTGACCCGTGGCACGGCACACTCTGCGCCACGAAATCTGACGGCAGGAGGCCCTGCTCCGGTCTAAAATCGTCCCGACACGCCACTCTCGGCTTCGTCGTTTTAACGAAACGCGCACATGCGCTCTTTCGTTCCTCAGCATCCCCCTTTCTCTATCCCCTAACTTCTTTCTCTCTTTCTCCTCTTCACCACGCACGGACACACACACATGTACGCGTATATTACACCTCTTCACCCCGTGCTCCCTCTTTCTTTGGCCCGCTATCTATCCCTGATGTAACTTGGCGCATCGATGTTTTTTATCTTTGAATAACTTTGTCGCTCGTGGCGATTATTCCCTTTTCATTTTCCGCTTCTTCTTCCTCTCCTTCGTTTTCGTCTTCGTTTTTCTTTGCTCCGTGTGCTTTGACCGAGGCGTTTGGCGCCCACGTGCGGCGGGAGGCTTGGGTGCGAAAGGCAGTGGTTATGATTAGGAATTTTTCATTTTCTTGGACTTTTATTCGAAGAAGAATTGCCTAGCTTGGACTTGTTTGAAAATAAGAAAGATTCGAATAAGATAATTTTACTTGGTCATTCATTTTACTTTCTAATGATAGTGGGATAGGATAATAAGAAATCAATTTGAAATTCAACAGTTATGTACACATTTATTGCAAGTAAGAACATCCATAATAATAAATAAGAATAAATAATAAGAATAACAATAATTTATAATAATACACCGTTGTCGTTAAATATACTCTCTTAATACACGTTATACTATCTTTGGTACTCGTTTGTTGTAGTTGCTGAATGAAACACAATTGGCTTCTTCAACGTTCGCTTGACAAATTGCCATGATAGACTCGAGGTGAAAGGTCAAGAATCCTTTCGTCATTAAAGCATCGAACATCGAGAATCTCTTCGAGGATTATGAACTCTTTTTGTTGAAATATCTAGAATTTTCAGAAATCTCCCCTGCACTGTTTTAAAAACCTTTAAAAACGTCATTGCTTTCTTTTGGACCACCACCAGCCTCCAGAAATCTTTCCACGAATCTCGTGTTGTACTCTTCTGTAAAGAAGAAGAGCGATGAAAGGGATCGCCAAAGTCTCTTTCTTGAAGAGATAAACGTAGACAGCTGCCAACAGTAGCGTAAGGTCAGTTACGTATCCGACAGTGTTTCTGACGTTGTATTTCGCCTCGATCGCCAGTCGCTCTTCGTTCAATCTACTTTCTCTCCATGGTACTTCAGGGTAGCCCGCGGGGAATCTGCGCCTGGAGGGACGATACTTCTTGCTGTCCAAACTTCTCTGCAATCGTTCCTTTTTCAACTCGATCGGAGTCTCCGGTCGGTTTCTGTCCTTGGAACTGGACCTGGAACGCGTTCTCGAAGAGGCTCTCTTCGTCCTTCTGACGCCTTCGTCGACGGACTGCTCTCTGACGTATCGTCGATCCTCCGAACCAGTCCTGGACGGAGGTTTTCTGTCTTGCGAAGGGGCTCGAATTCTGGTCTTCGACGAGGACCTCGAAGAAGCTCCACCTCTCTCCACGGACACGTTTCTAGACCTTGGTGCTGGAGATTGGTTCCTGGAAGATGGTCGACTGATTCTCTTCTCTCCTGGCTTGGTATCTCTCGCAGGAGTGGTCCCCCGAGAACCTGAAATCCTTTTCGCTTGACCAACTTGTTCATTCTTCTTGCTCTTCACCTTCGGTAGTTGAACCTGTTGAGCTTCTCTGGTCTCTTGTCTATTACTCTTAGTCGCGAAAGCTTCTAGACGATCTTTCAGATGACTTTGCTCCTGATCCTCCGAGAAGGAGGATCTTCTGGAGCTAGCCACACTGTCGCCCAGTTTCCTCTCTTCGGAGCTTCTATAATTGAATTTACTCGAATGCTCTCTAACAATCTCCGTGTAATGATCAACCACCGCCATTCGTGCTTCGATATCATCTTCATCGACCTCTTCTTCGGAGACGTTCGACCTCATCTTCGCCTGAATCCTACGATTCTTAGCTGCTTCACCTGCGGACAGCATGCTATCCGTATCAGACTCCGACATCACAGGCGGTCTGATCATTTCAGCCGCAACCTGCGGCTGAATCTCTTCATCTTTGGCTACTTCTGCAGCTTGAGGAGGAATCTTCCTGATGGGTTTCTCAGGAGGAACCGGTCTTCCGAAGCTGTTCTGAGGAGCGGGTTCTTCTTTAGGTTTCTTCAGAATGGACTTAGGAACCAGATTAGTAGGGGACAATGGTGGCGCGACGGTTCTGGTAGGAGTAGGTGGAGAAACTTCCAAAATGGGTACTCTATGGGGTGGGATCGGTGGTGGTTCAGGTTCGATGTGTAAAATTGGTCTTCCCGAAGGATGATAAGTGTCTTCTTCCTCTAGCACCTGTCTGGCGAGAATCCTTGCCTTCAGAAGCTTCAAATCTTCGCTATCAGCACTGCTCATCTCTTCGGATGATTCTTCAGAGGTCTCGATGCTTTCTTCTTCCTCCTCTTCTTCCATCTCTTCTTGTTTCGTGTCCTGTTGTAAGATTGGTAGAGACTCTGGAACCACCCCTCTGTTTGATACACTCTCTTGATTGGTGCTACTCTGCCAGGGTATCGATTTGTCTTCGTTTATTCTCTCGACCAATGGTACGTTGGCGTCGTGCCACCTGCGCAGTTGGGTCGCTGAGTCCTCCTCCTTGTCCAGCGCCCAAGGATGAGCCACAGGTGTCTCTGTGTCATTGGGCAGATTTGGATCGGATCTTGCTTCGATATCGGCTAACAAAGAGGGGGTTACAAGTTTGATGGATGTCTTCATGGTGTCCGCTTCGCTGGACCTCCTGCGATTCTTCTTCGGCTGCCAGGTGATCAGATTCTGAGGAACTACCGCAGGGTTGGACATCCGTCGTCGAAGGGATAATAATCGATCTTGGGTATCTTCGATGTCTTCTGCTTTTGTTTCGACGGTGGATGCCAGTTCTCCTGTCTTTCTTTCGAGCTGGATCTTTCTTTTACCCACTTCGGAAGCCTCTTCAGCTGCTACCGCTTTGTAGAAACGCTCCATCGCTCGTTCGTGAAGTAGCTCCGTCGAACTGACCGCTTCGCGAAGGGTTTCTACCACCTGGTGCTCGAGGCTGAATAATTCCGGAAGGGACAGCGACATCGGGGGTGGTATCAGGTCTTCCATGTCTTCCGTTTCCTCCGCCGCCTGTCTGGTGTCTATCGAATGAGAAATTATGATCAATATCAATCGATATTAATATCCTATGGTAATCTTACCTGACGTCTTCCGCCTGCCATCGATGTCCCTGTACTTCTTGCCCTGATCTTGGTCCTCTGGATACAAAACCAACATAAACTCCGAACTTCCATGGAGAACACTCTCGTCGTCCTCTCTGGGAGTAGTAGGCGATCCTGGTTTATCCACGTCCAGTGAATTACTCTTGACGAGCGGTGGTTGTGGTTCATCAACGGTGGCCTGTTGTTTTTTCAGGATTAAGTTCAAAGACGGTCGAAGACGCGACGAAGTTAAGGAACCTTCTTCCTCTCGTTGCTCTTGAATTTTCGGCATCGATAACGGAGACATGCTACGTTCCCTGGGTATGGAAACGGATCTCGACCGCGATTCTCTGAATATCGCACGTCGGCTGGATTCGTCCATCGCGGGGGGTGGCGAGACTGTTACCCTCGTGGGTTTCTCCTTGCTCTGATTTAAAATTTATAACAATGTAGGTGGCTGTTGATTTAGCACCTTAATTATTATTCTAAATAACTCACTTGATTAACTGGCGCTGCTACAGGAACACTAGGACGATCCGAGTGATTCTCGACACGATTCTCGTGTTTCAAAGTGGAATGATCCCTCGATCTGGCCGGAGGAATGGGCGCCTCCGAATTGTCTAAAGTGTCCAGCGCGAAAGTGACCCTGCTGTCCGCTCTGGATGGTCTTCCTGTCAGCCTCTGTGCGGACGACGACCGATTACCCGGACCAAAACGTAGGTCATCGTCTTCGTCCCGGTTTCGTGACTCCTCCCTTGTCAAACTTCTGGTTCTTTGAGCAGGCACGGCGAAACTCACCTCCCGTTTCTCTCGCGATCTGATTTCTCTGTGGCTCTGTGATTTTCCGCTCAACGAGGGCGTCATTATCCTGGATATCAAAGAGAACGTATCAGATTTTTGTTTAACTGGAATTAATAACAAGCGTACCCTCTTTTTAAGTCTGGAATGAAGATTACGTCGCTCTCCTCGCTAGGCTCGCTCACGCCGTACGGATTTTCAGCTTTTACTCGAAATTTATATTCCGATCCCTCGATCAATTCCGATAACGTCGCTTTGGTTTGTCTACTGGTGGTCGCCTTCAACCATACATCCCAGCCAATCTGTCGAACGATTTCTGATAGTCAATCAATAAGAATTTTATTTTCTACGAATACAACGTACGATTGTATCACTTACCCTGTAATACTCGACGATGTATGTGCCTATCTTGCAACCACCATCGTCTTCAGGTTCTCTCCACGATAGAGACACCGTTCTACCTAAGGTCATTGTGACCATTGCTTTTCCTGGTGCAGCTGGTCGATCTAGAAATAAAAGAATTTCCATTTTCATCCCTTTCAAGATGATTCTGTATCTTAATGGTATTTAGTAAAATTTATAACAACCTGTAACAGTGACCAGAAACGAGGATGTGTCTTCCCCAAGTTTATTCACAGCTTTGACAGTGTATTCTCCTCTGTCTACGCGTTTCGCATCAGGGATCTTCAAGACTGATTCACCGTCCATCGTTTCGAAAATATGCCTCTGGTCGTGGGCAATGATTTCTCCATCATGGTACCAAATTACAGAAGGCGATGGTCTTCCAGCTAACGACACTTTCAATCTGATCGTTTCGTCTTGCTCGAAAAGGAGACCATCTTCGTACTGGCGTGGAAGTCGTATTTTCGGAGGAGCTATAATATTATTTACGTTTATCAATAATTTTTTTAAAATTTCTTTTTCTTAATTTTTAATCGAATACCACACCTTCTAAAACCAATCTTGCTTTGGTACTAGTGTGTCCAGCTCTATTGGTAGCAGTACATTTTATTTCACCCTCGTCGTTGAGGGCAGTTTGATGGATCAAGAGAACGCTTCTACCACTGTCGGTGATGATTCTTGTCCTCCTGCTGCTGAAGATCTCGAAGCCATCTTTGAACCACGAAATCTTCGGCAGAGGTGAACCAGTGAATCGTACCGCAAACTCAGCCTGCAGATTGGAACAAATGAAAAGATTCTTCAAATCATTTAAATTTCTTTGAGATAAAAAAACGAAGCTCCATGATAAATTAACCTGTTCATTTTCCAAAACGACCGTATCCTTCAGTTCTTGCTCGAAATACGGCGCCGAGGAGGCGGACCTTTGCAAGGTCACCGTTAGAGCGTCGGAGATCTCGCTGGGTCGCGACAGACCCACCGCGTTCTGAGCCCTGACCCTGAACTGGTAGCGCCATCCTGGTTCGAGGCCGCTCAAGGTCAGTTCCGGGAAGGTGCAAAGTGTCGGTGTACTTCGCACCCAATGCTGCGAACCGAGCCTTCGATGTTCAACCAGGTAGCCGAGAATGGCCGAGCCACCGTTACTCGGTGACCTTTCCCAACGAATCGCGACCACATCCGGTTGAGATTCGTCCGCTCCTGGTATTAAGATCGGTTTCCCTGGTGGAGCTGGAAGTCCTGAAATGGTATGCGATTAAATCAGCCTTTTCTTTTTCTTCATTTAAAAAAAAAGAAGAAATGAGGGACCATTTATGAAATATGATTGACACGGTAGTTAAAATTGTTAAAAGCGTGAACACTTTGCATTGGATATGTTTCATTCAATAATGCGCTATTTTTAACATTTCTGAGCATCGTTTTAGGAACAATGCTCGGTGCATTATGTATATTTTAGCCCGACGGCGCGGCGTGACGATGCTCAGACGGCGAATATAAAGGAGTACGCTGGTTAATAAGTTCACGGAAAGCTCGCACGTGCCAGAATGTTGCTCACGTACAGATGTGTAGAATACACGATCTCTAACACAGGTCCGCAGGTGGCGCTCCCAAAATAAAATTTGAAACGTTTGGCAACCGGTGGGGCCATTGCTGTGCTGTCCTCAGGCTAGGAAAACTATGCGAGACTCTGAGCCGACATCGGACACCGGTTCGGCGTGTCTTCGATACTCTCGGTACAACATACCTATCGTTTCAACATCGATAAAAGAAAGTTGTCTTTCATTGCAGTCATATGCGTTTCCAGCGAAAAGAAAAAGAAGAGATAAAGAAGTTTGCTCTAAAATATGGTGAATTCAATTGTAATTAATTTCTTCTCTAATGATTTTTTAAAATGAAGTTCTTTGACAAATATTTGGGGTGATCCATCTCAAACATGATTGAATATGATAAGGTAAGGTGTTAAAGGAATTTGTAAAAAAACGTCCATATAGGAACGTGTTTTCATTTCATACTCCTGGATCTATCGTTTATCAGACCCAAGTATCATCTATTAAAATAAACACCTTCGAAACGCCAGTTAATTTTGGATTACCGTTTGATACGATAGTAAATAAACGATTTCCAGATACACCTCCATTACCCATTGGTGAAACTACATTGTACCATTAATAATCCTTAACTTTTTTGCTACATTTGTGTATACATTTTGAAGTAACGAGGGTGCTATGAAAATTTTAGCGTCAAGTTAAACAGCGTGATAAAATTGAGAAAGCAGAAACTGGTCATAGGGAAAGGATTAAAAGCTCCATAATAATTGCACCAGGTGAATGAGAATCATCTCCCTATCGCAAGAAACCCGCTAATTATCTCTGCTCGTCCATTACCGATCAGTCAAATGTTGCGTGAGCTTGACAGATCTGTCGGCAGAAGCAGCCTAATTTTAGCCATCATCCCACTATCGAAGCAAGCCAATCGTGAGACGAGCCGAAGCATCGCTACCGGAAACCACCGAACGAAGCCTACGGTCACGCCGGAACACACCATACACTCCTCGATTAGAAGGATCTTCTCATAAAAAAGAAAAATCATTCCTCAGAGGACCCGAAGATCCTCGACAATACACGAACGAACGTCACAAGCAGCTTGAAACTTCCAATCGTATCGTGTCTCGATCAAAATGGCGATCGGCTCAGCTGACACATCCACCCCTCGATCATTCCGATAAATCATCCAGTCGAAGAGCGATGATTTGGATAAAGGTGTATACCTGATCCCTCCCAACGCGGTCTCCTGTTGGTACCGCCGACTTGTAGGCTGCTCTTCGAGTAGCGACTCTTCGCGGTCGCGTTGCCCATGATCGTTCCCTCCTCTTCCTCTTCCACGTCGAGCCTGGCTCGACGATCACTTCGTTCCTGGCCAGTTTTTCGTTCGTTTTTTAACCACGAACACGAAAAGGAACGCCATCGATCGCGACGATGAAGAGGATCCGATCGACGACGAAGGAGCTACGCCTCGTACTGTCTCGCGCGATGAAGAGCGAAAGGGAATAGGACGATGAAGAGAGAAAGAGAATTCGTCTGGATATAGCACGAGGCTCGTCGGTGCTGCACTGGCGGAGATCTCTTGGTAGCCGACGACCGTGGCGACGCCAGGCCTCTTCGGGCTTCCTCTTCGGGCTATCTTCGTCCCGCCCTATGCTTTTTCTTTCTTTCCCTCAGTATTCGGAAATCATCCGCGATTCTCGAGCATCCGTCTCGTCTGTCGTTGTTGATCGTTGTTGGAAGTGACTGAATCTTCGTTTGATCATTTTCTTTCGTTATGTAATCAATGGCCGAGAGTAGATATCGGACTTTGCTGACACCAGGTGACTTCAGCGGCCGGGCGATGATCTATCAGAGAACGCGGGATCGATTGATCGATTACGAGTTTGATTTTGGATAGGTAGACGGCTGGTTTAATTAATAATTAGCAGAAGGAAATTAATTTTGAAGACACAAATTTCAATTTGGAAATTTTCTGAATAAGAGAAATCAAATACACATTTTCAATATTTTTTCAATCGATGATCGATTGATCAAGTCACGAACTAGAAATTTTCGCTGACATAAAGAGGTGAACGCGTTCGTGACGTCAGTGTCCGATATCCTTGCGCTCTGATCTACCTTCCACTTTCTTGCTCTACACCTTTGTTTCTCGTTTCTTTCGATACTCCCACTGGAATGTATCATATGCTTATATTTACAGAGGCACACCTTACTTTTCACGGCGTTTGGTCAACGCCGGTCACCGACCTTGCTCGAGCGTGTCGCTAAAGCAATAAACTGCTTTTAAATATTGTATTGATCGTTACAGAGATCTCATGGCAGTCATTAGTTGTATCAGACCTCGCTGTACAATCATATTTCAACCCTGAAGAGAAGGAAAGAATTTTTCAAACGCTTTCCTTCTTACATTTCCATTTCTAATTATTCCATAGACGAAGTCACAAAATTTTAATTAATTCAAATTTATTCTTCAATACCTTTTCTGGTAAAGCGAAAACACTCGAAGAAATGTTCGTTAATACAAGATCAAGGTTGAAATCATGATACCTGAGGACATACACAAGTGTATCGAATCGACGAAAGAATTTGAGGTTTCGTGCTGAACAAGGTTCAACCGTCCTTCGTGGTCGTATCACATGCCTCAAGGTGGGACGATGCGGTATCTCGTACCAGTGACCGAAGACGGTACTGGTTTCTTACGGTGTTCGCTAAAAAGCTCTTTCAAAAATTAACACGCGTGATCCATTTGTAATATAATTTCATCAATTATCAACTATCGATGATCGCAATTGACGAGCTTTAAAAATCATGGAACACAAAAATTTGCGTATTTGATTTAACCGGAAGGAGAGGCGAATCGTGCTTATAAATCATCCAGAAGAGAAATATTCCACGTCACGTGTACGAGAAACATCTCGTCCCTCAGACGCCGGTGATTTCATCGCTCGTGACCTCTTCTTTTTGCCGGTCTATGCTTTCGTGTCCTCTTTTGCATTCCCGTACTTTCGTGATAGGAACCGTGTGCCAACTCCAATTATCCCATGCGAGAGACGGTATTAATTAGCGATTTTTCATCGGACGCCACGTTTTCCCGGTGAATACGAAAGAGGACGGGAGGGAAGAGGGTATGAAGAAGTCGCGAAGGCGGGAAAGGAGAGAAGGAAGAGGTACAAGGAAGAGAATGGAGAAGGGGAAGACGGTTAATCGGTGCCAGAGTACCGTTGTACCTGAATGGAGCAACGAGAGATGGCTTTCGGTTTCCCTGCAGCCTCCGTCGCAGCTGCAGCTCCACGTCTTTCCACGTACGCGACACGTGGTTGCGCTCGTGTGTGCACGTGAAAGCAGTCGCGACACTTTACACTCTTTTTGTTTTTTCATTCGTCCTGCCCCCGTGTCAACCGTATTTCCGCGTGCGTTTCCGCCATGGCGAGGACCGTTTTCGAGCCACGTGCACCTGCAGGCCGCGCGACTCGCCGTTGAACAGCTGCCGTAGTTTCCCGGTAACGCGTCGATGATCGCGATGAAACCGATCGTTTCTACTCGATCAACCTGGTTAAAGTGGTCTCGCTTCGTTTGCCGTTGAATACATCAGGTTTGACGAGTCGGTTCAGTGGGCCTCGTTCAACCGACTGGATAGAACGAATTTCATGGTTTTTAGTGATTCACGTGCCGATGGAACATTTCGTTTAACGGGATAAACGTGAAGTTAAACTGTACACCGTTGAATGCTTCGGGTTTGAAGAAGCGGTTCAGCGGATTTGTTCCGAATTCACTGGTTGAATTTTGTAGTTTTTTCTTGTGGCTGTGATGACGTGATTCTTGTGATTTTTTATATTTGGTGACATAGAAGATTCATTCATTTTTAATTGAAGATTTTTAATTATTGCACGAATAAAATAATCAATTCATGTCCATAGATTATATTAAGGTGTCGATAACTGTGAATCATTCATCATCGAATGATTCTTTATCACCTGTTAAAGTAAAACATTTATCACTCGACACAATTCATTTCTAATTAAACACTTTCCTCGACGAATGATTAGTTGGTCAAGGTTCAGCTGGAAAGGTGCGACAGTTGTCTCGAGGAGTATTTAACTTTCACTGTGCTTCAAATGCAAATTACGAAACTCTATTCAATCCATTCTTTCCGTCGTTTGGGAAAAATGAATTTCTCGGCTATGGGTTTGGTCCACACGCGCGTACCTGCCGCGGTATGCAAAACCGCGAAGCCGTTTTTACACAGTCAACGAACCTGATCGCGTGTAACACAATTCCGTCGATCGTTCGTGACACCGATCGTTTACCTGGTCGATTCAACGTCTACTGTTACATGCCCAGGACGTTCCACTTTCTATGAATCGCAAGAATTCCGTCAAAGTCGCGGTTTAACCCTTTCGATACTGCGAATATGTAACTGAGGTATTTCGAATTACCTGTAAATTGGCTGACTATTATTCATTTTTCTAATTGGAAATAATACGTTTTCAAAGGGCTTAAAACAGTGGCCCTTTTAATTTCCAAATGAAATTTTGGAATTTTTAATTTCGGAAGAATCGATAGTGTTATGCATTCTCATGGTTCGTACATGGAAAGGGTTGTCTTCCAAAGTATTTTCTCTGCATTCGATGCGATGAAATAGCGATTGAAAGATTCAATCATGCCCACGAAGAGTGTGGAGGCGGTGGAGATTTTGGAAGCCCTCGAATCGAAGCTCGCGTACATTCCAGGAGGAAGAGATCCAGAAGGAAGACCCTTGATCGTGGTCAACGTTCCTTCAGAACTGCAACCGAACACGAAACCATGGCTGGAAGCTTTGATCGCGTACTTCCTGTCGATCTTTAGGTAATTATTTATATTATCCGATCGTAAAGTACCATCTATGAAAGTCGGTCCGATTATTATCAGCGAAGAAACGAAGAAAGCTGGTTTGGTTCTGATCGTGGATGCGAGAAGAGGTGCATGGCGCGTTGCAAGGTCCTGCATCAGACTGTCTATGCTACTTTTCGGATCATTCGCAGCTTCGGTCATCGTTCTGAGACCTGATGGTTTCTGGGATAAAAGGGTGGACAGTTGTACCAAGTCCCATAAAGAAGGCGAGGTTGGTATTTTATTTAAAAAAATTTTTATTCTATTTTTAAAGCAATAATTTACGAACTAATCAATTTAATTGAACGTTCGATAATTGGAAAACATGTCAAGAATACTCGTTCTAAGTTGAGCTATCCTCTTGTACCTGTCGAAACGGTTTTATTCGACAAAACCATGAAAACGACAAGTTAATCGTGAGTTTCTTGCAGCGTCCGTGATGTGAATTAATTCACCTCGTTGTTGTTTCAGCCGACGTACCTCACTCTGACGAGGCTTCACCTTCACGTTGATTTTGCTCAGCTGCCGTACGAGCTGGGTGGTAATAAACTTTACGATCACGCTGAATGGATTCAAAAACGTGTGGTAATTCCTGATAAGCTATAATCTACATTTAATCGAATCGTTTTAAGACATACAGTCAATTACGAAAGTCTTCGTACACCGTTTAAAACAGAATACCTCATTTCAAATTGGACCAAATGATTTGAGGCTTTTAGAGAAGCTATAAAAATTAATTAAAAAAAATTTTTTGAATTGCCTTTTACTATTTCTTTTCCGATTTCGAGAAATTGTAATTTTTTAAAACGATTTTAGTAAGTTAATTTGTATAGCTTCTCGAGAAACCTCAAGTCATTTGGTCCAATTTTGGTCTATACTTTTTGGACCCACTGTAGCTGAAAGAGAACCAACATTACTATCAACATTGAATTAGACACAGTTGCAACTGATTATGCTCGCTTTCCTAGAAAGCGTGCAATTATTATTTATAGAAAGAGTGCAACTACTTTCACTATAATGGATGATCATCTCAATCAAACAGTCATGGACTGTTCCATTTGCAAGTACCAAGATATTCATTATTTTCCTCAGAAAATAGAAGATTACTGCAAAGAAGCGTCTGATCTAGTGTCCAAGATGACTAACTTGCACCAAAGATTAATCAGCCTCGATGGTTTTCGAATGTCGGAATCGGATGATGATTTGGAGTCGTATTGGGGGATGAGCAGTGAATTAATATCAATCGCGCGACACATTCTTCAATCAGGTGAAATCTTGTGGTTTACACTGATAGTATTTTATAAATTTTTATACAACTTTAATTATTCGTCCCGTCTATTCAGGTAGAAATTTAGTGAGCTCGATGAGCAGAGAAACAGCGAAGGATATTTTAGACACAACGCGAAGGATCCATGAGCTCATCGATTCCATTGAATTAAAACAGGTGCCATGTTCGACCAGAAACTTGTTTGTATTTACGGAGAAAAATATAAAGTCGATGCTTTGTATTTTTCAGGTGGATATCGAGAACTCTTGGTCGGAAATGGAGAGGAATTTGGACACAGCCAGGGTAATCGGTGATCTTGAGAAGGGTGTGTCCCGGGTCACTGATTGGATCCTTGGACCAGCCGATGCGATGTTAAATTCTTGTTGCCAAGTTGGATTCGACGTATCTTCTTCCGAAGAACTTCGCAGACGACACGAGGAACTGGAATTGGAGTGCAGGGTAAAGGCACAGAAATTAAACATAGTTATACTTTACCTTAAATTTATCTTAATCTTAGGAGACATATGGGAGATACGCAGAATTGCTTCACAAAATAGATAGTCTACCAAGCACTCGATTGTCGGAAGATCTAAAATCTCAACGAGACTTCATGGATTTCGTGTGCAGAAGTTTCGCAAACAGACTGGAAAGACGACGAAACGTGTTAATTACTTCGCAAAGATTCTTCAGACTAGTTTCCGAGGTACATCTTCTGAGAACGAAGGGAAACACTCTTAAACATACTCGGTTTTTATTCTCTTTCTGTTTGCAGTACTTTGACAAAACGAGCGAAGTGTTCGACAAGTTGGTGATGGGTAACAGGACCCATGATTTTTCTCAGGCTACTGCAAATCTTATGAAACTGGAACAGAGTCAAGCGATTCTAGGTAAATAATAAATTTTATCATTAAATTGAATTATAATTATATTACATTAAATCAGACTTAAGCAATAATTATAATTAAATTATATTAAATCAGATTTAATATTTACAATTCTTTTATTAAATATCTTTTATAGAAACGTTGGAACGTGAATTGGTAAAGGAAGGTGAAAAATTATCAGACATTCTCTCGATGCCTGTGAAGGATGCTCTTGGTAGAGACGTGCAAGTCGACTATGGTGAAGATATAGTAAACGTTCGAGATATTTTAGATGCAACAAATGCTCGGAAAAATATTTTCAACGATAGCGTTGAATTACAGAAATTGTCTCTGAAACAGATCGCATTGATATACACTTACGAGAACGACGCCGAGCAGGTGACAATACAGTTGCCAAATATTCGCAATTCAATGCTCCAATTTATTCATAGAAATCAATTTTCAGGCAGTTAAATGGTTGAACGATTTGTACGAAGTTCTACTGAAAAATCATATGGAAATAGGATGCAATGCTATTGAAATACAGTCACAGAAAAAGGAACATCAATCGTTTCAGGAAACTGCTAAAGTATGCAATTATGATAAGTAATTATAATTTCGGAGCTGTGGAGGTATCTCATTTCTGGGTTAAAATTTTCAGGGAACCTACGATTATGGTTGTCAATTGGTGAACGGAGCACGGGTGCTGAGGTTGTCCTGCAGGTTGCCTCTGGAAAGTAATGCAAGTCTGTTCTCAAGGCTGCGACAAGCTTGGAAACAGCTTCGTTCCGTTGGTCAGGAACAATTAACGAGACTGAGAGTGTGTGCTGTCTTTCACCGAAGCGTCGAAGATGTAGGCACAGTGATCGTAAAATTCCAGAAGTAATCGTTCGATCTTAAATTTTCTTCCTGTTAATCGTTAATATACTTTTTCTAGCACTGCTCGAAATTGCGCGATCTGATCGAGGCGGTCGGATTGTTACGTCGCTCTTCAAGAATAGAGGATTTAGCTGCTGAGAGCAGAGCCAGAGCTGAGATAAGGGACATCCTGGGTAACCGAGAGAAGCTTCTTCTGGAAGTTGGACGAATGGTGAGGCTTGGTCGTCTTTTGAGAACCAGATTGAAGGAACCATTGTGCCATCAACGGCAAGTACGATTATGATTACTTTTTTTTCATTTAAATGAACGCACAATTGGAACATTGTACTATCAGCGTCATCTATCGCTGTGCGTATAAACCAACTAATAAAAAAATAAACAATTTTTGACATTCCATATCGCTTAAATTGAAAATTTAAAAAAATGAAATTTTGTGAAAAATTTCACAAACGAGTTCATTAACTTCTTATCGATACTGGTTAGTAATAATTTCAGGATTTATGAATGACTATTCAAAAATCATAAATCAATCTGTTATGATCAAACGATCGAAAATACATCTGGCAAGTTTCCCTGTTCGAATATACCGAGCTTCCTCGATCGTCGATGCAACAACCCTTGGATTTTTCTTCTCGTTCGCAAGCCGGTGCATTCGGGTTAAAGTAATAAAACGTGCTCGAGACTCGGATTCGAAAAGAGGCAGGATATATGTGAGAAAGCGAGATCGTGCGTGGCGGGTGGAGCTGGCAATAAGAAGCGAGGAGGGCAAGCGTATACTTCGTCGACGGGCACCTCCGTTTTTAACGGAGCCAGTGCGTGTCAGTCCATGGCTGCACGTCGACCAGATACCCACACCTTGATATTGCTGCATGTAAGTCATACGTTTCGAAATACGATAAGTGGTCTCTGCCCTCGTTCGATCGCTGTTCCTAGAATCGCGCGCGAATCGATCCAAATTATTTCCAATTCGATCATTAGGTTTCGATCAAATTGATTTTCGATGCAACGAGTTTTGTATTTTTCTGAACATTCTTCGTGGTAAAGGGTTGTCTCAATCTTCTAAACTAGTTTTTATTTTCTGCTTTTATTTCACATATCACCTGTTGCGTGACAGCTCGTTAATTAAGGGTCAATATCATCTGATCATATTTTGATTCTTTTACAGAATTTCATTATATTTTCTTCATTCTTTATTATTTTTTTATTGTTCTGTAATTACATGAATGTTTGATGGTCTGTAGAAGACAGAATTTTTATCAACAAGTTGCAATGTCGTTTGGAAGGAGATACATCTATCCTCACCCACGTGTTGTTGCGATAAAATATGGGTCACCTGCGTCTCTTTCAATGTTGACGAGCGCGCCATCGTTTCGGCGTCCTATTTTCACTCGAGGACGGTCAGGGCCACGAAATCATTATACAAAGATCATCTGTTTGAAAATTGCAACAAGGATCAACATAGAGAATTTCAACAAGAAAATGATTGAAAATTCGAAGACTGGAAAACGCAGTAGATTGGCCGCGATCCAGAGGCTGCAGAATTTTCTGTTCAATTTTCTCGTTGTTTTCGGATCAGCTGTTTGAAATTCTTATCGTCAGACTAGCATTGTTCTCGGCGTTTAAACGTCGAAAGGCACGTGTACACAGGCTATCGATAGTTTTGCTTTAAAAAGACGCAACGAGTAATTTATTGGCCGCGATCCATTTTCGAACTTGAAAATCTGATCGACGACAGGAACGGCTTCGATCATTCATGAGCGAAAATTTCCACTCGTTATTTTGGGAACTGAACGTCGTCGCTTCATTCTTACACGTTTCTATAGATCGTTTAGCATGGATCATTTTATGCGTTCCTTTGTAAATATGAAATTTTCGTGACAATTTCGATATTTTTATTTTATCGTAAACAACGTCGCGAAATTGCAGCTATTTTCGATCAACCAGATGGAGTTTTGAAACTCGAAGGAAAGATTGAAATTGCCGGTAAAACTTGACGCTCGGCAGATTCGATGGCTCTCAGTTCACCGAAATTAGAACTTCGCCCCACATTGCAAGCACCATCTGGTCCGCCACGCTGTCACTACTCATTACGTAATTTTCTTTTGAAATTTGACGTTTTCTTAACCAGCCACAGGATATGTAGCCTTGCTAATAATTATGAATCGAATGCCTGAAAATTTTCAAGAAATATTTTCAATCAAGGAGATCCAGGACTTCCAAATGCAATCTTAGATACATTATTGTATCAAAAATTTCAATATTGACTTACGAATAAGTAACTATTCTGATTATGATTGATTATCGTGAAAATGAAAAAAAAAAGATTTTCGAAGACATCGGATGTTAACCCGTTCAAGTAGAAGCGTACAACCGATAAGTCGCACGTGGATAATTCATAGCCACGATCCAGGAGCACCGTCTATTAATAGACCGAAGTGAACGACGGAAATTTATTTTTTCTAGAATGTCTGAGGCCGAGGATGCCTCGGGGAAAGGCAGTAACCTGACAGCGGTGGAAGCGATCTCGGCGAGATTGGCGGAAGTAACGCGACTCGCCGAGAAACTGGACGCGAGACTTTGCGAGGCTGGAGCCAGGACTCGACCAGTTCCCATGTCATCGTCCGCGATGTCCTCCACGTCTTCCCTCTTCTCATCGTCGAATCAACCAACGACGACTAGCCTCGCGGCAACGTCCGTTCAGAGTCAACCGATTTCAGCTGGAATATCGTCGATAACTTCTATGCCATTGATATGTACCTCAGAGTCGACGGTGCCGTTTGGAACGAAAGGTGTTTGCACGGTTTTGGCAACGAAAAGCAGCGTCGCTTCGTCGAAACCCGTGGAGAGGTCAACGTCACCTGTGCAGGTGAACGGAGGTATCAGCGGTGGTACCGGCGAAGCTGTTGCTGGGTCAGAACCTTCTAAACCGGAGAAGAAGATTGTCGAGGAAGATACTCGAGAAATGGGAAGTGAAATTTATAGGGACGCTAGCGAAGATAAAATAGATGATAGCCAGGAGGAGAAATTGAAAGAGGAAATAGAGGTGAGTGAAAAAATTCATAAATCTTATGTATCTCAATATTAATTTTGTTAAAATTTGTATTTAAAGGGTTAATCCTGTTTAGTAAATAAATAAAATAAATAAATAAATTGAATACTCGTTGAAGGATATTATGGAGAAATCTTGCGAGGGGAGTTTGGCTGACGGTTCTAATATCGAGGACTACGTGACAGCCACCGAATGTTCCATAACTCCGACAGCTCGTTCCAGAAGCGAATCCTTCGTTACGACTCCAGAATGCGAAGAGCTTGCTGCCACGGTAGCTGCGACGAGCGCGTCCGACATCTGGTAAGAAACGAAGAACGAGAAAAGAAAAGAAGCGTCTTCGCGAGTGTTAAAACCCAATGCAAATAATACAGTTTCTTTCCCCTGTTTCGTTCGTGCAGCTGGAACATCGAGGAGCCTAAATTTATCAGCTCGAACGCAGCGGTATCCTCGTCTCTGATTAAACAAGAGGAAGCCTCGAAGGGTCAAAAAGTAGAAAGAAGCAACGCGTCAATGGAAAGTTTTAAACCTGATATTTACGAAACGAACGGTGAGAGACAAGTAGAGAAACTCGTATCGATGGAAAAAAGAGTAGACGTAAGTTAATAACATGATAAGATGAGATTTTCATGGTCTTGATTTTTTGTTTGAAATGATTGATACGTTTGCATCGATATAGGAGAAGTCTGGAAAGGTTGTAAAGGAAGTTACTGAAACGACGACTCTGCGCGTATCGCACGACACTCGATTGGGTATCGCGTCTTATAAAGTGATATCGAATACCACTCAAGATCATCGTGAAAAGGTGGACGTGAAGGAAATCAAGGATATCGAGCGCATCGTATCACCGGACGTTCATGAGAAAACGAACGGATTACATCACGATACAGAAACTGGTTCGAAAAGTGAGAATTATCCTGTTCTTATTTTATTTTTCATTTGTTACAGCAAATCCGAATTATCTTAACCCGGTTAGTAACCTGATAACATTGCTAGCATAATTGCAAAATTACGTTCCATAACAGCGGATTCGTACACTCGAAGGGACGAGTTGTCAACGAAAACGGACGATACGGAGCGTACGATCAAATTCACGAAAATATGCGAGGTGAGCCAAGAAGAGAAGCCACGCGTGGTATCGGGTGATACTTCGAAGGATATGACGTTATTCTTGAAGGAGTACACGCGACACCACGAAGATAGCGGTATCGAGATGTCGCCGACGAAGAAGGAGGAGACCCTGGAGTGTCAAGATTTCCTCGAAAATGCGAGGAAGGTGAGTTCGATCGATGTTCCTTCGATGAATGGCCACAGAAGGAACGAATGTTGCTGCAGCTGCAAGTGCGCTCACGAAGCTGCATGCTTCGATCGTTTTTCAATGTCCATGCAAGAAAATGTTGAATTTACCAATGTCAACGAGAATCGACGTCGTTTACCATTATCTAACGTAAGCTAACTGTGTGATTCCTTTTTCATGATGTGCATTTATGTGTTTTTTATTCTGTTTTGCATGTTCACTTCAGTCAGATTATTTTTTTTTTAAGGTAATATAATTATCGTTCAAAGTTAATCATATTTATCTCATTGTTACAGCAACGATAACTCTTGCATAACATAATTTTGTAACTTTCGATTAAAGAAAACAAAGTTAGTAAGTATCCAAACTATAAATTAACATTTTCCATTTTGAAAGTGTGCGCATAACACTTGCCGAACGAATTTACTACGTGCATGATTCATGTTTGTAAATAAAGAATTACTCAACTATTAAAAACCTGTTCGCGTGTCTTGAAACCCATTGATGTTTCAATGAAAGGGAATTATCGTCAATTAGAAGGTGCGGTTCGCATTATGGTGGCGCTCTTTCAAATTTACCGGGTTGTCGCTTCGGGTACGCTCGACTACCCTCGACTACGCTCGTTCGCGCTCGCCACCGGCCGAGCGGGTTCGACGGCATTCGAAACGAGACGGCCGCTCAGTCTTGAATTGGCTGGCGTTCGCGACGGAGCGTCGGGTGATGTGACACGATTGTGACATGTGTCAAGCGAGTGCTGTTGCTGCTGCGGTTTACGTTGTGGCTGTCACTCCTTGAACGTGGATCGATTTAGGTGATTGCCCGATAATTACTCGAATATATTTAACACGACAGATTCTTCGCGAGACGTTCGAAAAGCTGCATTCGATTTGAGTAAACGCTATACTATAGATCTTCTACAGAGAGGCTAATATTTATCTCCAAATACGCTCGAATTCTTAGAAAAACATATATAAAATAATTAATTTTCCCGTTTTACAAATGCATCATTTTCAAAGTAGAATTTTAGTGACAAAACTGCTCAATTCGTCACGTTTTTCTCTCGACCCCGATTTCTTCTCGTCCTCGGTTATGCCGGTCACGAGTACGTCTGTTCTGTTACCTTGAAAACGATAATAAAAAAGAAAAAAGAAAAAGGCCAACCAAGAGGAATATCTTTCTTTAAGCAGCAACGGCGAAATCACTTGCGAAACTTCACCGCAACCGTCCCGTTCGAATTTTTATCTCGCACGCAAATTACAAATGGGAACAGTATCCGAACACGCTACGATACGTTCAACAGTTTGCAGTTAGCAGATAACGCGTAATTAGCCTGTCATAATACGACCGATAATATTATGCATTGTTCTGCGCGAGGATGGGCAACGGATAAAAATCGCGGTACGGTTCCATGGCGCGAATAGTGCACGCGGAACGCGATCATTTCTCTGGACTGTACACGCAATCTCGTTTAATTTCACGTTTCTTCTTTTTCCACGGGATCGTCGCCGATCGTGGGTCGCGCGGTATGGTGAACCTCTCGTTCGGAGAACGCCACCAGTCAGTCCGGTTTTATCCTCCCATTCGTTCGTGTCGGTGACGTCACCTTACAAAGATACCTATAAAGTATAAACACACCGACATTGGATCAAGAGGTGCATCGGGATGACTTTTAATCCGTACCTGGATCCGAAGCCCAGTTTGATTTGAATACAAATGAGACAATTCGATATTTTTGTCGTACCGTTTGCATAATTTTCAATGAAATGAGTTACGTTCGTAGGATAATTATTTAGTTTGTTATACAGTTACTTTAATTATCAGTTATCTGGTAATTAAAGGAACTCCAAAAGTATAAAAAATTAATTTGCTTTCTTTTATTTATTTTCATTTTCTTTGTTAGATACACATTAACAATATTATCAGACTTGAACATTCGAATTAATTCAATGTATCAATAAGATAAATTGTGATTAACACGTGTCTTTAATAATAGGGGTATCAGTACGTCTGACTATTCGTGTCTGTTATCACTGCAGAAATCAATACATGTCGGTATGGCTCTGTTCATGTATTACATTTGATATCATTTTTTTTTACAAATATTACAGTAAAAGTGAATTCGTTTATAAAATCTTCGATCGATGATGATCTCTGCTTTGAAGCACGATCGTGGATCGTTGGAATTTAACAGCGGGAAGAAATCGCGCTCGCGTGTCCGCAGAATCCGAGGGTTTGGCGAATCGCCAAAAATAACGTTAGTTAATCGTCAGAGGCGGCGAACGGTAACTGGAGAACGTGAAGTCAAGTCATAGGTATATCTCGATGTAAGATGGAACGGTCGCTCGACCATCAATTTTGCCTTGCGCCGAAACGGTTTCCGGCTGATAGCGGTGCGTTCTCTGAACTGTTAGGAACGCGGAACGAGCAACGTCGAAACTAATTCGCGGTGGATAGACAGGAGCCACTTATTAAACCTTCCTTTATTTCGTTTGTTCGTTGGCCGGTTTCGCTTTTGGAGGAAGGCCAATCGAATTCCGTATTTCACTGAAATTTACCAGCTCGAATTCCGTCGCTTTTCGAACGAACTTTGAGTAAAGTAAAAGGGATATTTTAGGGACCGCGTATGTAAATGCTGCGAGCGTAATGTATTAGCCTCGTGAAAGCGTTAGGTATGTAACGTAACACGCGAGAAATGTTTATAGAAATAGATCGAATATTTTACGGTTTAAGAATCACGGTCGTAGCGTTATTCGCGAGTTACGTTCCATTACGTACAATCAGGCAGGATAGTTTGATAAATGTAGAATCATGGTAATTGCTTGAATCGATCCACCGGCGATAGCTCGGACGGTTCCGTTTCGCCGCGAAAGAGAAGAATTACGAGAATGGTGGACGGGCACGACTCGATGGAAACGACGGAGAATAGCGAGGGATGCCGTGAGAAGGAATCACGAACGGTGGTGGAGAGCAACGAGGATGCACCGCAACAAACCACCAGCCCGACGACCACCATAAGCACCATAGCCGTGCAGAGCGGTGAAACGCGTCTGGTGATCGCTCTACTTCAAGTAAGGGCATCGTACCTTATCCTACACCACTAATCTATTCAATTCCCTTCCGAGTAATGTTCCACTCTTCTTGGATCCTGACTTCCATGAAAATTTCCAATTACTTCAATATTTTTTTTAAGACCGAATTAAGATCTTCAGATGCTCCCGTTTTTCAGCGGTGATTAACCTAATTACGAAATGAATATTTATGCGCGGCCTATGTCAGTAGACATTTTATCTCGATCTCTGAAATGAATCACTTAATTTTCATTGCAAACATGGCGTTCTCGCGGCTTTAATCATGGTAGTTAAAGTAAAGTGTCTCGTCAAGAGTTCTCGAGGCACATCTTATCGGAATCAATGTTTCGAGTGTATCACTCGAACCGTCCACTTCAATTCCACCTTGTATATCGGTCAGACAGGGGTAGAGCGTGGTTTGCTAGTTAGACGCGGGTACAATCTATGGTGTTAGATATTTCGGGAGTCCGTGGTCGCTCGAGTCCATAGCTATTTCCGAGTCCTCTCGAAACCGTGAGCGTTTTAGGTATCCGTCCGGCAAAACGAGCGTCTCGAAAACTTCACGATAGATAAATTTAACCGGCTGCCACGGTTCCTTCCGTCGCGATCGTGCCACCATGAAACCGTCTCGCCTTCGTTACGCCACGAAAATAATTACTCGTACCGCGATTCCGTTGCACGTCGGATAAGGGAGATCGAAACGAACCGTGGCTCGGTGAAAACGCACTTGTTGCTCGATCATTATGTAACCCTCCTGGGGGATTAAGATCTTGTACACGGCACTTTTTCTTGTACGCACGTGTACGCGTAGCCACGATGTTTATAAATTATTTATAGCTACAGGTGTTTTCTTTTTCTGTCTGTTCGTAGCTGATGTTTATACTCGACGCGATTTGCGTCACGTTAGATTTGAAATATTCGAGGATCGAAGAAGCGAGCGAGTTAAGATCATTATTTTTCATCTTATCCGTCCGTCGGATGTTTCGGGCACTGAACTACTGTGCAGAGATGGAAAGAATATTAGCGGGACAGGAGAGGGGTAAAGGGAGAACTTCGCACGCTCCGCCCTATCGCCTCGTTTGATCCTCGCGTTTAAAATTCATCGCAATGCTGACTTCGTACCATCTCACTTTGTTATAATGTCTCATTTTCCTTCTTTGTCACGCGACGATCTAGAATTTGTGTACTGAGGTGTGACTTACCGACTACAACCAATCGTACCCGCATTCCTTCCGCTAATATTCTCTCTATCTCTGCACAGTAGTGATATCGGTTTGCTTGTCTAGACGCACCAGGTGCGTCGCGATGGAACACGGCAATTTAGCAAAGGTTACCTCCTCCTCGACGCTTTATGCACGTCACGCGATCTTATCGTGGAAACACGCGATAATAGCGATACAACTGGCTCGTTCCATTACATCACGGAGTTACCGGTTACAGTTACATCACAACGTTATCGGTTACAAGTCCCGTGTTTCTTGGCACATTCATTTGCATCTCCTGTTAAAGCTTTCCACGCGATCGACATAATGATTCATTGTCTACCCGACGAGGTTTCACAGCCAGTTAATTAGCGTTTTGCTTAATTTACTAATCGTCGGATAATTATAAGGTACAATGATTCGTTTGTTTCGTTAAATGTTTCATTCTCTGCGGATCGTTTAATTTTAATTATAACGAACGAGTTAATAGAACGAATTGCAATCGCAGCGAGGAACAAAGTAGATAGACAGGTAGAGGAACGCACAATGGTTGGTGTACTCGATCCGAGAGGATCTACCTCGGTATGGATCTGCTGTACCTTCTCGTGTAATCTAACAAACCGGTATTATACGAGACGGCGGGCGTGATCCTTCCTCCGCTCCTCTGCTCCTCTGCTTATATCGTACCTACGACCTTACGACACTAACTGCTGCCTCCGAAGGGACCATAGAAAAAGAAGAAGGGAAATAAGGTGGACGGCCGAAAGACGGGACCCCATGGTGGTGGTACAGTCATCTTCAAGTACCGCCTTCGATCCCGTCCCAAGATAGAAAGCATTTCCAGTTCGTGTTGCTACGAGAGACTCGTTTAGTTACCTCTTTTCAATGTTAATACTATTCTTCTAACGCTAACGCCCACTTCTCGCTCGGCTTCGAACTTTATGGGATGGATAAGGGTAATTTCGTTACGTTTTATCAGCATCGAAATAGATATATTTCAACTGGACAGGTTTTAATGGGGAAAAGGTGGGAAAAGATTTTAGGTGGAGAATTTTAATTTTCTGTTAATTAGTTGATTGATACTTTGATTAGTTTAGGAGGTTGTATAAATTAGATATGGAATTATGGATTTGTAAACGATGATTCTGAAAACTTTCAGAATATGACCTACTTACGAGACTGAGAATCAAGGAAGAGCTGAGGAATCGAGATAAAAAGATGAAAGGTACTGGTCGGAGTCGAATTCACGTGATCAAGTGGCTCGTCCTAATTTCTGCCCTCCGAATATGGCTGTGCACCAAGTACCGGTTGTTTCATCGTCCTCTTGGGAGACACGCGTAATACACGCGTGACTTTGCCAGACCGCGTGCAATTCGACTGGCTGCACACCTCACTTTCACTTTGCTTACCGTGGAATTCATTTTCATTGTCATCGACATAGACGACACGTGGAAAAGCTCGCGTACTTTTCACCGCGAAAATCGTCGGCTCAAGGTTGAACCTGCTAAAGGGTTGTTCTTATAACTTCAGAGATTCGCCTTGGGGTTGACGCGAGGATCGAGTTATTTAGCTTTGTCGAAGAAAAAGAGGAGTTTCCTGTTTTCTAAAATTGGAAAAATGGAAAACTGGTATAAGTTATCGAGGTTTTTGAGTTGCTCTGAATACTAAGGATAATAGTCAAGCAACGGCACATTTTAATAGCGTCTAAACGACTGCTATATTTCCATCTAAATGTAGTCTGTCAAAGGGTTAAGCGTTTCCCAGCGGGTTCACCGCAGAATTTTTTCAGCCGGTTTTTCGAACGCAGCGATATTAAAACTCGTTTCGAGATAGTATCTGTGCAGGATATCTCGATCGTGCGGCTCGTCGTGTCCGTTGGTATGCCAACGCCTTTAAGAGAAATTGCCGTGGTTTTTGAAGAGTTGGCTCGTGCTAGCCGAGAGACTGTCTCTTCCGATTCTTCGTTGAAATTTCTTCTTGTATATTCGATGGGAGCAGTATAACACAATCATTAATCGAACAACTAAAATATGTTTCCTAACCCTTCTATTCATAGCAGAAGCTTATCCTTTGATCATCTTCATCCGAAGATATTAATAATACTTTTAACGGCACGGTTCCTTTTTTATTATTCGCGCATACCGAGAGATATTTGAAAAGAGAAATCGAGAGATGAAAAGATGGGAGAAAGATGGGAATATCGTTAGTGACGAATGGCAGTGGAAGAGACAAGATCGGTCCAGACGAAAGTTTGGCAAACTGCCAAAGATGAAAATGGAAGCATATCTCGTGTTTCTTGTGCCCAACTACCGGGTCGACGAACCCAGCCACCGATCTCTCTAGTTTCCACACTCCCTTTCTCTCTTTCTACGTTTCTCCTTCTTCCAAAAGGGGTTAACCCTCTCTCCTCGTTCTCTCCTTGATTTTGCTCGAGTTTACATTTAGAACCATCCCCAGCCGGTCCGGAAATCCGTCCCGGCTTTTCACGTTCCAGCTGCTTTCATCGAGAGTCCTTGAATAATCGATCCTGATAATCCAATGTATTAGAAGAATTTTTCATTCAATTGAAATTATTGCACGCCACGCGTTGCGTTCCCGCGCCAGACGACGCGTGAACGCCATTCAATTTTATCCATCGTCGAATTAATCAGAGACATTTGCAACGAACGTGACACAGGGCGTAAGTAGAGAGCAGCGACGCGCGAATGTCAATGGTTTCCAATCGAACGGGTTGAATAAACGAACAACAATTGCGATACTTTCTCGCGTAGCGTGGTTCACCGCGATTCAGACAGTTTTCAATCGGATGACAGCACGTTGACAACCGGTCCCGATCACCGCCAATATTTTATTTATTCGACACTGACGCGTAATACCGATTGAAAATAAAAGAAGCAAAGTGCTTCTATTGATATTGTGACGAACGATGCCGAATTAAAAATAGACGTCGAAAAATGGAGCCGACACGTAACGTGTTTTCGACGGACCTCGGTAAAAATACAACATCGATTCTGCTTGGTCGACTTTTATTCAACGCGTTATGTCATCGGTGGATCGAGACTGTTTATGCATTTGCGATGCGTAACAATGTACGAACGTGGGTTTCTACGGATAATAAAATATTTTCAAGGGTATTTTAAAAAATTGAAAATTGAAAAAAAAAAATAGAGAATAGATTCTGAATGGTATGAAAATTATTCCAGTGGCTTAAAATAGACATTTCAAGGTTTATATTAAGAAGTTAATGTTTAACGTCCTTGGTAGTTGGTATTACCGTCCGTCATGCCAAGCATGACTACTTCTACTGCGTCTGTCGACGTGTTAATAGATTTCTGAGCTTTGTAATTTTCGCTTTTTTAATAGCTTCTATAATGCAATATTTGCGACATGAATGGATCATAAAAGGAGAGTCTATTGGAATTAGGTCGGTCTAGAGGCGAATAAAATACTCGTTCCCATTTTCTGACTAGATCCAACAGTTAGTCCGTTTTCAGTTCGTCTCATGCGATTCCATAAATGGAAATCGACGACGAGTTTAGCATTACTAGCCTCGACGTTGTATGATCGTTACCTTTTACGTTTCTTACTACGGTAAATTGCTGGTAAATTATTACAGAAACGATTCCTACTCATCGCTTATCATTGATGGTGGCAATTAACGAATTCTTTTTTCCTTCCTCTAATGTCCCTGATTTAGAGCGGAGAATGGCTGAGACTGAAGGTTCTGGAGGTTCAACCAGAATTAACGAAGCTCGGTGCTTCCGTGGAAGAAGCGACCGAGTTGTCGAGTGCACACGACGAAGTTCTGCTTCGATTGCAGGTACATTTCTAAGCGATTAACCCTTTCGCTGTCACGCGAATTTTGGAACTTGCACCAGTGGGCCACGATAGAAATTTCATATTAAAAATTTTCTAATGGCAAAAAACTGCGAAATATATTAAAATAACGGTACAATCTTGCCAATAGCACATTTTTCTTAATAGTTTAAACCGGTGACCACCATGGCCCAAATGAAAAGACAAGCGCCGGTCCCATGGGACCATCGTGGCAGCGAAAGGGTTAATTATTTCAATCGACCGACGAAAATTATTTATTCTACGCGAAATATTTGAATTTTCAACCCGAAGAGCAAACAGAGCCCGGTGGAAGAGTTACTCCGACAGGCTGACCAATTGATTTCGAACCAAAGGCCGCGGGCGGAAGTGTACGCGGCGATGGCGGAAACGTTGGGCCAAGCATGGCGCGATGTGAACGAGCTTTTGGAGCGTCGAAAACAGATCCTCGACTGTAACGTGTTGTTTCAATGGTTCGTACGATCATCAGACCGCGAAGAAGATGAATTGTGCTGTTGTTTCAGCGGTTCGTAAAGGCATCAGACCGGAAAGAAAATCAGGATCGAGCGGTTAGAATAGTCTGTTAAGTAACCAGCGTAGAATAAATATTTTTAAAAATTGGCGTGGAAAATATTTGTTCGAAAAAGAAAATGATAAATTATTTCTATAGAATTTTCATTTCCGGTATGATGTCATTTGTCGAATCGATCGCTGATCAATCCGTTAACCACAATAATAAAAAGTAAAAAATTTTTGTAATTAATATGCATCTGATTAGTCGAGCCGAAGAGTGTCGCGAGAGCATGAGAGCCCTCGAAATGGCATGCAACGACACGTTATTGCCTATTGAAATCGAGGCGGTTAAAAACTTCCTGTCCAAGATCCACGATCTTCGGAAGAACATGTTGGAAGCTTTGATGGGTGCTTTGCAAGAAGGAAAGAATTTATTGGACAGATTGAAGGAAATCGCGAACGAAGGCACATTGGATTCCAGACCGGACAGGATTAAGCTCGAAGCTGATCACGGTGAGCGGCGGTAATTAACGTTTTCCCGGGAGAAACGATTAATTATATCCAATGTCACTGTTTTCACTGCGTCTTACCTTTCCCTTTTTGTCGATGACATAATTGATTTGTTCCTTTCGCTCCGCTTTGGTCTGCCGGATAGATCTTACCTTTAATAACCATTATTACATTTAATTGCAGCCGTATTGAAAGTAGAAAAATGGTTGGAAGAATTGCACGACAGAAGACGTTTGATCGAAGCCTCGTTTCGTAGCAGGAAGACACAATTGGAACAATGCCTGGCTCTAGCTCTGTTAGCGACCGATCTACGCGATCTTGAAGAGATCCTAAACGACAGAATCGCTGCTTTATCGAGTAGCTGCGATCAGCTTGGAGATTCTGCGTCCAGCGCGGAATTACTCCTGTTCGAGCTGAAAAAATTACAAGCCGAAGCTAAGGTATTTTTTAATCATTCCCCTTTACCATTGAACAAATTGATTCCACGGTGCATCTACATTTCAATCGAATAACGTTGATTTTCAATCACCTTGAACGAAGTTGTATTTGTGTCGCTGTGAATCATGACAGCCACGCTATGTAATAAATGCTGCTATAAATTATGAGTCCGACTCCTGTTTTATTTCTTGTTTCTTCTTTAATGGATTTCTTAGAAATCTTCAATATTCTACATTGATGGTATCTTCTTTTTTTTGAATCTCAGCTTTTGCACGCAATCCTTTCTTTCTTGACGGAGCAGGATATGATAAACTTCGGTAGGTCTGCGATAATTTTAATTCTCTGACGATTTCAGGAATTTCAAGACAGATCGATCAAGATAACGAAATCAACCGAACGATTAGTGTCATCGGGACACTTTGCCGGAGAGCAAGCGACGGAGCAAGCGTACGCGATCCTCGGCGCTGCTGCTGATTATGTCAACGATTTGGATCAGTACGAATCGCTGTTGAACAGGGCCGTGGCCTTCTTCGATTCGGCTCGATCGGTGAGCATTCACCCGGTGTACTTGAACTTTTTTTAAATCTTGTTTAAATAAAATTTCTTGCGAGATCGTTACGATCAACTTTGAGAGTAACGACCGATAGATCGAACAATTGATCGAAGATTGTTTCACAGGCACTTACCAAACTGGATCAATTGGAGATACAGTTGGTGACAACTGAGCATCCACAATATTCAACGAGATTAGCTCGTTTCCATGCTCAGACAGTAGCAACCATCGAAGATGTGACTGCGAAACCTTTGGCGGAAGGATACGCCCTTCTGGATGTCACAGGAAGAGGAGCGCCTGGTGCTGAGGTTGGATTCATCAATTTATCTTGACATTTTAATCGTCCCACGCTCATTGATATCCAGCCAATGAAGTTGTAGTTGTAGCTGCATTTTGATTTTTAGAATAGCTTGAAATCCTTGAGAGGAATATTTGATGAGAAAGAATTTTTGCAATTTATTTCTTACGTTTGGTATTATGACAGTGAAATTTTTAATCATTTTTTTTTTAACCTAGAGCTCTAAATTACGCGTCGTTTCACATAGTTTTCTTTGTCCTCTTTTTCAGGGTGTCAAACGCACCGTGGAGGAACTGGAGAATAGGAAGATCCGTCTAATGGAACGATGCACAGCACACGAAAAAGAGAACCTCGAAATATCCCGAATGATTAACACCTTCCTGGAAAAACACGACGAATTAAGGAAATGGTTGATGAGCATACCGGAAGCGTTTCTTCAGGGTCATCAGGATATGGGCAGCGACGTGCCGATGGCTGAAGATTTTTGTCGATTGCATCGTCAACTATCGAACGATCTCGAACGGAGAACCGACGAGGTTGAACATCTTGAATTCGAAATTCTTCCAATCAGAGAGAAACTGGAAGAATCACAGAAATTGGAATTGAAATCGAAGGTTGAGGAACTTCAACGTTCTTGGTCGAAGACCAAGGAACTTGTAGCTAATAGAATTGACTTAGGATCCGTTTACTTACAATTTCACATGGTAGCTGATGAATTGACGAGAGAAGTTGAATCGATCGAAAGCGAATTGAAGAGCAATGCTGATGTCTTGGATGAAAGGAAAGTCGAAGAACTTGGTAGACGCTGGAAGGATCTTCAACCGCTTTATGTGAAGCTAACAGGAAGTGGAAAGGCATTTTTGGACGCTGCTATTAAGGTATTAGATTATTATTTTTATTAAACAAAATTTTAGTAAATTTCAATTTTTATTAAATTATTTCTCAGATCGACGATCCTTATTTGGACGTGCCAAGGGCTTGCCTGTGTGTTCAAACGCTTTTAGAAAAATTCGCCAACAGACAATTGACTGTAACAGAATCATGGGAAAAATGGCGAACCAGTATCGAAATTTTAAGGGAAAGACGCATCGAGCATGAACGAAAAATCGAAGAAAGCACGAGGGTAATTTCTCTGATAAATTTTGCCAAAAATTTATGACCACTATCATTCCAGATTGTTATGTATTTGAATTTATACAGACGTTAGAATGGGTGTCAAAATTCAGCGAACAGTTGTATCCGGTGATAACATCCCAGTCTGCTGAAACAACGATGATTCTTAAAGATTTGGCAGGCTCGAAACAAAGAATTCTTCCTGAATTAAATAAAGCTGTCAGCGAGTTGGATTCCAGAATCAAAGGAATCAATACATTAGCTCAAAAGGGTAATTAAAAAAAAGCACTAATTTTGTTTTGAAAATATATCAATTGAATTATTTAAAAAATATAAATTAGGCGAAGTACACGTCGACGAGGAGATCCTGAAGAGACTCCATCAAATGCACGAAGATCTCCGTAAAACAGCCAGAGACTACGAGATTCTCCTCGAATCATTAATTTCCATTTTCGAAAGCATCGAAGAGGTAATTATCGCGTCACAATCTTCTTAAATTTCAAATTAAATCATCAATTCTATTAAAGGTTGAACAGAAAATCGAGACATTAAAGATCCAAGTCGAACGAGTGACATCCTTGAAGAAGATCTTTGAAGTGGAAGCTGCTTTCAGTGAAATCGATGCTACTAAATGGTCCATCTCAGATCGATTGGGTCATATTAAATTGAGAATCGAAGATGCAATTGTTAGAATCAAACAACAGGAACCACCAGAAGCTGGTGTTAAAGATATTGAAAAATTGAGACGGGCTTTGGATTCGTTGACATCCGATTTTGAAATATTCTGGTCGCAAACCACTACCAAAGTGGAGGAACATCGACGAACTTGCACCTTTACCGAAGATTTAGAGAGAATTGATGGGGAATTAAAGAATTTGAACGAGCATTTGAAGAATGTCGATGCTAGAATGGGAGAGAATCTTCAGACAGCGAAGGCTACTTCCGCTTCCTTTGTGCAATTTGAAAAAACTGTCACGGTAAGAAGATGATCTTTTTCAATAAATTATTTAAAAATATTTGTCCTTTTTATTTTGATTCGAATATTTGTGAAAAAATTAACTGTGTTATGCTAAACATGGGGAAAGCAGTAAAAGTGGTAAGTAAGTATAATTCAAATTTGAGTAAATTCAAATTTATTACAAATTTAGGTGATTTGCATAACAATTAGGTACTTGTCGTTGCTAAAATTAATAAAAACAGCGAATATCTATCGTTCCTAGATACTGGAGCAGAGAATCGAGAAGTTCGTGCAGACAACAGAAGAATCAATCAAGATTCTAACACCTCAAATAGTGGATGACATTTCTTTGTTGAAAGAAAGATGGAGAAATCTGAAGAAGAGAATGGAAGAAACGAAGAAACGAATGAACTTGTGTATCGACTATTTCGTGCTTTTGGAAGAAGCCAAAGAATGGAACAGAGAGGGTAGTAAATTGTTGGTTGTGATAGCAAGGAAAGCTACCATGGTGAAAGCGCCAAAAGATGCGACGGATTTGCTTCACGAGATAGAAAATTATTTAAAACCAGGAGAAGAGGTGCAGGAGAGAAGAATTGAAAAGTTGAAGGAATTGTCCACCATTGTTTTCGGTAAATGAAATTCAATTTTAATTTTAATTAAATATCTTCTCATTTGAATTAAATTAATTTAATATTTTGAATTTTACTTCAAATTTAAGTTTGAGTATTTAACCCTTTATGTAATTAAAAATATTAAACAATTAGCGTTTCGTGAAGAAATCGTAATAAAATCGTAAAAATAGTTGAATTCTCTACGAAATGATTTTACATCAGGTACAGAGAGATTGCCACAATTCAACGAGGTGATAGTAGAAAATCGTCAAATGTTGGACTCTTTCACGGTCGTTTCATCCGAGCTTCGTACGTTAGTTCAGAACTTGAAGAACGCCGAAGACTTGCAAGAGAAATTGAGAATCGAGAAACAGGAAGCCGACGAGAAATTACAAGCAGCCAAAGTGGAGATGGCTGCTGCAGCTGCAGCCAGAGAGGAAGCTGAAAATGCGAGGAAGATCGCTGAAAAATTGGCAGCTGAAACTTTGGAAAAGGCTGCGACCGAAGTGAAAACGTTGAAGGAGGAAAGAGAGGCTCAAACTATGTCTGCTCCTCCATCCTTTTCTGTATCTGCACAGACTGAGAAAATTGAAAAAACTGATGAGAGTTATGTTCAGGAAACTGTTACTTCCGCTGTTACCACCAAAGAGATACATATTTTGCAAAAGGTATAATGCATAACAAAATAATTTCAATTATTCTTCATATTACATGTGGGTGATAATTAAATAAATTTCTGAGTCCATCATCCTTGTTACTAAAAATTTAATTTTTTCTTTTAATTCCATATGCATAGTTTATCCTGAAGGTATATTAAATTTTCATTTCAGACGGAGATCGAAAAAACCGTTCCATTGATTCAACGTGAGCCAAGTCCAGGAAAAATAATTGTCACTGAAGAGATTCACGAAAAATCTGAAAAGATAGAAAAGGATGATGTACCACCATTAGCCCCCGAATTTACAATTCCTTTGAACGATGCAACTGTGCAAGAGGGTGAGAAATTCTCCTTCCAATGCAATCTTGTTGGTCATCCATTGCCTGAGGTAGTTTGGTACAAGGATGGAATTTCGATTTTGAATAATCCTGACTACCTGACCACTTATGTTCGTGATGTATGTACTTTGACCATCGAGGAGACTTTTGCTGAAGATTCTGCCAAGTACACTTGCCGAGCTTTTAATATCGCTGGTTCGGCTGAGACATCGGCAACATTGACCGTGAAAGGTATTATTTCGATTTAATTCATCGCGATTCGAAAGAGTTGTCGATACAATCAATATTTAATTATTCAGAAACAGCACCAGAAGAACAACCAAGTCCTCCGGTTTTCGTGAAAGAATTAGTACCCTCGACAGCAATCGAAGGCTCTTCTCATCAAATGGATTGCGTTGTCGAAGGAAATCCTTTGCCAACAGTTCAATGGTTCAAAAACGATGTTAACATTGATAATTCACCAGACTACGTAATTACATATAATAATGGTGAAGCTGTTTTAAAATTCGAAGAAGTGCTCCCAGAAGATAAAGCGATTTACATGTGTAAGGCGACTAATCGACTGGGTCAAGCTTCGACTTCCGCTTCTCTCAATGTCCAACGTAAGTAAATAATTAATTCATCATATTCATTTTAGGACGATACCTGGTTAGTTTTTTTTTAAATAATGGATTCAATTTATTTTTTATGAAACTACAGGTACAGAGTGTACCACAGAAAAACCACAATTTGTTACACCCCTATCAAATGCCATGGGTAGAGCAGGCCAAAGGGTGAAACTTGAATGCGAAGCAAGGGGAAAGCCCATGCCCACCTTGACTTGGTACCACGATGGAAGATCAGTCGAAGAAACCATGAACTTGAAGGTATAATTATTTAACATTGTATCCTAATACAAAAAAAAAAATGCAACCAAGTTCACTTTGTAATTTTTCCAAATCATCGATTTGCAAAGAAAAATTATTATCACTACATCATAACTTAGGAATTATTAATTACAAAATTAATTCGCGAAATTTCCGAACCTCGAGTCGAAGAAAGTAACAAAGTAACTTTGAACGAAAACGATGTTCCTTTTCGCTTGTAAAGCGACACGACCATTGCCCGTGTATTTTTAGTGACTTGCACGCGCCGAATTCGAAATAAAGCAACGAGTCGGGCGAAAGAAAAGGAAGAATCGAAACGGTAGAGCTCAGGGTGCTCAGGGATTCGTTGTTGTTTCAGATACAGACTGACGGTGGAAGGAGCAGTTTGATCATCTCGGAAGCTTTCGCGAAGGATGCCGGATGTTACATGGTCGTCGCCAAGAACGACGCTGGCGAGGCCACGGTGTCCTGTAACGTGTCGGTGAAAGGACGACTTCCTCACGAAACTAGCGATTCGGAATTTGCTTGTAGCGACATGGAGCCTGTGGTTCCAAAGATTCAAATGCCTTTGAAGGATCTGAGAGTGCAAGAAGGTCGATCCGTCAGATTGGATTGCGTGATTGTTGGACAACCTGAACCGGAGGTGAATCTTTCTCAAAATGAAAAATCTATCAATTTTATTGTTACAATACTTACCTTCCCTTTGTTTTATTCGAACTTGTGGCAACGATAGGTGATATGGTATCACGATGATCAGCCAGTGAAAGAATCAGCCGATTTCCAGTTATTATTCCAGGGTGACAAGTGTACCTTGCTCATCCACGAGGCTTTCTTGGACGATGCCGGTTTATACAAAGTAGTCGCCATTAATTCAGGCGGTGAAGCTTCTAGTCAGTGCACGTTAACTGTAACGCGTATGTACAAAGAATTCTACTAAATTTATATTGTAATTCTATTTCATAAAATTTTCTAAGAAAAATGATTTATTTTTCACGCAGCGGTCTCTGTTACCCATGAATTAGAAAAAACTCGAACGGAAGTCGAGGAGACGGTGACCGCAGGTTCACCCCCGAAATTTGTGAAACTTCCAACAGATTCGTTGATAGCCGAAGGAGAAAATGCCATTTTTGAGTGTGCAGTGGTTGGCGAACCGAAACCGGAACTGAAGTGGTTTTCTGACAGTGGAGAAATCAGTGAAAGCGAACGAATTCGGGTAGGTGTTCGAATAAACGATTAGTTTGAATCAGATACGAGTTATTCAGTAACGTTAATGATAGGTAAATTAGATGAATTTCCGCCGTTTAATGAACGTGGAGTCGATTGTGTGATTCAGATCCAACGGAAGGAGGATGGAACGAGTATCCTGAGGATCTTATCAGCGATCCCCGAGGACAAAGGAAATTATGTGGTGAAAGCTTTCAATGCACACGGGGAAGCTAAGGCTTTCGCTAGATTGGTCGTGAGATCGTTGGGTGACTTTCGAAGGAAAGAAGAATTCGTGCAGATGGAGGAGAAGTTAATTGCTCCGACGTTTAAGGAGAGATTTGAGGACAGAAAAGTACCAGATGGGGTTTCTACAAAGTTCGAGTGCATCGTGGTTGGAAAACCATCACCAAAAGTGAGAATAAATTAATATTATTGATAATGAAATAAAACTCAAATAGCCCTACCATTTATGATACTTGAATCTTAAACGAACCTTGAATTTTCAAGGTTTGATTCTAATTATGATTTATTAATCATAAGAGATTAGTTTTTCAATTGTGATTTATTTTTCACTTTTACAATCCTGTGTGATTCAAATTAGGATAGCAAACAAAGTATCGGTTTTAATGAAAGTTAGAAAAATAATGTGATTCGAGAAGGAAGTATAAATTAGATTCGCATAATCTCGCGTAATCTCGAGCCTCGAATTACGGCGCCAGAGGGATGTTTTTTGCAAATGTGTCGAGGGACACGTTAAAGATTGGGCGCAGAGTTGGCCAGCCTGTCAGGAGGTGGCCGACCAAGAGTAATTTCGTGCCTCCGGGTTATATTTAAACGGGAACAATGTACCTGATGTGGAAATTCGCGGATGCTGTCGTGCCGAGAGGTACTCCGCGAAATTTTCTTCGACAACCGCGAATAAGGTATCGACATGTTAATTGCATAACATTAATTTGATTTTTTTTCTAATGAGTCGGATTCTGTGACACGTGAATAAAAAAAAAGTTCCTTCTTCGAAGACGTTCGGTGACATCGAAATATCATTTCGAAACTTCAAAGATCATAGATATTTGGAATAATTGATATATTTGGTGATTTTTGTGAATTAAACGCCTGTGTTAAATATTTACTACACATTTTGTAGTCTATTTTTAGAGACTCATTATTAATCTTAAGACTTACTTTAATCTTGATTACTGTTTCATTCTAGGCGGAATGATAATGAGATTTGAAAGTTGTTGAGTGAGTTGAATGATCAATTTCTAGATTCAATGGCTGTTTAACGATCGTCCTGTTCATGGCAAGGATTTCTTGGTATCGGTCAGCGGAGATCGGCAGGTACTGACGATTCCAGAGACCGGAAGCACGCATGTCGGTACGATTTCCTGCGTGGCGGAGAACGCTGCTGGCAAAGCGACTTGCACCGCTCGGCTAGAAATCGGTAAGCATTATTTTTGTTTACAATCAATGAACGCGTGTGAAATTCCATCAAAATTATTTGATCATTTTCTTTTACAAATTTACAAACATCAAAAAAAAAAAAATTGAATTTTTTGAATTTCTAAATTAAAAAATATCTAATTTTGAGTCGAGAATTTTATAAAATTTCATGGAACAAATATTTAAAAATCTCTTCTAGAAATTCCTCGAAGATTATTTTGAAACCTCGCATGCTCGAAAGTCGATAGCCTGAAATTCCGAAGATACCTATTTCTAAACGGTGTCGATCGTTGTAAACCGAACGATTTTTATTGCCAATCCTACTCGCTGCAACAAATTATTTCGCGCGATGCCAAAATATCGAGGGAACTGGTAACGGTGCCACGAGTATTAATAACCCGTCTTTCCAAAACCGAATGGCAGCTTCATTCACCATTGGTCTGATGCACACTTTCGTCAGAGAGAATCTGTCATTTCAAGCGAATCGAAGAGAGAGAGGAAAGCATCGGATAAAAGATCTCGATAGGCGCACAGGACGATATTGCGAAAGCAACGAGACTCTTGGAAATTTGATACTGTTTTTCCTTTATGCTTTTCTGCGAGAAAAACAACTGCATTTCGCGACCACCCGCTTAGAAATCTTTTGGTAAAGAAATTTTCAAGAAAATAAATATTTCATTCGGTTTCGACGCGATAAAGAATATCTATGTCGGTAATGTCCGCGGTTAAATGATATTCCCTGACGCATTACGGTGGGGTCGGCTGTAATATAGTAAGGGAGGGTCTTATTTTTAACCAGGGCGACTAAACAAACTCTTTTCTCTTCTTTCACCGACGAAAAGTCACTTTGAGTCACGACTAATATTAGGTCGGTGCACATGCCGTGGCAATTAAATCTGACGTTTCTACGCCCACCTGTACCGTGCCCATGCGTTTATACGATCCAACTTGCATTCGTTCACTCCGACGATTATTCTTTTATTGCAAGATAAAGTAAATTTACAATAAATAATGAATCGAATTTTAGTGAAAATGTGATTCGAAATATACATACCGAGGATAAAAAATAGATTTCTCGGTAATCCGTTCTAAAATAATGATTCCATTTCGAAGATGTTTGCTCGAAATTCTATTTTTGGGCTGATTTATTATTGATCGACGAAAGTGGAAACTTCGTTATTTTTAATGAAAACTTCGAGGGAAGGAAATTAATTATTTCGTTAAACATCCACCTAATGGATGTTGATCGGGTGACACCTTGAACAAGGTGGTTCATCCGTCGGGTAGTTTCGGCGACTCGCGCGATTTCCGAGTTCCTCGCTCCGGTGTATCGAGTGCTACGAGTGCTAAGAGTGCCTCGTCCCTCTTTCTGTCTCGCTTACGGCCGGTGCACACGTACACGCGCACGCACAGAAGACACGTTATTTTTGTCGGCACGAATAGCCTAGTCCAGAGTCTCTAAGCCAGGGAATTTAAGCGCGTCTTCTTCGGGGAGCCTCGCTCCTACGGGTCGCATCTCGAATCGAACACCAGCCACCATCGACTGTGACATACACGTAAAAGCATCCTTGGGTGCTGCGACCAGTTCCGGACAGAAAATCGAAACTCGAAATCGACTTGTTTCCAATTGACCAGATCGAAGTGTATTCTTGGTAAGAGCTCTCTCAACTCTCTAAGAATGTAAATATTTTTTTTTTATAATTAAGAGTTAATTGAAAAATTGTTATTTGACAATTATAATCAAGTTTTATGTAGCTTCATTGGAATTTGAAATTTTGTTCAATTACTTATTCAAGTAATAATGAAACTAATTAGAACTTTGAATATAAATATTTTCATTAATATACATACCTGTATAGTGTGTAGAATTTTATGCAGTTTCACTGGATTTTGAAGTTGTTCAACTGTTGCGTAGATAAGAGTTAAGTGGAACAGTTCTTGAACTCGATGAGAATGTGAATTAGAAATGGAAATACCATTATTATCGTTATCCACATATCGTGTAAAGTTACGTGGAGTTTAGTTGAATTTCTAACTGTAACATACATATACAGTTTGCCGAAGTTGATCAGTGGGATTCGAAGCGATTTTATTTTTGAAGTCGAAGTTTATTGATCCTTTATATCCGCAAGTAAACATTGATCTTTTCTTGTATTTTTTAACTGCATAGCGAATGGAATTGGTCGAACGATTGGATAGAAATTCTTGAACATTAATATTAGCAAACTGGTGGACCGTGATCGAAATTGTCCCGACGAAATCTGTCTGGTGTTCGACTTTATAAATTACGTGCCAGTAGTCGATTTCCGTCGTGCTAGGTGAACGATACTATTTCTGTCGTCGATTGTGGGCAAAACGTTTTGTTAGAAGGGCTCGTCTCGGTACGTTTCATCGACACCTCGAGATCATTTCCAAACATAATTTCTTTTTTACGATCTTTCAACGCCTACGTGAAATTCTTAGAAGAAGCTCGTGATTTCACTGGATCCGCATCCGGACGGAGGTTTAACGAATTCAGGACAAGTCACGACGGATTTTCGCGGTCCAGATATGCGGTCGGGACAAATTCTCGATTCGAATATACGGTATCTTGGTTTCTAGCCAATAAACGCGATTTGGTTCAATTATTTCGTAAAGTAGATTTTACAGGAAACGAGTCTGAAGCTAGAAAAGTAGTGGGAATATTTTTTAAAAGCATATCAAACAGCTCAAATAAAGAAATTTTGTGAATCAATCGTTTGTTATTAAAAAATTGATGGATCATCGATTGAAGGTTCTTCTGCCAAAAAAGTAGTCATTGATCTATTGATAACTCGATTAATCATTCTCGTTAGGAGGCTCGGAGGTGCAGAGGGATAAAAAGGAGGTAGTAGAAGAGAAGGTTTACGAATTGGTAGAAAGAATACCCGGCGACGAGATGCATGCATCGAGCAGCAGCGATAAACACTTCTCTGCGGAGAAGTCCGAAATTGGAGGTGAGAACAAAGTGCTGACGAAGATGTCGGAGACCATCACGGAATCCTCGACCACTCATAAGACCTTGAAGAAGGAGTATATCTCGTCGTCGATGTCTTCGAGTACGGGGGCGCCTGGTCAAGAACCAACTAGCGTTTGCGTGAAGAGTACTGTTCATAGTACGGAACAATCATCTTCGGCGGATGGAGCACCTCCTGTCGTACAGGCACGTTGATTATTTAATTTAATTTAATAATTTCAGGAATTTAGAAAACTTGGAATATTTAAAATGTTTGGAAAATTGGCAAAATTTATATTTTATTTGAATTATTCAGTCGTACAAAGTGGAAGAACACGAGAAGATAATACAGGATCAGCCAGGTGAAATTCGTCAGGAGAGAACAGTGGTAGTGTCCCAAGATGAGGAAGGAATCAAGCGTGATATCAAAGCGACACAAATACCAAAGCCAGTCAGAAAATCCACTGCTCCAAGATTCGTATCACCGGTCACAGGAATGATCGTGGATCAGGGTAGTGACATCGTTCTCGAAGGAATCATCGATGGTAAATTTCTGAAATAATCATTTTTAATTAAAATCAATCAGGTTTTCTAATTGTTTCATCAACGTTTAATAGGTTTCCCTCAGCCTGTAGTGATCTGGTCAAAGAATGGACAAGAATTGAAAACGAAGGATAGTATGACGATCACTTACTCGCACAATCATGTTCGTTTAGAGCTGAAAAATGTGAACGTTAAAGATGCAGGAAGGTATACTTGCACTGCGAGCAATGAAGTTGGTTCTGCGAGTAGTACTGCGGATCTCGTTGTTAAAAGTACGAATAATTAAAAGAAAAAAGAAAAGAAGGAATGGTATTTCATTATCGTTTAATCAATTTCAGAAACGATATTCCCACCGGTGTTTGGTAGAAGACTGCAAGCTCAACTGGTGAAACGAGGAGATCGCGTTAACATGGAAGTGGAGATCACTGGAACCCCGGAGCCCACAGTTTCCTGGTTCAAGGATGACATCCCCATCAAAGAACGTCCACCCGAGCTACGAATCAAGCAGCAAGGAAATTGTTACATGCTGATTATGGAGAAAGGTATTTCGAAGATTGATTGCCTCGATGAGAAGACATTTTAATGTATATTTAAATGTATATTTATTTTAAAAGCTGCGAAAGAACACGCTGGAAAATACATGGTTCGTGCGACAAATGCCGGCGGTGAAGCACAAAGCATAGCTGATTTCGCTGTTTTTGAACCAACGCCAGACACGATGGTTGAAGTTCACAAAACTGTCATCTACGATGTGCAGGACAAAAAACTGATGCAGGTAATAATTTGTTTCCTTCATCGTGTTCATTTACATTACCTATGTACCTATATCCCTCGTATAAATGTCTAATTTATTAAAACCAAATAGAAGTTAAGGAAATTAGAAATAATTAAATGTACATTAACGGATACATCTCAGAAATGCAATAAACTTTGATAATTGTATTTAGTCCGACGAAAAGAAGGCGGAAGTTCCTTCCAGCAAGCATCTGACGAGCGAACAGGTATCAACAACCAAGATCCAACCAGCTGCAACAATAAAAACAACACCGACCGCGATGTCCACTTCGATGGCTCAAACGAGCCGCACTGTAGAAAAAATCAAAGAACCGGATACTGAGTTATGTCGATCTGAGAAGATATCGTCTACAGTGGAATCCCATCAAATGGAAAGAAAATCAGAGCAAAAGTACCATATGAAATTGGAACACAAGATGCCGAGCATAGTCGAACCGAAAACCGAAGGAAAGACGGTGATAAAGGAAGTGATTCGCGAAGAGGTGAGAAGCAGCGAGCCAAAAAGCACATTGATCGAAGAGAAGATTGAAAATGAAAATATAGAGACATCGAGAATAGCGAAGAAGGATGCGTTGAGTTTCTTCGAGTCGATGACTAGAGAAACAGAAACAATTCCGAAAGGACCTAAAGAGATGATCAAATTAGTGGACGATGCTGATGGACACGAAGTGAAGGTTGGAAAATTGACGAAGAATTACGAGAAATCCACCAGCTTCCAGGAGGTGAAGAAACCAGAAGTCAAGCCTCCGGAATTGCTGACCACGAAGAAGGCTGTTCATGAGATCTTCACGAAATTGGAACAAGGGAGTATACCTTCTCGTGGTATTGACAACAAGCTCTTCGACTTCCCGTACGAACCTTATAAACCAACCATGGAAACGAAAAAGACGGTCGTAGAAGAAACGATCAGTTCAGGCTCGTCGTCCCTTCAAAGTTCCATGACCATGTCGAAGATGGAGAGCAAGAGGGAGAGTAAGATGGAGAGTAAGAGCTCTGAGCTACTGTCGGAAGGTTTCAATTTAGTACCAGAACCTCCGCCGGAAATCGGTTACATGCCAAAGCCAGAGGAGGTGAAAAAAAAACGCCCTGAAGTGTCCATCAAGGCTAAACAGCTCCAAGAGTCCTTCGACAAAACCCTGTCCCCTATCGACGCTCCAATTGGAGGCGTCAAGATTTTCCCATCACCTTCTCCAAAAATCCTTGAAACTCCCAAGGTTGCACCTCCATCGTTCTCCATGCCACCTCCACCGTTTCAACTCGAGAAGAAAGAGATAGTCGAAGAGGTGTGCATCAAGAAGGACGTCCATGAGAAAAGGGACCCTCAGCCGTTAGTGAGACCAATCTCTCCCAGCAGACCTTGGTCTTCTTCTTCGGACGTGGAGACCAGGTCACAAATGTCCACCGATTTGTCAGAATACAGGTGTCATTCTGCAGCTTCTAGTCATCAAGAGATCTTGAGGTCCAGTTCGCCTAGACCTTCCGCCGATGGTTTGGCGATGGAAAAATCTTGGGCCAAGAAGTGTGCTGATTCTACCAGAAAATCATGGCCTCCTCAGGAAGACACTCCTATCAAGTACAAACAAGAGTGGCAGATGCCTGGAGAGGATTACAAGACTTCTTCGAAGGAATTTAAGAGAGAAGTTGAAGAAACGCCTGAAGGGGGGATCAAGAAGACCAGTATGGAGTCTTCCAGTACGACGGAGAGACGATCCTGGAGCAGCAAACAGGAAACCATGGACAAGATGTCCAAAAGAGCTCCATCGCCTCCAAAAATACAGCCCATTATCTACAATGCAGAAACCATCAAGGTAGACCACACTGTGAACAAGATCGAAGAGAAATCTCTGTACGAGAAGTACATCAGCGAGTGTGACGTGAAGAAATCCCAGAAGTCTGAGAAACTAGAGGAGTACAGTTCAAAGAAGTGGACAGGTGCCGAGGATTTGAAAGCACCTGGACTGGTTAGAAGCCTGGAGACACCAAAGAAACCAACGCCTCCGTTGTACCGCCCTGTTGAACCGATACCGACCGACCAGATCATCCTGGAACCAGGCCCACCGCCCGAAATAGGCTACATCCCAGCTCCAGTGGTCAGAGAGAAGAAGATAGAACAAATAGAGAAAACCTTGGAGGTGTCACTGGAACACAAGCCGGCTAAAATTCCTCCAGGAGGCATCAGAACCATTCCTCCAGCACCCAAGAAAGAAGAACCCCCTGCATTGCCACCAAAGGACGTTCGAATTACTCCACCACCATTGCCTGCCAAACAGCCAACCCCCGTAGAACCTTTGGAACCCTTTCCATTTAAACCATCTCCGTCACCCACCATCAAGACACCCAAGGTAGCTGTTCCCGCTCCAACTCCATCAAAATTCGTTAAGGGTTCCTTCGGTGTGGAAAGCGACTACGAGTCGGACATGGACAGCCATATGAAAGCAAAATGGCGACCATACGAAAGCGACAACGAAGAGCCTCGTTATCGAAGAGTGCAGCCGCCAGTGCCGAAACAACCGAGACCAAGGTCCACCGAGCCTGAACCACTCCCTCCATCCAAGTTCGAGGTTCCTTCAGAATCCACGGGTCTTCCTAGACCCGTGCTGACTAAGGAGCAGCAGGAGAAGATGTATAAGAAAACTACAACGTTTAAAAGGCAGGAGAAAGAAACGAAACAACAGAAGTATCAGGTGGTTCAACCACCACCGGTGGAATTAAAGCCTGGTTCACCTCCCATTTACGTTCAACCAGCCACCAAGAGTCCCACGCCTAAGAGTCCACCGGCTAAGAAACCAGAATCTCCGAAGTTCAAAGTGAAGACCTTCCAACAGGAAAGTGGTTACATGGCAGACACCGACGAACCATTGCAGCAGAAGTCATCGGTTGCTTCTTTGTCGAAGAGCTTCGGTAAACAGGAGTCTTCGTCGTCTATGTCGTCGCACATGGAGTCGCGGACTTCCTACTCGGAAAGTCGGTCGGAATACTTTGAGAGTAAGAGTTACGACAGCCGTCAGCAGCAACAGAAAAAGGAATCGTTCGCTCCGTCTGCGCCATCGAGCGTTAAACAACCCCCTCAGCAACGTAGCTCTTTCGTCGAGAAGAGCTATGGTTCCTCTGCGGTTACCTCATCGCCGAGATTCATGTCCGCCAAGGTTCGATACCTGTGTGTGTGTGGCTTTTGCAACGTTTTATGTTTATGCAAATTACTAATCTACAGTGTGTGAATACTTTTGGCTATTTATCCTGCTTGGAGAAAGGAGAACGTTGAATCGTTCTTCTTATTTAGGTGAAGAATTGTTTGAGCTTTCTAGTCCTCGATTTGTAGGATGAAATTTTTACACCTACTAATTGAGGATGAATTTTGCATTTCTGTATTTTGTTTATTTTTTGTCATTTTATTGTAGCGATGATTGAATTGTAAAATTGTTTTCTTTTAACTTTCTTCTAGGAAACTCTTTATACCACGGATCAATCGCACAAAAAATTCGAAGCACCGAAGAAAATCCTGCCGCCATCTCCGAGTCCTTCGAGATTCGTGAAGAGCGAATTTCGTGAAAGCGACTACGAGAGCGACTACGACGGTAGAATACCACCCCTTTGGAAACCGCGAGGCTACGAAAGCGACGATCAGTCTTTCAGAACCGTGAAACCGAATCTCGCTGGTCCAGGTATTTACGAATCCCTATCTTGCGATTAGTTTCTAAATTTTCATATTCAGAAGTGTAGAGTACGGTAATTGAAAATAATATAGATTTTAATTCTTCTCCTAATCAATACGGTGATGGGAAATCTTTCGCAAAAGACAATGTAAAATGAGAAAAAAGAAAAACGCTTTTCATCAGCATCAGAATAGAACACAACCGACTGATTCAACAACGATGCGTTTCTCACACAATTACGACTCTTTTTCAGCTTACAACAAGTAGTCCTACTGGCAAGCTTTCTTCCCTTCTCGTTCTTTACCTCGCAAGACAAGTTCTCCTCTCTTCCCGCTTCGCTTGCTTCTCTATATTCTTCTCAGAAGTACGTACGTTGAGTTTCCCCGTTTGTTTCTTTTTTCCCCCTTTATTTTCGTATATTCGTGGCTAACCTTCACCCTCTTCTTCAACATCTATACTTCATCTTCTGCTCTTCTCTCACTGTTTCACCTTCGTTCTAAAACACACGCGCGACCAAAGCAAATATCCACGGCGACGCTCAACAAGAATTACAAAAAAATAAAATAAAATAAAAGAATCAAAAAAATTGCCTCGACCCTCTGTCCGCTTTCTTCGTCTCGTCGATGCCGTCTGTATCTCAAATCGAGATCACAGCCGGGAACTATTTTCTCCTGTTAGGAAAGCCGAAGGTGCAACGCGAGGACACTTCGAGGCTGATCGAAGAAGCTTCGACGCGAGCGCAGAAAGCGAAGACGTTCGAGAAGAGGGAGGAGAGGGTGGCGACCAAACCGAAGACAGTTCTTCTTCCTGGTTCGCCACCGGAAATCGCGTATGCGCCTCCTCAACCTCAGCCGACTTACTACGAGGCTAGATCGGGTATTCCTTTCCACAACGCGATCGGCACGGAGACCAAGAAGACGGTGAGGATGGACGAATCGACGGAGAACAGCAGAAGGATCGTTACTGTCGAGCAAACGAGTCGAGTGATCAAATTCGGTGATAATCAGAAATCGGCCACCGATTTCGACAGCTTCGATTCGTCCTCTGCTCAGAAGCAGAAGACGCATTACAAGGTACCAACCCCTAAGAAGTTCGTCCAAGGTCAGTTCAGAGAGTCCGATTACGAGAGCGATATCGATACGAGGATCAAGCCTAAATGGGTACCTCCGGAGAGCGACAGCGAGGAACCTAGGTACAGGAAGGTTCAACCGCCTACCACGAAGACAACGCGATCGTCGAGCGCTCCTGTCAGACAGGAACACGTGGTATCACCGATGGAATTCGACACAGGACCAACGGTGCTGAGGAAGCAGACTTCCATGAGCCAGCTGAGGGACGAAAGAAAGTTCGATGGACAGGTGAAAAGGCAGGCGTCTTCGAGGCAGGAAGAGACCCTGAAGCCAGGTTCGCCGCCTGAGTTTGGATACATCTCGAGGAGCGACGTGAAGAAGGCTGCCAATCGTAAGAATCACCTTGATGTCTCTGTAAGCTTACCTTGAAGGCGCAGGATGACGCTTATCGAATATTATAAAATCGAAGAAATATGTTCGTTCATTTGTTCATTTGAATTTTTCATAGTTTCCTTTGGGAAAACTATCGACTTACCTTCTAATCTTCGTTCATTTGATCGTCATCGTTCGATAACATTTCGATAGATCACTGCGCCGTCATTGCCTATTTTATTTCTAACCGTTTCTCTTTCTCGCGCGCTCTCGCTGAAACGAAGCAAATAATAATAATAATAAATAAAAATATCGAATCGCTGGCGAGCTCTCTTCCTCCCGTAACACGAAAAAATCTGAAACATCCGCAGACGTCGCGTCGCGTCACATGAGCGACATGACCAGCAGCTTCAAGTCGAAAACCGAAAAGTTCGTGACCGATATCCAGTCGGACTTGAAGCAGGGCAAACCGATCCTGAAGCAACCGGTCGACGGTAGAGCCAGCGATGCTGACGAGCCGAGAACTTACAGAGAAGAATCGCGACTCTCGGAACATGGTAATTGATTTTTCAATTTTTAGATACAGCTTTAAAATCAATGCTGGAGGAGAGAAAATTTTTTAAAATATTTGTAGATTCCAGGAATTTTATGCTAGATATCTTGCCATTCATTTAGATTATTAAAAGTAACAGAACTTTTTTTTTCAAAAAATAGGAATTTCTAAAATTTTTATAAAATAATATTGTAATATTTATTCTTCGACCAATAACAATTATTTCAAAAATAGCAAGTTCTCTTTATAATCAAACAGAAAGTACATATTTCTCAGTAAACACTTGATAGCTTACATTCTACAAGAATAGCTTCGTTATTTCTCTCTCCAGTTGTTTAAAATAAAACTAGAAACAACGTTCCCAACGCCACGAATCAGCTGTAAAATCAACCTGAAATCAGCTTGAGCAAAATTAAACTTCGATTCAAGAAAGCATCATGGTAATAAAAATTCATACAGGAACGAAGCAAATTGATCCAGACACCGGACTGATATACTTCAAGTACGACTTCGGCTACGAGTTCGGCATCGTGTTGCCCGGCGAAGGGAAGAAAACGGTGAGCAGTACGAGCAGAAGCGTCCAGGGTCAGAGACGAGCCAGCGACATCGAGGTACCGATCGTCCATGAATTCACGACGAGAAAAGAGAACGGTTTCGCGAAGAGGAGCGCTTCTTCGAGTTCGACCGCTCGACAGGGCAAACCTGCTGGAAAATTTTCTGGTTCGAAAACGGTGAAATGGGAGCCAACGTCCGAAAGCGAATATTCCGAATCAGAGGACATCAGGAACGCGAGAAAAAGGCACTCGGAGGGAGGGAACACGATGACAGCACCCAGTCTCGTTATACCTTGTTCACCATCGCCATCCAGATGGGATCACACGACGCCCAGTCCACTTTCCTTGAGCCCAAGCTTACCAAGTCTCTCTCCCAGATACAGTAGTGCCACTGGACCACCCAGCAACGTCGATTCCGCAGGTATTCACCTGCTTCTCTGCCGAAAGCTCTCTTTGCCTCGCCCGTGCACGAGATTCGATACAATTTGCAAGTGGAACAATGATCAATTCGAAGCACCTGTATTTTATTTGCAATGAAAATTTTCCAAAATTCCATCACTGCTTGCAAGTTAATTCGTGCATCCATCGTTGCTTTGCACGGGTTTAGCCTTTTGAAAATTTTCATGATTTCGTCTTCCTGAATTTCATCCAAAATCCTTGAGTGTAAATTGTACTCTGGAGTTTGATTTCTATAATTGTGTTCGATTGCGAAAGGGGTGAAAATTAAAGGAAGGAATCAAATTTAGGAATTTTGTTGTGCTTCTTCCTTTTTGAGGATTTCAAAGCTTTTCTGCCTCTGGTTTGTTGCTTCTGTGTTCGAAGCACGAAAGATTTAAAGTGTTACCTCGGTTGATTCGCACAGTTTCCATATATCACGATCGAATTTCTACGTTACAAACCAGTACATTTTTCAACGCCATCGAATGTGTTGCTCTCGTTTAAAAGTCTGCCCGACTTGAGCGAGTTAAATCGAGCTGATTATTCTAGGATCACCGTGGCCAACCACCAACGGGGTTGCCTCGAGCAAAGAAGTGATTCAGCCTTACTTAGAAATACTACCGAAAAAGGCTCCTCTTTTCATCACGGTAATGTATCACCAGATTCCATCGTTTTTCGATCATTTCAACATTGAGAATGTTGAAAATTTTGTTATAAATTGTAGCCTCTGAGAGACATCGCGGTCGTAAGCGGACAAACGGCAAGATTCGAGTGCATCGTTCAAGCTGAACCTCAGCCTAATATCCTTTGGTCCAAGGACGGCAGGATAATTGAAAATTCAACGAGCTACGAAATTCATTACCGAAACGGAGTTTGTCGTCTCACCATTGTGCGAGCCTTTCCTGGTACGTCATTATACTTAGTACTCGAAAATATTGAAAATTAATATAATTTTTTAAAAATTTTCTTTATTTCAGAGGACGCTGGCACATACGCGTGCACCGCAACGAATAGCTTAGGTTCGACGGTAACTTCTGCCACCTTGCTGGTGCCAGGTAACAGACGATCAGTATACGCGCCTATTTAATTAACGATCAACAGGGGATGTGTAAAAAAAAAAATTCAATCTAATACCAAGGTGGTGGAATACTGTGCCTCTAATTTTCGTTCTATCAAAAATCACGATTCGCGTTCGTTTCATCCTCTTTCATTCGATCCTGTTCATCCTATCGAAAATAAACGGGTTTCTCATCGTACCAAAGAAAAAAATTTTATTGTAAAAAGAGAAGAAACCGATGCTCGTAGTTGAAAATTCGTAGAAACCCCGTTTCTTTTTAGACGAACGAGCAGCCACGTACCAAATATTAGTATTTATGACGAAAATACTCTATTCTCTTTGCATTTTCTACGCGAAACACGATTTCACGACAGGGCCGAGGAGAAGCTAGTCAATGAACTGACGATCGAATAGTGAGAAGTCGAAGAAAATTCACGAAAGCTGGTGGACACGCTTTTTTGTTCCTTTGATCAGCGCGTAGTGAGCTTCCTCGAATGCATTTTCTTTCTTTTTTTCTGTCGTTGTTGCCGTGGAACGATTTGAAAACGCTTTTTTTCTTCTTTTTTTTTAGTAGGTCGTTTCTATCTTTCTCACTCTACTTCCTATCTCTTCTATATCTTTTTCTTTCTCGGGTACACTTTCCTCTCTACTCTTTGAGCACGCAGCATATTTACAAACTTTTGTTCCTATCTTTTCTTCCTTTCTTTTTCTTTTCGCCCGCCCTGTCATAGATTAGAATCGCGGTCAATCTTCATTCATGATTCTTGAATCATCGAAGCCGCGATTCTCTTCGAAACAATGCTAGTCACACGCGAACCGCAGAACTATTATTTATTCAATTAATAAATAAAAATTTATAGCTGCAGGAGAATTCATTTCTCCAGAATCGTATATTATCTTGGATTAAACACTCGAGTTGAATAAATTGCAATAAATGTTGAATAAATTGAATTGTTATTAAATATACTTGTCATTGGTTGCAGCAACAATTGATTGGGTATTATTGTGTAAATAAACGTGTGCTTCCTCTGCAATACAAAAATTTGGGTATCATGGTGTAACGAATTATTTTTCTCACCCCCTCGTCCCTAATCTTTCTCTCCCCCTCTTCTGATTGCTCTTTGTCGATTTTCACGTTGCTGGAGCATCGCTGGTAATGGTGCAGAATGGTAGGTTCGTTACTAATGCAGTGGTGGATCCAGAGGTAGGCAATTGGTTATGGAATCTTGAAAAAGTGTCAATAAATAAATCATATAAAAAATTAAAAAACATAGATGAAGAATAGGACTTCTGGATCTGCCTCTGTGCTAATGTAATTGGGTATCAGCATGATGTAGTTTAATTAGCTGTGAAGTAATTAACATTTTTGTTTTGTTTATAGTCAGTAGTAGTTAACACTTGGTCTGTTGGGATAAATTGTAATAAAAGTGATTACCTCATAGATTAGTTAGTTATTAATTATTAATTATTCGTACAGGCCTAGATATAACAGTACAGACGATCATAAATCTTCTTTCATAACATTTAATTCATCATCAATCAAAGCCAATCAGTTATTTGTAACATTGGAATATGTGTAATTTATCCTAACAGTTAAATAAATGCATGTCAATTTAAATGTTAATTTTCGTAGACTCTTTATTTAAGTAGAGAAGAAGCTAGAAATTAACATCGAGGAACATAAATCTTGCGTGTGATTTACTTTTGAAATTACAGAATTTTGTGTTGACAGATTATGACACCGATGTGTCAGAATAAATAACGTACGTTGAGAAATGATTAATTTTCAAGTTTTGTATGATAAAATAATTTTTATTTGACAAATTCGACGAAATTTTACTTAACGAAAAGTGAAGTAAGCTCGAAAAATAAAACGTTACGAACAGATGAAATATTCATTGCCACAATTACGTATCGAAAGTATTGTTTCACCTTGCTCTTGTTGCACGAGATTAGTCATACGTATTTCAGGCAGCCACTTATTTTCGGAGAGTAAAAGAAATATGTAGAGCGAAACATCTCTGCTAACATTCGGGGTTACTAACACGAAAACGCGTACGCATACTATGCAGGGATGTTAATTGAGCTTTTCGTTAATCACTCGAGTCGGTGGATGGATCATTTATATTTGGAACGAGGAAATTTAATACCTCGACGAAAGTTTTATGCAGTTTCTTCAGGATAACCGATGAAAAAGGTTTATATAATTAAATGTTACCAATTAAAACCCTGCTGCCGTTTTATAGGTCGAAATGAAACTTACTTTTTTCTTAATCACGAAGATATTTGAAGAAATGACTGATCTAATTGTATTAATAATTCAATGTATTTAGATTAAAATTAGGTTTGAAATATTGTTGTTTTCTGGTTATACGGGATGCCTCGTTCGTTAGTCACGAGTACAATATTTATCTAAACGTCTGATTCAATTTTCTAATTTTAAAGTCTACGAAATCAAGATCTATACAAAATATACTATGTCCATAATTTAGATTTCCAAGCAGAGAATAGTGTTTCATTTTCGCGTATTATAATCTATTTAATTAGACCGGAATGTAAATAGGTAGCATAGAAACCAAGAAATCAACAAAGGTATAATAAATTAATATTTTTGGAAGGATCAAGTAGTCGAACGTTCCCATGCAGAATGAACGGTTGTTGGATGATGCGGTATGAAAATAGACGGTAAGGTAATCCCGGAATGTGATGGAAAATATGAGTCGACGATCCAAGAATAAACGGAGAGAAAAACAAGCAGTTGCGATTGTTAAAGATCTTGCAACTCTTTTTCTCTATTTTTTTTAGAAAAAACGCGTCATTGCTACTTGTACACACCTTATCACATTTCTCTTTCATCGAATCATTGCGTAATCCTTATCTCTGCATTATCAATGATATATTTTAAATATCACTTTTCTCTTCTCTGAGTTTCATTACTTGCTTTCATAAAAAAATGTATTTCTATAACGAGAATCGATAACATAGTGAAGTCAATGTTCTGATTATTAAATGTAGATGATCTTCCGGTTCGCATTCCCGTATGGAATTCACTACGATGTAATAAGAAACGATTGCAAAGCTCTGGGAGGTCTGGCATGCAATGATCGCCAAAAATAGCCGTGGTTCGACTAAATTTTCTGAAGGATCTCGTCGATTGAGCGAAAATTTTATGGATGACGTTGTATATTGATTTATTGCTCTTTGATCGGAAATTGGTTGAATGAACGGAAATACAAACTCAGAAGAGACATATGAATAATGTGTGAAAATGTGCGATCAAATCAGGCTTCTTAAAAAAAAATGATGTTTCGAGTTTTTCCACCCTTCCCACCCTTAATATACATATATTAATTGTCCAAAATTCTTCGTTAATTAACCATAGTATGAATGAAAATTTCAGGTGTACCATCGCCATTTTATGGTACTTATCGTGACCAAAACTTGAGCGAAAGATCAGCAGAAAGTCCTCCAAAATACGTTGCTCTGAGGGACCTATTTCTACCTCAGGAAAGCGACGTGAAAACAGCTTCATCGAATCGTCAACAGCAACATAATTCATCGACGTTCGAATATGCTTGGTCTGTGAATCGCAGGTAGGCATGGTTAAATTAAATAGAAAGTTAATTATCTGAGGATCGCAACGAATGATCGAGTTGCCGTTTCGTTTAGTTACGCAGGTGGCAGATATCGCGAGAAAGAAAATGCGACAGAAGAATGCGTCGAGATAACGAGTCGAAATCCGATAGCACGACGACTCGAGTATTCCGATTTCCAGGCGAACGATTCGTTTCGCGATGTCGCTGATTTTTGCTTCGACCGCGAATATTCCACCTGCAATCCGTCCATAGCGAGCCCACGGAACACCGGTAAGTCCTCTTTTCTTATTATAATTCTACCAAATTACCATTAAATCGTTGCAAGTGTTACAATAAGTAATTCAACATAGGAAACTAATTTCCTGATTATTTTACCAAAATTATAGAATTATTATTTTTTCAATTCTAAGTTGAAGTTGTCGCAATGAAACATGATATGCCAACACCCTTTTGGCCCACTAGTACATCCTGCAATTCATTCGTCATCGACTCAGCAATTCTCGAAAAATCATCACGTTCCATTTCAATCTTGAAACGCTCTTCGAGTTCCTCTAATTTCCCCAGCTCGTAAAAAAACACTCGATCGATGGCATAAAAATAGCTCGACTCGTCCAACGGATCCAAAAATAATTTCTTTGAACGACGATACTCGTTATCGGTGCTTTCATACCTATTCGCGACGATCATCCTCGGAGGTGAAACAAACTCCCACACCCACGCGACACCCTGTTCGAGGCAACATTAACACGTAGCGTTGTTAGCCAGTTGGAGCTGTCACAAGCGAAAACAAGGGATCTCCTGAGAGAGTCTCGTCTCGTTTGCTAACCCACATTCAGGGTCCTTCGAGCCATTACTCGCGGTTGTTCGCGAAAATAACTCTGCACGATTATGCGCGCCGCCCAGGTGTGTATTCTCTATCGATGTTGACGACTTACGCGCGCACACACGCACGCGTGTATGGAGGGTACACCAATTTCTGGTAAGACCGAGGCGAACGTTGAATCATAGACGATTCAGCCCCTTTCGTCACCGGTTCCTCAGCAACCCTCCAAACTCGAAATAGACGAGTCGCTATGCGCTACCTTGACGAAACACTGTGATTCACTAGTGACCCATCTTTCGAACCTCTGTTGTCGATGCTCGATTCAGAATTTTCGGAATTAATTCAAATTTAATTGGATTAGCTACATTACAGTTAGCTACATTAGGGCTAGGATGATTGGCATCAAGTATAATCAAGCGTTGTAAGTAATAATAAAAAAATTTGACAATGAGAGTAGGTTCATATTCAGAAAGGTTTCACATTCGACAGAACTTGAACCCGTAAACCTTGAACGTTATTAACAGTATTTGAAATGGAACGCGCGAGAAAGCGCCCCGTCAATTAAACGAACGAGAGCAGATTCTGTCGGCTGGTGTTGCGAAAGATCAGCGGCAAAAGGCGAACTTTTCGCACACGCCCGTCGTCTTGCGTATGCTTCTCTCTCTCACCTGGTAACGTGAAACCAAACGCATTGTACACTGTATACGATTCTTGGCTGGCGTAATGTCTGAATTACACGGTCGCGCGGCTACATCCGACCCTCGACCGTTTCACACTCGGATTAAACAGAGTTTTTTTTAACCCTAGGAACTCTGAATAAAAACGCAGGGGTGAATTGAATGATTATAGACGGTAGAATACATCCCTCGTAAAGTAGCTTATAAATATTACAAATTATCTCGCGCGTGTTTCGCTCCGATTCTTCAGGCCACGAGAGACGCTAACGATTGAACATCATTTCTCGACGTTGTACATACTTAAGTATGCTCCGCGTGAAATGCAACGCGTAACGAACGGAACAATTAGAAAGAAATTGGCTGTTCGATACTTAGAGGGGTTGGGCTTTTAATGGAGCATGAATTTATGGCCATCAATTTTGCACGGGACGAAAACATTGAACGGTCTAATGGCACGTCTGGCAGGCACGTTGCTCCTTCGACGATAAATCGTTTCATTGTCGCGTTTTAATTTACCACGTGACACGAGCGGTGAATTATTTCCACGAAACATCGACAGCTTCTGACCTTCGACGCGATGTTTAGAACTTTGCAAATCGAAGAAAGGTTCGCATTGAGGTCCGTTAAATGGTAGTTTTCCAAAGGGTTTCCTGTGTTCTTTCTCGTATCAAAGATATTCATTGTTACCGATAAATCGGTACGATTTTAGAAGGATTCGAGTTCATGATCGGATGGGAGCATGGACGAGAGACACGAAACCGTAGGGTTGTCCACGGCTATACTTGGCCGAGCCCACGTATAACGTAGGAGTCGGTTGGGTGATTTGTATCGGTGAACCTACGGAAAGGAGGGCGACTATGTGCACCAGAAAGAGCGCGATTACTTCCGAGTTGCATGAAAGCGACGAGGAAAGAAGGATCCTTGCTGGTGAGACTTGCTGGAGCGAAGCGAACGACGAGAGCGTGGAACACTCGTAGAGCGAGTCTCGAGTGGGTCGTTTCGTAAGATACGAAGAAAATTTCTCGAGTGAAGTTTCATTCCTCCCTTTAATTCACTTGCTTTATCAACAGACGAAGTCGTGAAGTGATTTTAGAATTTAATCCAAGGATAACGGATAATAACATCGTAGCATGATAATGTTGTTATGCAGGAAGAATAGGAACTGTATCAATTTCACAGCGTAGGAAGAAGGTGGTCCGCGGAAGATTCAAGTATAGAACAATCGTGGGATGAATAAAAGAGGGTGGGGATGTCAGACGAATTCTTTGAAGAGGTTACACAATGAATTTGTTTCGTCTGTTCATTTCTCTTCTCATTTGTGTAATTCGCTTCTAAGAAGAGAACAATATTGCATGAGAGATTTTTAACTACCCTTCGACTTAATTCAATGAAATAAGCTTAATATTATTCGATTATTATATCATTTTTCACTCTATACAAAATTCGAAATAGAGTTCCAATAATCCCATTGTTAAAATCACAATTGATCCAGTTTCGAACAACAAACTCCCTCGTTGCATGGCAGAAACGCGATGAAACTCTTTCTCCTTGAAAGAGAAAGATAAAGCATCGTCGTGGGAAGGAAAATTAAACAAAAAAAAAAAACAGAGACACGAAACGTACGCCAGCTGCGTGTACGACAATGCGTGTGTACAACCGTGGGCAATGTGAGCTTCTTTCAAGAGAAAATTGAAAAAAGAGCAACCTCTTACCATTTACTACTCCACCATTACTACTTAATTTTTGGTAGGTTGTAATACTCTATCAATCATTCGTTTAATTAGTTTTATCAGTTAGTGGTCTTCTTACTTCCCATTTCCCCTCGTTTGAGGCGAGTCAGTCTACGTTTCAGTTGGGTGTACATAAGAAACGAGAGAACGAGTTAAAGAAATGGGTTGCCGAAGAGGGGTCAGAGGAGAGGAAGGAGAGGGTGCGAGAAGTGCGTAGATGCGTGGGCGTCTGTCAGTGAGCGCGAGAACGCTGCGTGAGCCGCGCGTCGCTTTGCGGCTCCGCTCGTGCCACGAGTTTCCTCTCTACACGTCAGTTCTTCGATATAATCGATCGAAGAGATCGATAAGCGTCTAATCGATTGATAAGTAAGAGAATCTGATCGTGATTTGATCGACAGTTCAATTAATTTCCACTTAAATGGAACCGTGATTTTGGCCTTCCACGAGGATCTTATCTCTTTCCTTTCGGTTTGTATAGTTCTTTCTACTTGGAGATTTGGAGAGGGAATTTTTGAAATTGTGATTCATATCAAGTCCCTTGTGGTCACTTAGAATTTTAATAGAAGAAGGAAAGTAAAATTGAAGCGCGATAGGATTTTCTGTAACAGTTGGCTTGTAATTTCCTGTTATTCATTATTCATGAGCTAATTAGGGAAATGAAAAAAGAATTAATAATTAGGAACTGAATCATGAATTGATTCATTTTGTTGTGCCGACTATAAAAAGACAATAATGATCTTTCTGTATCAAGTTTTATAATTATTCATCTGGTCTGCTGCACTTCTCCAAATCTCCCGGGTAAAAAAATAAGAGAAAGATTACTCAACAATGTGTAACACAGCAGTAATAACCTGGCTCGTAGCACCAAATTCAAACGCCCACTTTCTACCGTAAATGAAATTCCTTCGAAAACTTTCCGACAGTTATATCCTATGTCATAAATTCGAATCATTCCCCGATCACTTAATCGCGAGTGGTTACACTTAACGCCAAACTCTGAAGGGAGGGCTGTGCCAAAAAAAGAAAAAAAATGAAACAGAAAAATGAAAATATATACATACACGCGACGCATCATCGACGATGAAGAGCACTCGGTGCCCGAAATAGATGCAGAAAACAACACAGAATCCGAGAAATGTAATCTCGAGCGATATGAGTAACGTTCAACTTCGTGACGTATTTCGGGGCATCTTTAGAAAAGAAGCAATTTTTTATAATTCTTTGATGGGGTTGTTTCGAAAATTTGCAGAAAGATTTAATTCTGAAACGAATCGATCAGCTTGAAATATATAAAAATTGATCATCTTAAAATTAAATGATAATAATTCAAGGAAAAATATTAACCCTCAAGCATAAAGCAAATGGAAGATTCTCCTCTCAAGCTCACCCTTAGTTAAAAGAAGCCTACATTGTACACAATCTTCGCTTCAGAAAATATACCAAGAACTTTTCTACCCCTCACCAACTTCGGTATCATTTTTAGAGCACAGTCCTCTTCTAGCTACTCATCCTTCCTCTCTCCTCGGTTCCCAGAAAAAGAAAGAAAGTGAAAAAGGGAGAAACTATTTCCACCAATGGCGGAAGGATTAATCTCGTAGTTCAGCGACGAGGGTGTGAAAAATTTCGATGGTTTCGTTCTCGTTCCGTTCGGGGAACGTCGTGCATAGGCGTCGAGACGCTGCTGGTCCCCACCTCGGATTCTCTCGAACATACCCCCCACCACGAGGTGGTGGCACGTCCTCGTGGAAGGCCGTGTTCGTTTTCCGCGGCGGCATCAGCCGGCAATTCGCATTCGACCGACGTCTTGGTTTAAAGAGTCTCGGGGACAAGACTTTTTGATGATGACTTGACTTCTGCCGACTGGAGTGAGCCGCGGCCTTAGGCAGCATCTACGAAGAAGATATACGAACACGAAGAGAAAATATTCTTTTTTTTTTTTTGTATAGAAGAAGATTTCGAAGGCGATCAAGAAGAGGATTATAATTATTTATCGAATTTCGAATCGAATCGCGAGTGACACGAGGATTTTTTTTTTGTTAG